AAATGGCCAATCGACTTCTCGCAGAGCGCGACGCGCCTCCAGTTGGGAAGCGCTGGGCTTCTAATTTCGTCAAGCGACAACCACAGCTTAGGACGCGTTTCTTTCGCAAGTATGACTATAAGAGAGCTCAATGCGAAGATCCAGAGGTGATTCGTGGCTGGTTTTCGCTTGTGAAGAATACAATTGCGAAGTATGGTATTGCTGATGCTGATATCTACAACTTTGATGAGACCGGCTTTATGATGGGCGTTATTGCTTCTGGAATGGTTGTTACAAGTGCTGAAAGGCGTTCAAATACGAAGATGACACAGCCTGGCAATAGGGAATGGGTTACAGTTATCCAGGCTATTAATTCCCAAGGGGAGAGCATCCCGCCATACATCATCGTTGCAGGCCAGTATCACCTCTCAAGCTGGTATACAGAAACCTCTCTTCCGGGCGATTGGGCTATTGCAACGTCTGAAAATGGATGGACAACAAACGAGAGAGGTATTGACTGGATCAGACACTTCGACATTTATACAAAACCACGTACGTCTGGGAAATATCGCCTCCTCGTTGTTGATGGTCATGAAAGTCACCACTCCGCAGCCTTCGAGCTCTTTTGTCAAGAAAACAACATTATTACACTGTGCATGCCGGCTCACTCGTCTCATCTACTTCAACCCTTAGATGTTGGTTGTTTTCAGCCGTTAAAGAATGCCTACGGTCGGCAAATTGAGAATAAGATGCGGCGAGGCACAACCCATATCTCGAAGGAAGATTTCTTTGCAGCATTTCACGAAGCTTTTAAGCAGTCTTTTACGAGGAAAAATATCCAGGGAGGTTTCCGAGGAGCTGGACTTGTCCCTTTGAATGCAGAAAGTGTTCTCTCAAAGCTGGATGTAAAGTTCCGAACGCCAACGCCTGAGGAGGGGGTCCCTCAGACACCAGACCCTTGGATCTCTAGGACGCCGAGCAACCCAAGCGAAGCAAGATCACAGTCTACTTTTATTAAGAGTCGAATCTCACGCCACCGAAGCAGCTCTCCAGCATCAATTTATAGTGCTGTGAGTAAGCTAGCCAGAGGGACAGAAGGACTAGGGCATCGGGTAGCATTACTAGAGTCAGAGGTTCAAATCCTTCGAGAGGAGAATGCAATATTAAGTCGGCGTCGAAGGGCTAAGAAAACACGTCTACAGAAAGGAGGAAGTCTTACTATATCTACTGGAGAGGATATACAGTCGCAAAGAGAGGCAGACACGCAACTACAAGAGGAAACGCGACGGAGTAGTGGTCGCAAAGTGAGGTCTGAGACGACTCATCGTCGGTGTGGCGTATGCGGGAATACAGGCCACAACGCGAGAACATGTCAATTTATTGAGGAAACATCCGAAGAACAGGAATCCGAGTAGTATTAATCAATCTAAGATTTCTTGTTATAGATTTCGATATTATTGTCGCGAAGGTCTGGTTTACTGTCTCACTCGCTTGTCTGTCTCACTCGCTTATCATGTACGTTACTTCTATTTAGAATCTTAAATTCTAATCCTTAATAGCGTTAGCTACGATTAGTATAAGATATAAGCCTAGAAGTAGGAGTTAAAAGACGATTCGGGATATTACGATTCTAAGGGGAAAGAATCGTAAAATCGGGATTTTCGTCGGTTCGTCGTTTATTTCCGTTAGCGCCGTTCTTACTAATATTCTCGAAAGGTATAAAGGTATATATAGGTCTCGAATTAGTAAGGAGAAAGTTCTACTATAGATTCTTTCGTAAATCTCTCTTTCTCGCTTTAGGCTTTGCTCCTTACTATTAGGAAGTTTAGAATCTAGTAGATAGTTAGCTTTATAACGCTTATAACTATATATATTTCTCCTAAGCCGTAGCCTCGGAGGCATATACGTATAGCTATATAAGCGGATTACCGCTAGTAGTCTTTGCTTGCCTTTCGGCGTATTCTTCTTCTAGTAGGGAGGTCTTTTATAATAAGCGCCTCGCGGTTAGTACCTCGTCTAGGGATTTATTAAGAAACTAGCAGGCGCTTTGTAATTAGCACCGCGCGTAGGGGATAGTTATAGTTAGGGAAGTTATTATCCCTTATAGGATTCGTAAATCTTCGCCTTTATAACGTAAAGAGGTTAGAAGACCGTCGATTCGGTAGGTCTCTTCTTCTAGTAATTAAAAACGCGTAATAGAACGCTCTTACTAGCGATAATTAGCTACGATTAACCTTATCCCGCCTAAGGTAAGCATAGCAGTCCCTAGGTTACTCGAATAATCGGATTGCTAGTAGATTCGAGGAAAAGAAGCTTTCTTCTACTAGTTTCCGTAGATCCTAGTTACTCTCGCTTCTTCTCTCGTTAGTACGAAATCCCTACTTTTACCTAGGCTTAGGTATCTAGTTTAAGAAGTCGTCTCTTCTAGTATTAACCTTGCTAATCTACGGTTTATCCGTAGCAGAGTAGTAATTATAAAGTTAACTAAATTAATAGCAACTATAAGGTTTACTACTAATTAGTATAGGTTTTATAAGGGGTAAAACGGAATTCCGTTCGTTAATAACAAATAATAGTAAATTAGTTCTAATCGATGGTTTATGATAGTTGAAAGTAGTATTGTTGACTAGAAGGTAGGGATATTCCCCCTTGGCCTGTTACGTGGGTCTGGGAGGCTTAGGCCTCTCAGCCTAGCGGGCGTGTGGCTGGAAGTGCTACACGACTCCGTATTCCAACTATCGCAACAATGATAGTGCGTTCTTCTACAATTACTTCTGATAAAATGTCTCATATTGTGGTGGGCCCCCTATTATATAACCTCTATATTTAATGTTTCTCTCTCGTTGGGCATTCCATGTTATGAGACAGCAGCAGAAGATATAGAAGACGTGAACAGAAGATGTATCTTTGCAGATATCCGTCTACTTTCCATAAGTATGGTAGAGCCTTCTATCCTTATCTCTAGCTACGCACCGTTCACTTCTACCAGCCCAACCACCTTACATCTTCAATCTTCTGTCGGTTTACCAAAGGTGACACGAGGTGCACTGGGAGAGTAACCTAGTGAACCAACATAGCCATTACTGACCATGAGCGTGGATCGAAGCGAACTGGGACCCACAAAACAATGTTTTGAGGAGACTCTAAATAGAGCATCAATAGATCCGATGCTGCCGTAAATGGTAATCTCGTTGAACGCCATTCCTATATAGCGTCATGCTGGATGCCCAGGCCTTGGTAGTTAACTTGTGAAACCATATCTAACCCTGATCATAAAAATAAACAGGAGGATCAAAAAGTTTTCACATAATAGTTGGCATCCAACTTTCTTGGGTTGTGTGTTCCATGCTGTTATTCAAAAATGGCAAGCATTTTGTAGATGGCGAATATAACAATAGACAAATTTTTCTTTCTTTAGCTTTTTTGTCAGTAAATTATTTCTCAAAGGAGGCCCGGCTCCATGTGCTATTATTTTTAACCTTTTCTAATATCATGTGTATGGCCGTAAGCACTCTACTCAGCCGCCAAGGGCATTGCGGGCCCGTATATTAAACCTTATATCTGCACAAAGGTCCGTGTGAGCCTACCGCCGTCGGGAAGGATGTTGAACCGTGGCTTATGCTAGGATTTTGTAAGATATTTCCCGCCAATGCCAAGCTCTGCTGCCCCCAATTTATTCACTCTGTGGGCTTGTACGCGCTGTGACATGTCATACTTATGTATGCGGTCAGCTTACTAGTGGTATGTAAGGTATGCCTCGCTCCAACACAATATGCCGATAGTAAGTGCCAAAGCTATTTCGGTGGGTATTTTCCCACAGCTGTTATCCGGAAGTCACGGCTTTTGCTCTGAGCCATGGGATAGCTGAGAGCGACAAGATTAATGAATTGTGCCTCCTTCGTTATTCAGTCCGTCAACACGCATCTGCTATGAATACAGCCCATATTGATGCAGTCCACGATATCAACTGTACTTTCCATCTGTGAAGTAACCGCCATAGAATGAAGGAAGTTTGCAGCAAAGTAGGATACAACACTCGCCAATACTTTGACAATGCAGCCTCTACGCTCAACCGGCCACCCTTCCGCCTGAGCTACCCGAATTCATCCTCTTTTCCTTCGGCATTTCGCGCTTCCGGCTAGGCACTCCTTACAACGACCCCTTTGCGTAGTCCTCATTTTTCCGGGGACTTTCACTGCAAAATGGATGGTCATTCCACACCCTAGCAAGGCAGAAAACGATCTGTAATACGTTTATCTTGGGCCCTGGGGCACTAACAAATATGCATAAGCTAGCGCAGATGTCAGCAATTGTTAGCAAAAGGCAGATTGTGCTTATTTTGCCTGCTTTATATCGCTTACTGCAATATGTCCCTCTGGGTAGCAACCGGGAAGGACCGACGAAATGAAAGAATCTGATTCTCATTTTATTATTTTACATCAGTCTGTTATCAAAGACAGCGCAGATCAGACGCATGCTCAAATGATTAACTCCTCATCAACTGCCACAAATTGTCTCCGGCCTTGCATGTGTACCTCTCATCTGTGAAGATCCTCCACTTGCAACTAGGTCGGAGCCGTTCAACCTGATGCCTATAACTTGAAAGACGCCAAAACTTTTGCAGACGGAATGATCTAGGTAGTGATGTGAAACCTGAAGCCTCAGACCCCTTGCATAACACCTTACTCCTTCAATGACTGAAATACTGCGAATGGAAAGCCCACAGAGCACTGAACCCAGCATCAAGCAAAGGACAATTGACGACCAGTCCAGGTACTTGCCCCAGCCCCCTGATGAACAAACAGCTGCAAGAATATACTGGATTGAACTGTTTAGGACATACTTCATTATTTCATTAAGCTATTTGCTGACAGATTACCGAAAGTCTACTCAGCTACCAAATCACACGCCCTCCGAAGCTTGCAAGCTACGCTTAAATGCCATTTCTAACGATTAAATGACTCTTCGTGAATAGTTTCTTGGTGAATCTATACGATCTATACGCGTCTGCGTGACAATGCTCATGGAAGGCACTGAGAGTAATAAGGGTTGACAACATGGCACCGTGCGCCAGTAACACATTCGGTAGGACCAGTATACCCATGTCCACCGCATTGGCTGTACAATGGTAGTCCTCCGTTAGCAGGAGCCAGTACGCACTGCTTGTACCATTCGTTTACAAAGGAGCAGGTAGCATAGGGCAGGCATAGCGTCGGGCCGTTATAGCCTCTGCCGCCACACTGTGCGTAGAGAGCCTGGGTGACTTGCGCCGGAGATGGAGGGTTCGTAGTCGCTGGCGGAGAGTCGGTGACAGTTCGAAGAGTGGTCGGCGTGGGTGTCTTTGGAGGGACATCAATGCTGGCGGAGGGGTTGTTACCATCGGTAACTCTGCTGGTCGGCTCTACGGGGTCAGAGGAACTGACGACAACCTTGGAGCTGGAAACCGCTGCGTTGCTGGTGGCACGAGCCGATGAGCTCGCGTAAGTAGTGCTATAAGGTGTAGCGCTACCTTCGGAAGTGAAGGTAAGCCTACTCTGAGATAGCATGGAGACTCCGCCAGAGATGATCGAGGGGCCAGGAACGACATAGTCATTAAGTCTGTCCCGGTAGATGTTGTATAAGATGCCGGGATCATTTGAATTGTAGAGAGCGGTGCCGGGAATCCCGGGGGGGTTGTCAGTGCCTTGGCCTGTGATTTCCAGGTTGATGCACTGGGGATAGCTCTGTGCTCCATTAGGCTGGTTGGCGCTGTGCAAAGCAATGATGTCGTGACGGAGGACGTAATGGCCCGGTGCGATGTTGGGAGGAATTCGGACAAGCCAGGCGTTTCCGTTATCGATCAGCACACTGGCTGCCCATCTGTTCGTTTGCTGAGGGGGGTTAATGAGGCCAGCACCGTCGATCTTGAAAAATCGCAAGTCTTCCTTCCTGATTGCGTCACATGGACCGTTGCAGTTGGCAAGGAAATCCATGACTGGTCCTTTGTGACTATCGGGCCATTCGGTCCATTGTAGATGGATGGTATCTCCGGCAGCGACCGTAATGCGAGCTTTACTAGAAACAGCACTTCTGTGGCAGATAATATTTGGCTCGCCATACGCAGTAGGGTCGACGTATCCATTGTCACGTTGATCCGCAGCCCATCCGGCGACAAGAGGCGGGTTGCTACTGTAAGGATCTTGGACAGGTATGTAGTTGCGATATGACACGCCGTTGACAATGATGTTTTTAACGTGGCCGTGCGCGGCAACAGAAGCCACTGAGGCCAATGTGGCGAAGAGGTGAGATGTCTTTCGAAATCCCATGTTGTTTTAGGGGTGTCGAACAGCGACTGAAGCTGTTTATTTGAGGACTGTCGACCAAAGGGAGTCAACTCAAAAAGACTCAGGAAGGATCGCGAAACCGATGGCAGCCTGTGCCAGAACAACCGAGTGAAAAAGCTAACTTCGTGCCAATATTCTTATTATATATATAATATAATGGTCCACGTGCTCACCACGGGTGATCGAGCGAAGCTAGGGGTAAACTGACTTAGACATTTCAACCATCAAAGTCTCCTTCAGTTACCCTTTTATATTGGCAGGGAGCATGGCAGGTTCCAGTCTACTAGCTCGCCGAGCTGCCTTGGTCTTGGCTCAAAATACTACTAGACGATGCAGGTTAGTTCTGGCCTCTCCCAAGAAGAAAAAAATATATCGGTTGTTTGTAAAACAATATGTGGTGGTGACAATGAATTGCCGGAACCAGATGCGGCTGAAGCCTCATCACACGCCACCGGGCTAACAGGAAGCCTAGGCGGAAAGAGGTGAGATAAAATATCCGAACTACAAGCCGCAAAACGGGTATATCATGGAACATAGACGCTTTTTGCATGCGGCGGCTCGTGGCGGATAGCGGTAGAAACCAACCGTGTCTAGACCATGGCTTTGTGGCGCCAAGATGACGTTGTGGAGACATTCGCTGCGCACACTAGACACAGAAAAGGAGTACCATGGGAATGAAATCAAGAAACTCTCCAGGAATTGCTGCAAGGGACAGTATATTTTGGGATTTGCTTGGAAAGGAATGTTTGCGGTGCCTCAGCGGCTGGGGGGGTGACACTGCGAGAGACCGACTCTGATGTCAATCGGCAAAGCCGAAGCGCCGATGCATCCCAGGTTAAGATCAGATAGAGGATCTAGAGCTTCATTCTGCACCTATTCAACGGCGTGGGTGAAACACATGGGACGACTGCAGGTCTAGTACGCGCCGGAAAAGTCTCAGTGTACTTGCTAAGAGTTTTGCGGGGAGTCTAGCCTCCTGTAAAGACCGATAGCCCGGAGACATATCACCACGTGTCTCAACATCACTTATTTTCAAAGAATAATGACGTCCAATCGCTGACATTTCATGGCAAGGAGATTCTCGGCAGGGATAAGACAAAAGGAGACTTTTCTCTGGCGGACTTTAGGGAGGGCTCTGCCTTGATCAAGCTTACTGGATGAAAAACGTCACACTCGAGGATTATCATTTATTACAGTACCCAACCATGTTAAAATTCTGACCATAAATGAAGTTATACTGGTCGCGAAATAGATCTTAGCAGCAGCTGAATTCTTTTTTAGATTTCCTCAACATGGAGGCGCCACTAGAGAGACAACACATCAACCTTTTCTGAACGAGACTTTGAGACATGACTAAATCTTTTGCTTGCCCAACTAAGCCTTTTCGATCACCCCATATACTGCAACCGGTGCGTTAACCGTTCAATCACCTTCGTTTGTTGCCGAGAGTGTCTCTTAAACTGCCCGAATCCGTAACGGTGGCGAAGGCCACTTGGACCAAGCCTAGGTTTTTCTTGTTTTGAAGAGGATGGATTTGCGGGTTCTAGTGCAGCTAGAAGGCTATCAGAAGAACAATAGTCCGTAAACTTTTGTTTAGAAATCGTAGTCCCGCTCCAAAGCCGCAGCGCTGGGATAAAATTACAAGTGATCCGCGCCCAAATGCCAGGACGCTGGGAATCGACGTTTTCATCGACAGAAAGGCCCAGCCATTCTTGGCCAACTTTCCAAAGAAAGCGCCAAATCTTATCTCAGGCGTCGCCTACAGAAACAGAAAAAACATGCAGCTTTAGCCCTGTCCGACACGGACAACTTCCAACCACGTTTCTTCAGGATGTTATATCTGGCGTAAATGTAGGCGCATGTACACGTATGAGTGTGCCACGAGGAAGTAAACTCGGCTTGTTTGACGTGCAGCCACGAGATGGGCACACACGCAGGGGAGCGGCAGGCGGTCGCCAGCCCGTTGAACTCTTGACTCAAGCCGACGAATGCCGACGGGGCCGAAACGAGTTAAGTAGGACTTTTAGACCAGATGATCGAGTGGCGCAACTGTGTGCTCTTCTTCCCTTGATTTGGTGTGTGATAGTTGAGTGAGACGGACGTCAGTGTGGCTTCTTGACATCCGCCCTTCGGTTTCGGCGAGAAACGTTTGTCTCAACCCTCAAGGATAATAATTTGTAAGAGAACCAATGGGAAAAGCACAGCTATGTACGCATGTCGAAGTGAAGATCTTGCAACGCCGAGGGCAACGTGTTTGAGAATGATGCAAGCGAGTAAGAAGGCCTTGAAGACCGATGTGATAGGGAATAGAGACAATCGGGCCATTTTAGTGTTGATGGGGTAGGTTGAATTTTTTTTAAACCAAGTGATTTAGAGAGCAGTCGAATTCAAGTTGTTTAATTTGTTGATCTTTTCCCGAACCATTGGGTGATGAACGGCGCATGGAAGGCGGCTTTATGAAGTATTGCTAATGGGTTATTGTCGCCGCCTAGCATCGCCTCGTCTCCGCCCCCACATTGTGACCCCGAGAATCCCATGACCCCCAAGGCTCCCGACGACCAAAGTCCTCAATCATGACTCCTAATAAAGCACTCAGCCTCACAATATTGAAGCATGGCTTGCAGGAAAAAGATAGCACAGCGGGCAAGCGAAGGCGCCAGCTCCTCATCCGCCTCGCCCGACTCACCCGATTTCTTCCCTTCTCTACCTACCTTGACATTCTCGCAACATGGGCTAGATGCAGATGTGGTCATGTGGACATGCCCACAGTATGAGCCTTCCGGTGTGTGACTGACAGCGGCTATGGATGAATCCTATATGCAGGCACCCGCGTTACCATGCTAGGAGTGGAAGCCCGTTGGGATCCTTTCGAAGTTGGCGCAGGAGTCGCCACGGACGATATCTCCATGAAATCCCACAGATACGGGCCGCACCTAGCTACTTCATGTAAGGGGAAGGGATACGGCTCGCCGCACAACATGATGCATGTGATAGTGATGTGACCGACCAGCCTACAAAGCAGACGAAATAGAATTGATGTGAAGAGTTTTTATTAGAGGTATGGCTCAGCGCTTGAGGCTTGCTGAAGACAGATTACGAGTTTACGATACAGTACAGCCTTTCTTTGGAAAAGGGTAGTTTCTTGGTTTTGACTTGGTTTTGTGCAGTAGCAGAATTTAGAAGGAGGATATCATACCGTATCTCATCAAGGTCGTAGAGAAGAGTTGTCCAGGGAACCCCATAATGTTCCTCAACGCCCGAGTTCCTGCATCCCAGTACACGTCTAGTACAACAGAATCGCAGTTTTTTCGCACTTTTGTTTTTCGCACTTTCACATCCATGGGCGCGCGTACCTGGCCTCGTGAATGGTTGTCCATCGCCCGGGAAGCCGGTGATTTTCCGTGAATCGGCTGGGCTGGGCTGGGCTTGGCTTGGCTTTTGGAGTTTTAAAACTCGCCCTCGGCACTGTTCCCAATGACGCCTGCAGTCCAGAGCCCGACCAGACCCCACCAGCTGACCTTCCAGCCTCGCCAGAGCCCATCGAGTCCTTGGCCTTTTCGGAATACCGTCTCGGCGACCTTGGGCTTGCTCTTGCCCTTCCTGACTGGTGGGGGCGGGGTCGCAATCGCCCGGGTGCCCTCCTCATTCATGATGTAAAACATAGTGCCCATGACGCCATTGTATCGCCCGAGAGGAATGATAGTCTCAAGTTTCTGGTCTTTGCCCGCAAGTGCACGGATGTATGGGGTGGTAGACAGGACGGCAGCCTGGCCACGTCGGAGGACGGTCTCGAGAGGGAGCTTGACAAACAGTGCGACAGAGGAGGCGCAGAACTTGGCGACGGAGAAGGTCGTCGGCGAGACTCGGCTATCGATCAAGAATCGGGTACGAAGAACGAGCGGTGTTGAGAGGGTGAGCAGAGGGTGGATGAGCGAGTGTAGAATCGTGGGGATGACGAGCGGTGAGGGGCACACGTAGGAGGGCAGGGCTCGGAGAGTTGACAGTGTTCGTCTCGGTTGCTTCGAAGTAGGAGTGACGAGAAGTCTATCAAGCATTAGCCTCGGCCGTAAATCATTGCAGAAATAAAATATTGCGTGACATACCGTGTGCGAACCATATCCAAGGGTGCAAGAATAAGACCGGTCGCTACGGCCGCAGCAGCGGCTACGCACAGCGAGGCCCATGGGTAAGGCGACGCAATATCGATCAACCGATCAATATCCTCCTTAACACCCAAGTCGGGCACGTTGAACAGTGCACTAAGTGCACTTCTGGACCAGTTTTCCAGCAACGAAGATAGCACGGAGTAGAGAAATGTCGCATTCGAGCCCTTCCATACACCCCATGCACCTTCCTTTTGCCAGAGCTGTCCGATAACTTCCATCAATGAGTCGGGCCGACGAATAGTAAGCTGATGAGGCGGTACTGGTTGCTTTGCTGCCGGCGTCCGGGGAGGAGAGGGTTGGTGATTCCGGTTGTCCCTAGGGAAAGACGGTGTCGGTGTAGCAGGGACGTTTGAGGTAAAATAAGCAGGCTCGTCAAGGTCAGAGTCGGACTCGGCCTCATCGTACATCGTGTTGCCATATACAGACTGCCTCTTTTCCCAAACTGGGGTGGTGATGGGTGTCGGTATGGCTGGGCCCAAAGTCACGTCATCATGGCTCCGGACCTGCAAAACAGTTTTCGCTACCTCGAAAGGTTGGGCCATGAGCACAGATGTGTACTTCCATAACAACTCGTCGACGAGGTCCTTGACTGTCTGTACGACAGAAGGAGACGGCTCGCTGATGTAGTCCTTGTAATCGATGTCTGAGAAGATGTCGCGTGCCTTGGACGCGTACCTCCCCGTCGTAGCATTGCCTGCATGGCGGGCGAAAGGGTTGGGTCCGGAGGAAGCGGCGGTCGGATCAGGGCTTTCGCCTATGGTTGGGGGTTTATAGTACGGTCTCAGGGGGTTCACCCCTTCTCGTTGTGTGGACATGTGTGCGGTTGAGTGGTGTTTTGAGGCTCAACATTCACAAAGCATGATTTCTGTAGCTTCAACTTTTGGCTCCCAATTTTGCATGCATGATGAAATGGAAATCACCTCGGAGATAAGATTAGCGGGGCGTCTAAGCCAAAAAGAAAAGGTAAAAAAAAAAAAAAAAAAAACCTGTGGCACTAACGCGCTTGTACTTACGGTAGCGATGACAGGTTTAGATGGGGCTCCGGAGCCGGAACATCGCCAATCGCCGGCCGATAAGACCGAGGGGTGTGGACCTTATCGGAGCTTCTGCAGGTGTGCAGCCTATAGAAATTTCTCTGAATCCAATGCATCTCCACAGTCCCTTGCGGATTTATGGAAGCTTTCTAACGCTTTTAGCAGTTTTGCTCACGGCGCCACCAGCAGAGCAAGCAAGCAAACAACTGCGCCTAAACCAACTCTACCGCCGTCTTTTGAGGGTTGCAATTACAGTACCTTTTATCTAAGAACTCGCTAAGTTCGATTACTCCAGTGCGTCTCGACGTGCTCGTACCCTCCTGCGATTATACCGAGGAAGAATTCACCGACAACGGACCTGCGTCATGTCTTCCGCTAGACCCCTCTACAGGCTCGCCGCCAGCGCCAGCCGGCAGGCTCGTCCTTTGCAGCGACAAACTAGATCTCTCTTTAGCCCGGCAGCACCTTCAAGAACGTTGCAGCCCCTCGCTTCCCGGCGCATCCAGTGGCCCTCATCGCGCAGCTTCTCGGTCTCCGCATTCAAGTCCCATGGCCACATCACCCCTCCCAAGCCGGGTGAAGAGTAAGCCGTGAGATCCCGAAGATACGAAACTAGCTGCTAATGTATACGATAGGCTCTGGGTGACTTTTATCGACAAGGACGGCGACGAGCACAAGATTGCTGTCAGCGCAGGAGACAACCTCCTTGATATTGCTCAAGATAATGACTTGGAGATGGAAGGTAGGTCACTATCTCTATTTGCTGACAATAGCGTACGCTGACAAGATATATCAGGTGCCTGTGGAGGCTCTTGCGCCTGTTCGACCTGTCACGTTATTGTAGTCGACGAGGAACACTACGACAAGATGCCCGAGCCTGAAGACGATGAGAACGACATGCTGGATCTGGCGTTCGGTCTGACTGAGACCAGTAGGCTGGGCTGCCAGGTCACCATGACCAAGGAGCTTGACGGTCTCAGAGTCAAGTTGCCGTCGATGACCCGTAACCTCCAGGCCAGCGACTTCTCATAGAGAACATTGAAGCATTCGGAGCATTGGCTGCATGTCACATTATTTAATCATCTGTACTATAGTATACGATAGCGCGCAAAGATAAATTAGGGGTTCAGGAGAAAAAGGGGCGTGTTCATTGATCAGGCACGGCATTACCGGGGGGGACTGGGGATGGATACATCAAGCTCGGGCTTTTGCTAGATATTGGCGGGTATCAAAGGACGATGGGAGGGAATGACATCACTCCTCTAAGCACAAATTATTTGCAGAAACGAGAAAAAAAAATCGGCCATCCCAAGACCCAGGCAAAGCCGGCATGACATTTGTTCTTTCAAATCCCTCTTCCTCAAGCCTCCTCCAGTGCGCCCTTCTTGAGCCCTCCACCGCCGGAAGCGATCAGATCCAGGAATCCCTTCTTGCTCATCTCGTTGATCTTCTCCTCCCTTCGCACAACACCCACCACGCCGTCCTTGCGCGCCTTCTTCTCCGCCTCAACAGCCTTGACCTGCGCCGCCCGCACGGCGTTGAACAGCTTGACCACACCTCTTTGCGCAACCTTGCGCAGCCGCCTCTCCGACTCGAGCATCTCTCCTGTCGATGTGTCTTCGGCCTCCGGCGCAATAAGCACATTGCGCACACGTCCCTTCTCCTGCGCCTCCTTCTTCTGTTGCCTCATCTGCTTCTTAGCCTTCGCCTCGAGCGCCTTGTCAACGGCCGCCTTGGCCGCCTCATGGGCCTCGGCGCTGCGAGCAAGAACGGGATCCGCGCGTTTCGCGTTAGATAGTTTGGTGGACAAAATCTTAGAGATAGATGTCGAGAAGGCGGCAGGGTCGTTACGCTTGCTCTTGCTCTTGTGTGGCGCGCCATCGGCGTTCTCTTCCGCCTCGGAATCCGACTCGGACTCGTCAGTGCCGACGGGTGCGTCTCTGCTCTTCTTCGGCTTTGTAGTTTTGGCAGCTTTTGAGGCCTTCTTCTTGGCAGCCGGCCGCTCGTCGCCGGAGCTCATTGAGTCATCATCGTCTGAGGGGGCGCCATCGTCGACGGCGGCGTTCAGGATATCATCGTCGTCGGAGTCGAGCAAGTTGACGGCATCGAAATCCTGCTCTTCATCGGAAGCGCCCTCGGGTTGCTTCTTGTCTTGCCTCTTCTGCTTTTTTGAGGGGGGCGCGAGCCGGCCGTCATTTGTTCTCTTTTTTGTTGAAGGGCCGACCATGATTGCGATTGTTTGCAGCTGCAATTGGCGCTGGAGGGTGGAACGTCTGGTGTTGACTATGGGAAAAAAAAGTTCCCTAGGCCGTCGTCCTACCAAAAGTCAAAATTTTGGGTAGTCTCGGTGGGGCGACTAGGCTTATCAGCGGTGAACACACCGAGATAAGACAAGCTTTGACCGAGGGTTTACCGAAGTGCTGACCGATGCTTACCGGGAACCTCACCGAAGCGGGGTTAGGATCGGGATGGCTTCCGAAAAGGACCACATGTTCAAGCACGCGTTGACCAGTCGCCAAGGCAGGGCTGCGTCGGGATCCCCTCCGTCGCGGTAACCTGCCTTTTCCAACAAAGGGCACCTTTGGATTTGATTTTACTGCCCAGTCTGACCGGGTCGTTAATTTCCCATATTTTAGGGCGCAAAACTAGCCGATGGCCCTTTTTAATTTTCGGCTCTCTGTAACCGACCGGCGCCGTCTAAACAAGAGTCCTCCCCCACTTTCCGCCTGCATGCTTCTAGATCAATTATTTTTGAATTAAGCTTTCGTCTTTGCTTCAAGCAAGGCACCGCCCTGTCGAACTCAACTGGATTTTGAGATTTGACACCGGATATTGTTGGGGGCTTGCGCCATAGAGCTAAAAGTGTAGCCAACCATGGCAGAGCTTTCGGCTTCATGTGTTGGACGCACTTGGTTTTATTCTTCCATAACATTCGACGTAGGCAGGCCATAGTCAAGTTGGCTTATACCGACAGGCCTGATAGGTTGTCTAGCATTGCAGGCATAACCATCTGCAAGCCGATATATACCTTAATCTTCTAATCTATGATGTAGTATCACCTCTAGCATTCCTTCATTCTACACGCACAACTAGCCTAAAAAGTCCACTCGTTCAAGTTGTTTGACGTTGACGATGATCACGATTGTGTCATCATTTCATTATTGTAGTAAAACTCTTGTGCTCTTTCCAAATAAGCAAGCTATCGCGATTTCAAACTTGTGCTTCAGAATATCAAATGGCCATACGTCCATAGTTAGAAGATCAAGGCACAGGCGATCGCTGTGCGCTGTTGATGTCTATCCAGTCCTATTCGCCCGTACACGAGTCATCATAGCAGCGTGATCCGGACCAGCCAATTCGCCGCCAATTCGCCGCCAAACCTAGTTGAGAGTACATGTTGGAGGTGTCGCTGATCTACTCTTACTTTCCACTCAAATCGTCTTGCCGATATCCACAGCAAGGTTTGAGAGCTATTAAATCAATACACACCATCTACAATAGCCATAAGAGTATGCACGGAGACTCGCAAGGAGTACGTAGCATTCTAGTCTGATTCCACCTGGATGTAAGTGGCCCCAGCATCCTTGCATTGCGGGCGGTCAGACTCCGTCTTCGGGTCTGTGTTTTACAGTGAATGGACTTCCTTTCATGTTACCAGATGATACTCCTGAGTCGTAATGTCTTCAAACGAACTCATCTCTTCTCCGGTCCGACGCTGTCAGCGGATGTGATCTGAGTGTGAAGGGTCAGCACCGTTAGGATTCAGATTCAGGGCATGTCGAGTTTCTACAGCTCGTGCAACCGTGCCCGTTGTGTCAAGCAGGAAACTGGAATAGCTCCAGGCAGTGGAGGTTATTTGCAAATCGTGTGCACTAGTTAGTCATGGCAAACGCCCCTTAGCATCAGTACCGAGGCTCAACGGTCAGATGAACCCATATTCAAACATCGTTGGATGGCGCAATTTCCCGCCTCCTGTCGTCTCTTGCCATAGCGCCCATAGACACTGGCCTGTGATACCCGGCCTCCAGATAGCTTGTTTCGGTATCAATAGGACAGTCGAAAAACGGAAAGCTTGTGAGATGTATTGCATGAAAGGTGCTTGAGCAATTGTGTTGCAACGAAGATTACTACGGTCACAAAGTAGCAGACCAAAAAAGAAAAAAAAAAAAATAGTCCAGTCAACAGAAAAGCCGACATGTTAATGTGCCCTTTTGGTGGTCGCGAGGGAAGGGGGAAATCAAACACAAAAGTGTGACCCACAATTGCGGTCCATCAATAGCCTTACTAGTAGTATCTGTCTGACAAGTGTAGGTAATAATTTCGTATAGAGATACGAGATTATAGGCGAGTGTCTCAGAAAAGGAAAGTCGCTTCACTGCGAAAGTTGGCTATTCCCGTCAGGGCAGGTTCCGCCTGAAAGCCGAGTCAGGGAGCTCCTTGTCTCCAGCCTCTTACGAACTCGCCTTTAAGCCGACCTTCTATGGGCACGGAGAAAAAGACGTGGGTACCGTGGTACCTCAATTGCGGCAAACAAGGCACGGTCCACAGTGGGGACCCACAACGGAATAATGTGGAATTTCGGGGTCACGGATTACCCAGCCCGATCCAGCCCGCTTAGATGCCCGGCTGCGGCGAACCGGCGACGGACGGAATAGTGGGGGTGGGCAGTGTTTAGAAAACACCCCCCTTCGTCTGCTCGCACCAGATTCTCCCCCCTTGTGCCCAGGGAAAAACGGGCGTGGGAATACGCTTTCTGATGTCATTACGAGGCTGTCGTCAAACATGTGGACTAAACATTTATTTTTTTTTCTTCGCATAAATTCTCGTAGTTATTAATTCGTCAACACACCCCTCATTACTGAATCTTCTAATTTAGTTTGACTTCATCTGATGAAATCAGATACTTGGCAGCGGTAAGTGGATGGCCGTCCTCTCCTCTGTCCAGCTTTAAGCTTATGTGCAACCTACCCGGACTCATGGCAGTACCCTCCAAACCTCGCCAAAACGCTCAGAGCCGGGACCACCCCGCCTCACGCCACCCTCTAACTGCGAATCCCAACTCTTTCAGCCCTACACTACAACTTGACGTCCTCAATAGAGGTCAATCCCATCTTCCGGTCAGACTTCATTTGCTTCTGTAACTGTCTCGCACGCTTGACCCCGAATCCGTGGTTGAAGACTTCGCGGATGTCCTCCAACGTCATGTTCTTGACCTCGGGGTAACAGAAGTAGATGGCGACCCATCCGAGCACGCATATGGCTGCATAAAAACCGAAAGCACCTGAGGGTGTCGTGTTCTCCATTTGCGTCAGGAAAGTGGACGCGACAATGACATTGGAGCCCCAGCAGGTCATGGTGAGCATCATGGTGCCCATTGCTCGCACCTCCATTGGGAAGAATTCGCTGCTGAGCCAGGCCGTGTTACCGATACCCGATGAATAAAACCCGACAAAGAAGACCATGCTCACGAGCACGATGATCGCTGGCGGTCCAACCGTGGCGTTGGCCCCTAGGGACAGATCATGATTGATCGGGATCCATTTAAATGCAACGGCAGCAACGACCAAGAACAAGCCCATGAACTGCACCGTGCAGAGAAGAATCCTTCTTCGGCCAACCCTGTCAACGAGCAAAAGGTTGACAAAGGTGAAGATAAAGTTTGTTCCGGCGATGATGGTTCCGACGGCCACCGGGTTGTCGAAGCCGACGAGCGAAAAGATAAGGGGGGAGTAGTACATGAGCGAGTTGAAACCGCTCAGCTGAGAGATGGCCATCACACCGCAGGCCGAGATCAAGGCGCGAAGGTTCGCTGGCACGACGTAGAGCTGCTTGAGAACCCAGAACTGTGACTTGCCCGCATTCATGTTCTTCGCTTCCTCCACATGGTAGGTGATGTGCCGGACCTTCATCTGAACCTGTTCCTCTGTGCCATTTGGGAAAATCTTACGGATGACTTGCTCGGCTTCCTGATTCTTGCCGTGAAATATGAGCTGTCTGGGCGACTCTGGGCAGAAAGGCAGGAGGCACGCAAGGATGATGGCTGGAATGGCCCCTCCCCCCACCATGTACCGCCACCCGCCTTGGACGTGCGCAAAGCCAGCACCAACGCCGTAGCTGACTAGTTGTCCGCCGGTGATGCACATGTTATCCAACCCAATCATGCGTCCACGGTATTTCGCAGGAGATAGCTCAGCAATGTACCTGGGGTTTGGGTTAGCAAGACTTTCGTTTTCGTTTCTGTTACTGATAGGATGCGCGCGCGCGCGCAAAGGCTTTCTTTACTTACATGGGAATAATCATGGCAGCAGACCCAACACCAAAGCCGACGACAAGACGGCCAACCGTCATGACTGCTATGGAAAATGAGGCGGCCTGAAGTATGGCCCCAGCCGTGAACAGGAAGCATCCCACATAGATGGCGATTTTTCGTCCGAAGCGATCCGCGGTAGCGCCAGCAAAGATAGCACCGATGAAGGCCCCACCGGAAGTGATGGATGTGATGAGCTCTCTTTCGGACGAGCTGAGGGTATGTCCCAGGTCCTGATGTATGTACACCAATACAGCAGAAATGATGCCGGTGTCGTAGCCGAAGAGCATGCCGCCAATGGCTGCTGTTATGGACACCAGCCACGAGAACTTGCCGGTCTCCGTCTGCTCAATGGAATCAAGCTCTTCAAGCGGCAGGCGTGACTCTGTTGTATTGCCTTCGACAATGGATTCATTATGTTGGACTGTGTCCTTGGGGTCTTTGGTATCCATCTTGGCTTGGATGTGATAGCCGATTGGGACGTGGAATGGACTTGGCAGAAGCTTATGAAGAAGGTGCTTTAGAACAAGATATCAAAGTCTGCTGTAGGCTCATAATCTTGGTGAGAATGTCGGACATCTCGAGGTCTTATATCGTCGAGTGGTGCCGAGAGCTGCACTACCTTACCTACGTTTGGTTACAGTCTCTCTAAGGGATCTAGCTAGTTTTGCGTTCCATTGGCTGCCCAGCGAGCAGGTAGCATAGCTTCACATCGCATCTGGCGCTCCAGGTCATCTTCTTCCGCGGTGAAAGTGACCGGAACTGGATCATATTGCTACGCTTGACAAGAATCTGGGGAAGAGACGCGGCAAGTGACCTCGAAGGCCAATGACGGTAGATGTAATGTACAGCCTAGTGCTCACGCCGCTAAATCTATAATGTTGAATCTAGACAAGCCGAGTCAGGCGCATCACCCCAGATTTCCCCAGACTTTTGACATTTGCACTGGCTTCTTGGCTAGAAGATTTGAATCCCGCGGGACACATGTCTATGTAGGGAACCATGTGTAGTACATCCCTGGGGGGGGGGGGGGGTAGATGCATCGGCGCTGACCACGAGGTTAGAGCGGCGCCGGTGGAGTCTAGCGGTGGATGCACGGCGTGCGGGGGGAAAGTTGCCGATTCAGGATTGAATAGGCAACTTTGTCTTAATTCCCTCGCGTTTCCTATTTGACCCCTTTCCATCCACTGTCTCCCTTGTTTTTTTTTTCTTTCCCAAGCCCGTTTGCTAACCCAGACTTGCCCGCTTCGGCCGGGGTTCACTTAATCAGCCCGTCCAACCCCAATTCCAGCAATTCCAAAGTTGGAATATACCGAGAACTGCAGACTTCGCCGGGGCGACACCGCCGCAAACACGTATGGCCTTTGTTGCCTCCCCACCGAAAACCACACACAATTGTCTTGTGTCTCTCCTCCCCCATGAATCCCACGTCGCCGCCTAGTAATAGATCTCTGCCCACCGGCTCTTATACGTCATTGTCTACAGCACATCCTCGCGTTGGCGCATCTACGCGATGCAGGATGCATCCAGTGCCCGGCGGGTCCAGAACGTGAACCGCATCCAGACCCGGACGAATCCGTGTAACGTGAGTCTTTCCCTTTCCAACCAGCTTGGTATGTTTTTCTTCTGTGGCTTCTCCCTACCCACCTGGCCACATGGCTTGAGACGAAAACGACATACACAGCACTTGCATAATTGCCTGATAAGATTCACTGAGGCTCATCACGCCGTTCACTGCCGCTTTGCTGACAATGCACTTCTCATAGATCTGCAGATTAAGGTGAGTTGTCTCCTGGTGGATTTCACCGTTTGGTTGGAATCCTTTACCACACAGGGCAGTCTATGCCTTTTCCAAACCGCCCACCGGCGCCCTAGTACCCTCCCCACGTTGTTCAACATCGGCGCCTTTGTGCCATTTGAGAATTTGATATCTGACCGTTTGATTGGCTCCGTGACGCTAGGCATCTGAAATGTAAGCTGACCCATCATGCGCTACATTTGACCCCGTCACATTATCTTGTCCATCTGCCGGGACCCGACTGTCTGGGGCACATTCCCGCGGATTCCCACCTCCCCCTACTCGGGGAACATTCCCCTGATCGTCGAGTGTGCAATATTAACCGAACATAGGTGATTCCAACCGTTCGACCTGCTCCAACTGTCGCAATTCCGGCGTCGAATGTACGCGCGGTTATTCTGTTCGCTTCAGACACACGCTAAACCCCAGGTTTGTCATTATTGCCCACCTTTGAGCCAGACGAGGACGAAGTGGACCCGAGAGCTGAACATTTCTTCTTTTCCTGATCAGTGTCAAACCAGAAAGAGGGACGGGAGCCGCCAAGAGCGAGTACAATTTCGCCGAGAATCAGACCTGGGTCCGGACTTGGAACCGATCCTTCAGTTTTGTCGATGAGACGGAAGATGTAGTAAACATCCACGCCTCCGGCCTTGGACCAAATGGCGAAGGTGATGGACAGCCCTATTCCTATCACGGAGCACCACGTCAAACCAACTCGCCGCCGGACTACCTAGCACTGTTGTCGGCGCCTTCCTCGCCGGGCCCGGATTTGACTTCCCGAACTTCGGATCCCACTTCCCGGGCGCCGGGACTGACGGGCCGGGCCTCACATGGTGACTTGTACGGGGCGGATAGGAGGCGCGCACGCCAACCACGGTCAAGACGATTGACAAACTCGACCACATCCGATGCGCTCAATCACTCGCCAAAAGTGCAAAACCATGGTGGTGCATCGACCCCGAGTGCGCACACCGGAACCTCTTCCATAGTCATACCATGGGAACGACTAGATCTGGGCACAGAAATCACGGAAGATTTTCCCAACATTTATCTCGCGCTCGAGCCTATCGAGCCGAACTTCGACGACGCCCTTGCTCCCCATGACCGAACCTACGTAGAGACGCCCCTGTGGCCTCTGCGGGACCGTCAAGAAGCGTTCTTGTACCGATATTTTGTCGACAGTCTGGCACCTTTGTTCGACTTGTGCGATAGCGACAAACACTTTGCGAGAGTCGTGCCGAAGCGGGCAGTGTATTGCCCGACGTTGCTGAACGCCATGTTTTCGGCATCTGCGAAGCGCCTGAGCCGTACAATGGGCGTCGATGCGGTTATTGCAGATAGATACCACCAGAGGTGCCTTCGGTCGTTGATCCCGGCTTTGTCGTCCTCCACGGCAGTGGTTGACGATAACTTGCTCGCGGCTGTCGTAATTCTCCGTTTCACCGAGGAAGTCGACATTGGTTCCATGACGCTCGAATCCCATTTGATGGGGACCAGAATCTTGCTGGCTGCCCAAGCAAATGCCGCTGACTTTAGTAGTTTGCGACTCTCGGCATTTTGGCTAGCGTTACGTCAAGAGATTTACATGGCGTTTGTCCATACCCGGCCTGTACATCCGAACTTCTTCCCCAGCATCCGAAGGATCCTGGAACGAAACAACGCGGACGATGTTGCGGCAGATTGCTTCTACGCCAACAAGGCCATCGGTACCTGCGCGGCGTGCCTCAGCCACTGCTACGGCCAAGAGAATCATCATGGGCGGACATACGCGGAGCTGAAGCAGGACCTGGATGACTGGTGGAAAGAGAAGCCGTGGTACTTTGAACCCATGTGGGCGAACCAAGAATCCGGTTTCTTGCCGGAAGAGCAGTACATTACCGATGCTGCTGTGACTGGGCTGCAACACTATCACTTGTCGAGGATGTTGCTGATTGCACATAACCCGAAAGTCCCGAGACTCGGAACCGCATTCCGCGCGATGGAGGAGGAGTTGAAACAGACCGTAAGGGTGATTTGTGGTCTTGCAGTGGTATGTTGTTGTCGCATGTTACACTTACTTTTTGCGAATATATGGATCAAGCTAACCTTTTGCTTTCTTTTTTTTTTATGCAGGCGAATGAAAGAACGGCTCCTGCATATGTGTATGTGTACGCTCTAATCCCACCCAAATCAAGATCCAATTTCTAACAATCTGATATGTAGAAATGCTTGTTTGGCCATAGCAATGGCAGGCGACCGTTTTACCGACCGAAAAGAACAGGAAGTGTTGTACAGAATTCTTTTGAAAACAGATAGAAGACTTGGGTGGCCGACTCATGCAGCGTAGGGCTCCCTACTTTACAAATCTTCAGGCGAAAGAGACATGCTTACAAGACTATAGACGAGCTCAGCTCAGAGAAGCTTGGGGGTGGGAAGGCGACTCCCCCTCCCCTCCGTCCATGCCTATCGCCGGCATGCTAAACGCTAATGCCCGTTCACGCGAGGCAGAGAGCTCACGAACTCAAAGCTGAAACGAATTGTCTTGTTCTTTCTTTTGTACATATTGTCTTACCACCTGTATTTCGAAGTTCGCCATGGTACATTGGATTGGAATTTGAGTAAAATTTGTATAACCCTAACCACTACACATTGCGGCGTTCATACATATCCTCTTAAGTAGCATAACCTTTCCACCACTATGCATTCCAATAAATTAACTGTCCATCTAGCTCGACTCAGTCATCTTGTCCCAACTCTCTGCGCCACACCTTAAGAGGCATTGCACTTGGCATACAGTTCATCGCCTCCCTCCTGTCAGGCTCCCATTCAGGGTAAGGAAGAGCAAATTCATATCTATGTAGCACACTTGCCAGCAGAACTGTTTGTTCTAGGTAGCTAATGTTTCTCCCAATGCATCCCCGTGCTCCTGCGCTGAAACTGACAAAGTAAGGCTGCAGCTTCTTGCCCTCTTCTCCCAACCAACGTTCAGGGATGTACGACTCGGGCTCAGGAAAGATTTTGGGATCTCTATGGACTATGTACGCCGAGATAGACACCGTGGTATCCCCAGGGATGAAGTCCCCAAGGACATACGCGCCCTCGGGTGGAGTTCGACGAGGAAGACCAAATGACGTGGGCGGAACGATTCTGAGAGACTCGTCGAGACAAGCTCTCAAATACGGAAGGTGTTTGACTTTGTCATAAGGCGCCACAACTTCGTCGGGCTCCATGACCGAGTCGATTTCTTCTCTGAGCTTCTTCATGCATTGCGGGTTCTTTAGCAGCCAGAACATGACATTATTCATCGCAATTGCTGTCGTGTCGGAACCAGCATTCATCATGATGGACACTTCGGCAACGATTTCACCCCATTCAAGGCCGTTCGGGGTGCCGTTCTTGTCTTCCATCAGAGCCTGGAAGAAGTCTGACAACTTCTCCCCCGCTTGGTAGCGCTTCAGCCGCTGGGTAGCCCTGTGATAGACAATGCCATCCCAGCCCTTGTTGAGGTTCCACCACTTGCGAAAGGTGGGCGAAAGAAGGGATGTCAGACGGCGGTTGAAGTTATACCATTCACCAGACCACGCAGTGATAGACTGAGCAAGGGCCGTTGAGTGAAGGCAAGCTCGAAAATTTACTTCATGGATGGATCCGTCCATACGCTCCGCGCGAACAAGATCATGCCCTTGGTCCAGGAAGCCTAGACGTTCGCTCAAGCCAATGTCAGCAATGGCATCGAGGCTGAAGAAGTTTGACCAGGCGCGGTAGTCGAATGAGAGATCGTCGGTCTCTGGGCGAAAACCCTCAGCCAGGGGCTTGGTACACGCCTTGTCGGCTCCTCGAACGAAGCGTTCGACCTTATCCGCGACTTTGTGTTCCCAGTTCTCCAAGTTCTTAAGGGCGTATGCCGCTGATAAGACCTTGCGCTTTCGAGCATGATCCGCTTTATCGACGACATCAGCAAGATGGAAATGTGTGCCGGCAAGTGTCTCGTAAAATTCTCCTTTGAGGCACTTGGAACCGTGACCGTAAATGTCCTTGATGGCATCAACTGAACCGTAAGAGAGCGAATTAGGTCCGATGCGCAATACGGGATGCTTCTTGTGCTTTTCGTAGAGAGTTTTTGAGCGAAAGCCTAAAGAAGCTTCGCGCATGAAAACCAGGTTGGTTATCCCCGCCAGGGGTTTGAAGGCAGGGTAGCGGCGTAGTCTCTTGGGGTCGCGGAAATATTCGACCAAGGGGTAGACTATGAGGTACAAGACGGCAGCCACTAAGGCTCCCAAAGGAAGAATTACTGAATACATGGCGCGTCGTTGGTCAATACTTTTTGGCGGACAACTTTGCTAAAAAAAAAAAAGACTTGGAAACTATTGATGTTCACGAGTGATGATTGTCAAAGACAGCGTCAAAGCTTCTAGGAAACAAAAAGGTCAAGAATGAATTATACCTCTCAATTACTCAGTCATACCAGCTGATGGATCAAAAAAAGGCAGAAAACCCCGCGGGATTGCCTTCAATGCACCACGGTGCTCCCCATGGTCCCTGTGAAGCCGCCGGGATAGTCCAAAGGCATTCATAACACCCACGCGCTCATCTAGCACATCTGTAATTCGGGGAATACTTCCAGAACCATGAAAACTTGCCTAAATGGACCATTGAGCTGTCTAGTCTATCGCTCAGTTGCCTATTTCTGACGCAGACAGCGGCTCAAGATGATCTAGAAAAATAAGGTGATGGCCCAGCGCAGGAAGCCCCCCGCACACCCCCACAATCCCCGCGTTCTAAGATTCGTTTAACACTAAGACTTTCCAATCCTGGATATCCAGGATTGGAAAGTTTCCTGTTAGAGCCAGACCTCCATCTATAGGGCCGACTCACTTGCGCTTCTGGTCCAAAGTAGCAAGTCTCGTGCTCACTGATAAGGGGACTTGAACTACTTAGTTGCCCTTTTCAACTAGAATTGGCAAGTTGAGTCTTAAACAAGCAAGTCGTTAGTTGCATGGCGTGCCGTGAATTTCCAAAGTGAGCATCCCGCCCATGCGGATAGCATGGCACACCCGACGACAGTTGGGACGGCGCGATGCATTGGCATGCCACATTAAGCCACATCAATGTCGTTGGGGTGTGAATATCAATTGATGAAAATCCCCACACTCCTGCAGAACTAAAGCTAACCATGCTGACTCCTTCTACCCCAGAAAACGCCAAAGAAAAAGAAGGGGAAAACCCCCGTTCTTGTTCGACGCCTCCCGGACGTCTTCGTCCGCTGTGGCCATAGCAATTCTTTCCATGTAAGGTACTCGTAATATTCACTCACTTTTTGTTCGGCTAAAACTCTCTTTCGGTATTTTTTCCCCTTCTAACTACTGCAAACATTGACACTCATGTCACTAACTCTTTTACCGCCACCGCACCTGTGGCGCTAGGCTCACTAGCACACCTCACTACATAAATCTCATGTCGCGTCATGAGTCGCGTCCTTAGCCACCATCTAGACTTACTCTGCACCTTGCTGAAAGCGGACGCCTCAAGATCACGGATGCTATCACTGCTATGAGGGGCTACAATCAAACATAACTTACAGACCGGGTTTTCCTCTGTCTGTTATCTTTCTTGTGGCAGTTCACGATTCGCAGTATATCTGAAGCCCCACCAGCAGTTGATGAGTACCAGGTACTGATGGTGTTGACAAGCAATCGAATGACTAGATGAGATCTCCTATGCACAGCAAGCAATCCCACCGCGATGAGAAACACACATGTGTTGAGAAGCGCGCTCTCGTTCTTCCCGATCAGAAGCAAAGCCCTCAACGTTCTTAGGGGTGAGATTCTCAAACTTTTGGTTGGTATTTTCATCATCTCCTTGAACAGTGCCATCATATCATTTCAGGCTTCTTACATATTAGATTAAAGACTTTCCCTCGGTGCCAGTCTTGCACCAGGGCTTGGTCAACTTCCACTCGGCAGCCTCATATTTTACCTTGTTAGGTCTTGTCAATCGGCTCATCTGCAAGGCTCACTGTTCGTGAGAACATGTTTCTCAAACCTTATCAAAATCTCCCTACTCCTGAATCTTACGCATCATACATGCTGACAAGAAAATCACTTGGTTTTTCACAGTTCAAAAGCTACGAATAGACTCCTCTGAATCTGGTCATGGATTTATTGTAAATCTATTAGTAGTATGTTGTCGAACAGCGCACTTGGCGTCACCAACCAAGTACCATTCCTCCTCGCCGGGGGGAAGTCAACTATCTTCGCAATATCTTAGATGGGGTATAGGAACTGCTTGTTCTGCAGATCAGTCAAGTCCAAAACGGCCATGTCCACTTTAACTCGGACAACCTCCCCATTCTCGTCCACATGCTCTACGTATCCCTCTCGTTCATCATCACTCAAAGAGGCAATGTATTCCCTTCTCTCCGCATTCCTTCGGGCCAGGATGAAGCGGATGATCCACAGGATAACCGGTGTTCCAATCCAGCTAACCACAATCATAGACACCCACGCTCCGTAAAATCTTGGCCCGTTGCTTGGAATCCATATCTGAGGGGAAACCAAGTTTCCCACGCTATAGCCCAGCATGAACATGACATTGCGGGTCAGCTTCTTTGTATATCCGGCTGCGGTAGACGTGGTCCACCCTAGTGCGATGATATACGTCACGCCATACGTGGAGGACGCGAGGATCAAGCATCCAAGCAGGCCAATCTTCTGGTTCCAGTCGACCGTTGTCATGGCAATCCCGCCAGCCACTGCAGGCAAACACCAGACCGTTCCATGTAGGGCAAGATTCTTAGGCCACCTGCGCAAGGCGAAGGTGGCAACGATGCAACAAGCCACTCCGAAACCACCACCAGCTGCTGCCACCAGAGTAGACCCAAGAGGCTTGATACCAATTGAGGTGGTGATGAGATTCTTCTGGCCGTAATTGAGGTTATTCGCGTACATGAGCGTGAAAGACTGGAGTGCAAAGAGCCAGGACACAGGATCCTTCATCGTTTCGATAAACTGTTCCTTCTTGAATTGCTTCTGTTCGATTGAGCTTTGTTGGGCTTTGTGAACACGGCGGATAACCTGTACTTTCTCCTCAAGAGTGAGAAAGCGAGCCTCGGCCGGGTTGCTGGGATAGTCGATCCAAACCCACACTGCCAGGAGTAGTGTGAGACCACCCATGACGATGTGAAGAAGCTTCCATGGTAGCACCGGGCCGCTGCTCCACAGCAGGCCATATGAAATAAAGCCTGTAACGATAGGTGCCGCTTGACAGGTGATCCAGAGCACCGGTTGCAGAAAAGACTGCTCATGACGGTTGAAGAACATGCCGATAGTAACCTCCATGGCAGGCACAATGACCGCTTCAGCAGCACCAAGTGCGAGCCGCATTACTACAAGGCCAGCGTATCGGGTTGCCACGCAGTGCAAAAAGATGATGACGGACCAAGCAGTGATTGTCACCGCAACGTATTTTCCGAACGGTAGCCGTTGCATCAGGTAATGGCCAGGCCATTGGAAAGCTAAGTACCCTGTTTTTTCCATTGAAATTAGTTGATGCTAATTGGCTTGTGTAGAAAAGCCAGTTACATACCAACGTAAAACATTGTGTTCAAGTTATTATATTGCGCCTGTTTGATCCCAGTCTCTTCGAACAGTCCCAAGATTGCAGCGTAGCCAAGAGTGGATTTGTCGACCTAGACGGGGGCAATTAGGATTAGAAACTCGGCTTTTTCCGCATTCAAACTGTCGAAGAGCCATCCGACTTACAAACAGCATGATGTTGATAGCAGACAAAAGCGTCATTACGCGAAGATACAGCTTCCGCCGCAGCTTCTTCTCCGCTTCAGGAGTAAGAGGCCCAAACTTGTCGCCATGTTGCTCGAGAAGCCGGAGCGTAACGTCTGCATTTTTCTCTGTGACAGTCTTACCCTTGGAAGGGCTGGTCACCGAAGGTTGAACCTCCTTTTCGTTGGCCATGGTTGGGCGCCTTTGGACCTGTTGTCGATGCGCGGATACCAGCAATGAGCACGTGTTGTATCAAGGGCCACAGTGCATTTCACTTGAGGAGGCAGCATAGCAATGACGGTCAACCTTATATTACTCACATCTAGGGGAGCAGTGGAGTGCCAAGGTAATAACTCTGAAGACGCAATTGATCCGATTCCCAGGTCGGATTGTCGTCGGTCATGGCCCCACCAATGCGCGATGTTCCCCCGCAATCACGCAATCTTATGGGATGATAAACCCAGCCTTTCGGGATGGCAACATGAACGAAAAGTTGTGTTTTAGTATGTCAGTTGCTCTTCATATCCTAGCGGTGCATCAATTCACCTACTTATTATCTAGTGCGCGGGTGGTGTAAGTACAATGCGTAAGGTTATTGCAGGCCCATTTCGATGGGACCAGAGTGCCGGGACATGGTTCCATTGCCACGTTCTCGATATCTTCAGCCGCATAGCCCGTGAAGGGTAGCCATTAGTGTTTGGTTATTAAGAAAGATACGTGTTGTGCATATATTACTCAAAAGTCCTGCCCAGCTGGCTGAAGGGGCGTAATACTTCTGCTGTGGCCATTACTTGGGAAATAGAAGGTCCTGCAAAGCTTTTCAGCATCAGTTCAGCTATCTTGAGATTCCCATTTCCAGATATTATATTTGAGGCGTATGTCTGATGAAAAAAGTCGAAGTCACAGTCTTCCTGAGAATCGAGCTCTTATTCGGGGAAAGCCTTGAGTCATGTCGGGGGCTGGCCGGTTATGCAGTTATGGTGTAATTAACATTCTAACCTAACCGGGCGAAAGGATGGCATGGCAATTGCGCCCTAGTGCCAGACCAGCCGAGTCCGTTCCGCCGCATGTCAGCGACAGCCCGCTTTCTGATCCCCGATAAAATAAATTAGTCAAACTCAAGGTCTGCTGTTTTTCCTTCGAACCCAAAGTATCCAGACCTCCCTCTCACATGCAAATAAAATCCACCATGGATGGCTTTAGTATTGCGTTGTCAACCTGACAAATCACTGTCATTGGCAATACTTTTGAATAGATTTGGTTGCTTGACAATGTCAAGGGCTGAAAAAATCTTATTCCTTTCAGCCAGTGGCCTCTTCAACGCCTGTTAAGAACTAAAGAATATGAAGGGATAGAAGACTATGAAGCTTAGATTCTTTTCTTTGACGATACCAATGCCTTCTTGAAATTAAGCAACTTACAATTCAACGTAAGCATGAATCCTGCGTCGCCTCATATTTGTGCCTCTTCGGAAGCTGTATGCACTTTTTCAGGTTCGCTTATCCTTTGTGTAGGTACGTCGAACTCGGCCAAATATTTTAGATCTGCAAGATCTATTTCTTCAGGTTGTGGCTCAGCCTCAGCTACTTGTATATCCGCAGGCGGCTGTGCTGAAGCGCTTGTATGATGAAGACCGTTCAAGTCTACTGAATAGCGTCCAGTATTGTGGGTCCTATCATTGACGTCGACCTCCGAACGGTTCTGTTCTCCTTCATCACTGTCGACAGACACAAGCTCATGAATCCGGTTGCCTCGACGTACAGCCAAATTTCCAATTGTTTGAATTCTGTCTTGATTTGCATGTGTCGACTCCGCTAGCCGTCTACGTCTGACCAGCCGGCGAAAGTAATCCCGGAACGCAGGCATGCAGGAACAAAAGATGAAACCGTTGAGCTCGACAAAAGACCAGTTGGAAATGGGAACAATGTCCCCTATATTAGGGTAAGTCATTTTTAGTTTAAGAATGGAAAAAATTGTCAATTATAACTCACATGTAGGATTAGACGTTTTCATGAAACTTTTGATACTCTCCAAGCGCAAGACAGATACCAGAGTTATACTTTCACTATGTCAGTTACACACATTATTGTGCATGAATACAGGATTGGTGGCGTTTGAATTTAGGAAGAACTCACAGAAATGCAACCGCAAACATCATTGCGGCTCCGAGCTTCTGTTTCCAGCGCCAGTTAAGCCTCAAAATTTGAGAGAGTGGCATGACGACCACTAACGTCCCACACCCACTTCTGGGCACCCCCCACATTTGGGCACCCCATTTACACCAAAAACGCCGTTTTTCGAAATTCTATATTAAACTAACTACTATACTTACTAAGAAAAGAAAATATATATAAACTATGTTAAGTATAATTATAGCCATCTAATTTTTTATAAAGGTTTAAATATAATAATAGTTATAATATAGAAGTTTAAAACTAAAAGCTTTAAAATGTTAGTAGATACTAGTAACTTACTAGTATTCCTTAACATTAGAAAAATATATTTTCGCTTATATATACTTATTTAAAAAATCTAGGAAATTAATATTTATACTTATTAAAAGTATATAATTATATCTAAAAGAGATTTAAAAGTATTACTTTAGTAAATATAGTATAATTAAGGGTTAAAATTCTATAATAGAAACTTTTCTTAAGGGAAATTTTAAAATATTATTCTAAGCTTAAAGAATTTTTTACTAAGTATAAGAATATATAAATCTACTATATCTTACTTAAAAATTCTAATCATATTAGTTAAATATCTCTACCTATTTTATATATTAAGATATAGGCTAGGTAAATTAGTATTATAAATGTTAAACCTTGAATTTATAATACTTATTATCAATAATACTAGTATATAGCTACTTAAGTATTATAATTAAGTCTTAATCTATTTAACATATATTTATTCTCTTTAATAAGTAAAGTATTTAGTTTAATATAGAATTTCGAAAAACGGCGTTTTTGGTGTAAATGGGGTGCCCAAATGTGGGGGGTGCCCAGAAGTGGGTGTGGGACGTTATCACATCCAGTGTTATATTTACACTAGCATGTATCCACGTCTGCATGTTGATATCATGGCAGCGGCCTTCGTGCTCACCATCCCAACGTGTCCAAGTATAGCTGATAGGCCAGCATTGGAACATCGTGGCGAAAAAGAAGCCTATTGCTGACAGAATGCAGGTCCAAATGACCGCCCATGTCAGTTTGCGAAAGCGTTCATCAGAGAAGAGGCGGAGATAGAAGAAAAGAAAGTTTGTTTTTGCAAATAAAACTGTGAATGCGTAGAAATGCTCGCTAATATAGAATAGCTAAAACATGTCAGTTGTTGATAACACTACCTAAACTACCGATTGTGATACAACCGTAGCCGCACTTGACATACCTTGAAAAACTCATTGATTTGGTCCGGTGTGAGTTGCCATATGTCTTTGCCGAGGCCATTCTGGACCGCTTTGCGAAAGATTTAGTGTAGGTCGAGAGATTTAAATGATAAGCTGGCCTTACTGATGACAACGAGTATGCTCATCGGCAATGACAATGACTAAAATAAGACGAACAGGTCAAAATCTTCTTTTGATACTGCCTAAACTGCTCTCCACTACTTGTAGTTTGGCAACTCACCATTGTCAATATCAGAGCATAATCATCAAGCCCTACTCTGTAGTCGAGTCGTGAAAGCTGGGAATATTCGCGTATAGCAACGCTTACAACGGCAACAAGCGCGCCGGCAATAGCACTTGCAGCCGCTGATGTACCTTGATCTCTGACAGGCAATCCACAAACTCCAGATAGAATTCTCTGTGTTTCTAACAGTACGTTAGCATGTGCATCCTGCCTTGGTGATCCTGATGGATTTCAGCCATCTTAGATCAGTTACAAAAATAAGCTGCTTACTGAGCCCGTTGATCACTGTGCAGTTCTGAAAGGCGCACCCAATCGCTTCGGAGAATCGAGCATCGGAACACAGATAGTTGACTGAACCTGATGTGACTGAGGAGATGGTGGCATCCGTGATACAATTTGCCTTGGTAGGTGTTCAGCCTTGGCAAGCTCTTGCCCCAATTAAAAGTCCATGATAGGGGTGTCAGGATTAGATATAATTGGGACTCCGCTTACCGAGCATCCGGGGAGGAGTGTTGATAAATCCAGAGAGGCCATGGCCTCCACGGCAAGGATATGACCGTTTTCTAGCGTCGACATGGAGGGTCGTGACGGCGTCTCCTGGAGCGGCGACGACTTCGAAGGGAGGTACAAACCACAATTCCTGAAACACTGAATGAACTAAGTGGAATACTGCCAGCGATTTCAAGGTCTTGGTATTTTGGGTATGCTCCGCTGCCAGTTGGGGAATTTAGGGATAGGTGTTCAGGAGTCGCTGATTGGTTTTTGTACTTCCCTAAGCCAGCTCGATAGTCCGGAAAAACACACTACCCTTCTACCTCCGTAGCTTTCCGTCTCACCCTTTTAGGTTGTTCTTAGCGCTACATGGTATAAATAATTGTATGCGACGCCGATATGCAGCCTGAGCAGGGAAGGACGAAATAAGGTTCAAAATAGTTGAGGGTGTTGTCTGTGCGTCGGATGAAATCCTCTTTAGGCGGCAATGTACACCGTTGCCCAAAGGCTGAATGTTTCTGCAATTATACTCAGCAGATTGCACCGAACAAGAAAAGGTTGACTTGGAAATGCAGAGTCTGGTTAGATCTAGAAGCGATATATTATACTGCTAGTGTTGGTTCAGAATGTTTGGGGTTAAGCTAATAATGGTGTTGAAATACTTAATCGTGGAGAACAAACTGATGGGAACAAATTGTTACGGGAACATAAAACCCCCGCAAACTTACTATGGCTTAAAATTCTCAGCGGAAATTGTAGGCTCTCTATTACCGCCTCGACTGGGCACACTTCCATGAACCCAAATGTGAAAACAGGAAATGCGCCACCGTATGCCACCACTGCTTTTCCTATCCGCATCTACTCAACCCGATGATCCAGAAGAGAAAAAGCGCTGCAAACAATGAAATTTGCGTTAAAAGAGGTGGTGATTAGAATTGAGGTCTTGTATGTGAAAGCCATTGGTGGCGTTGAGTGCCACAGGGCGGAAATGGTACCGCAGATAAAGGGGGGTTGGCATTTGGCGATATTATGTTTAGATTGGGTTACATTCCAAGCACCACTGCCCAACCAACGGTGTAACCGGTCTGAATGAGGGCCCCTAACCGAGGAAGGATTACTACATAGGGGGTCAGACATGAATACAGTCACTTTGGGATACCTAGCTGACCTCTTGGATATGTGCCACAACCACTGACAATAAAGGCCTCCAAAATAGACTTCTCATCACCAAAGTGCGCCTGTTGGACAAACACACTTCCTTCTCCCCAAAAAGAGGGTATGCGGATTTAAAGGCTTGCTCACGATTGTCTTTTCAGTCTTTCAGCACACTGAGGGTATCCGGGACCTCAACGACGCCAACAGAATGAAGACTGAGGGCATTTGACGACAGGCCGTAATCCACTTTGAACATAGTGTTCCCGGCGTTGGTGGATATCAGAAGATTTGCACTGCCTCTGGAGTTAATCTGTAGGAAGGTCTAGGGTGAATTAAAATGAATGAAGCCAGCCACCTCGAGTATTTCTGTTCCATCAAAAGTTGGAAGTAGGAAAGCATTTGTGAATTTGATGTTTAATTAGAGATTAGTATCCTCTGAACCTACGTTGAATGCAGCCTTAGTTCGTGTTATGAGGTATATAAGCATTGGCAATACGGGTCATCGTGGTATTGGGGGTAACCATTAGGCCGCGAATGATATGGGGATTGACGATCGGGGGTCTTGCAGTTGATATTAGAAGTATAAGATGGAGTTGAACGAGACTTTTGCATATCGTGTAACCCAGATTCGATGTGCTGCAGCCCGTTATCGTATAAAATAGGTCTGGTATTGGTGCTGAAGTCGAGACTAACGCATGAAAGGGCTGAAATTACGTCTGCTTTGACAGTCTCAACAACTTTTTCGATGTCGAGAAGAAAAGCACAGAAAGGCGATAAAAGAGTTCTGGCTCTCCCGCTCAGCTTTTCGAGTGCCTCATTTAGGGTTATGATTTGGCCGGTAGTGGGAGGTGGACTGTTGAAGAACGTCCAGACTCAGCCACGACATAGCATTATGATTTGATGTAGGAGCTGATCGTCGTGAGCAGAAGAAGTAAAGCAAATCAATAGTAATTCTAGGTTCACTTTTGTCTGGTTTGGCTTTGCGCAACTATCCAGTAGGTTGCTGTTAGTCTTTGGCAGTGAGCGTAGTGCGTCTATAGACAGTACCATCTGATATATGTGGTCAGGATAGAGAAGTAAACCGAGCGTATTGTTGCCAGAGCAGCATATAATTCAATAAAGTGAGGGAAAAAAATGCAATCTTACTTCAAGAAATCTTTTGTCGACTTCGTAAGCCAAAGTGGTCTTCCACTTTTGATCCATACTCTCAACCTGCATACAGAATCTGTATCTAGAAAGTCTTTCGGAACAATTCAGTCTTGTGCTTTGAAGGCGAGTTCACATTTTTATATTAATGCCATGAACAAGAGAGAATGTAGATTCATATTTCTTTTTCTCGATATCGAAGGTACTATAAAATAATTACCGAGATCAAGAATCAACTACTCATGGTGTAGACATATCTTGGTGAAATAAAGGATAATTTATCCGTATTATTACCAGGTTATTATTATCTTGCTCAAGTTGGTATACCCGAGTTTGAAATGACATTAGCCTTAGCGCTAGAAACAAAGTGAGGCAATATTTGGAGAAGGCTCTAGAACTAACATTCGGTCTTTCAAAGAAGTTGAATATATGACTTTTTGAAATTCAAGCTAGCGGGTCTCCATGTTAGTACTTGGACATCGTGAAATCCGGAACGTGGTAGTCATGAAACGCAGCATGATTAATTCCGTCGTAATTGGAAGGAGAATGTTGCCAAACAACGATAGACGAAAGGATTTACAGTCTGCTTATGCCACAACTCTTTATTTTCGTGGCAACGTGAGATTGCCGTAGCCGAGGTCAACACTCCGCCGTAAAATCGCACATCTGAGGCCTTAACATGGTGTGGTAGCAGCTGAATTACCAAGCCATAGAGGTCATTTGTCTCATTCTCGATAGCTTTAATGATAGGTATGGCTGGCTTCATTTCCGACAAAAATGTTACCCGTAGTACCTATCTAGCATATGATACACCCGATCATGGAAGTTAGCCACCAGTATAAGATCTATATGATCGCAACATCACAATAGCAGAGTTATACGTCCTTTAATCGTAGTAAAACTTTTGCAATTAGATTTAGATTTAGTAATAATTGTATATAATTACTGTGGAAACATCATTTGGTTCAAGAGTCTTCCTGGCGCGACTCACGTGCTATGTTGTGGCCCGCCACATTCCACTTCGCGTGTACATTCTTCGCGACTGAGGTGGGGATATTCTGAGTTTGTCAGATGATTGGGCTGAGGCCAGTTGAATGAAATGTCAGCTCAGATGTTCTGAGAAAACCCTTTGCTGCATGGCACAGATAAAGAAGATCAGAAGGTGATAGATGGTTAGCCTGCAGTTGGAACACTTAAGGACTAGTGTTTCAATGATGATAGAGTAAGATACTGACAGTAAATCTTCTGCTTGATAGAGAGTCTACGGCTATCTTTCAATTACATCATAACACCCTCCTTTTCATTTCAGACTGGTATGCAACAGCCGTCGCAACACATGCTTGTCGGCTTGGATTGAAGTGAGTGTATGGCTCACATCAATGAATTGATTAACAGGCGAGATGCTAAAAATAGGTATGCTCAATATTGAATGAAACTAGAAATACGTTATCCGCATCATTATCGTATTGAATCCTGCAAATGTCTTTCAAAAGTAGCATCACAATCTCTTTCTCACACTCCTTGACATAAGTGGTAATGCATTGCACTTGGCATAGCGTCCGCTGAAGTATTATGAGTAATTTAGAGACGTCTGGTATAGGCTTTGATTTATCGCCAAATATCACATGTCTAAAGTATGACAATGCTAGATTAACAAGCTTGTGAAACAAAGCTGCTGATTCGGACAAAACCATGCCGTAGTCTAAGGTAGGCTTTACTAATCAGTATGCTAGTCCTCTTCTTTCTGTTCGAGGTCTTTGACACTAAACTTAGTCTAGTCGTTTATCTATTTCAACACGAGGTCTTTGAAGCAATAGCAGTTGTATGAATTTCACTCCGATAATCAACTACTAATTGACAAGAACCTAAATAATCAAATACAACTGTTCGATTGACTGATAAGTACAACGTAGATATGTGTGCCCCCTACATATGATACGAGCGGTTTAACAGTGACTATTAGACTTAACAGAAAGGAGAGAACAACCAATCCGGTCTTGTGTTGGAACTAATGTCTGTGACGTATCGATGCCACTCGAAGCTTTTCGGATGAAGAACAACTTCAATAAATTAAGCATTGATGAGATATTTCACTTCACATTCAGCAGGGCAGCGTGATACAGATGAAGATAAAGTCCTTCAAGAACTCCGGGATTGGCAGGCCTTGATGTCTCTGAGCCTGTCAGATTCTACCCACATGATAAAGAGATGTTTTATGTATTGTACGAAGCCATACTGGGTCTTGGGTCAGGCTGGTGCTATATGTATCTTATAGGGGCATCATGAGCCATGGATGAAGTGCTTATGCGGAGTACGAGATAGAACCGCAATCGAAAGCTTTCGTACAGAACAGTGTTCACAGCGATCAAGCTGCGAATTGCGTTCATCATAACATCTTCAACATACGCTTAGGTACGTCAAAGACTTATGACATTTGATCAAGCAATATTTTGCTCGTGTCATGAACATTCATACGGGCTTCTTCGCATGACTGGGCTGAGGGGAAATCATGAAGTGAAGTCGGAAGAATATTAACAGATGTTGTAATTTCCGAAGTGTCATAAAGCAACTTGAATAAGATTCTCCCATGCCATTGGAAACGCCTATCTCCATAGTGACTCCGGGAATATGCCTCCATTACCCTCAGTGAATTGCTCATGATGTATGGCGAGGTGGCAATGTCGGCTAGTTGACATCAAGAACTTTTGAAACGCTAATTCCATCAGCAATAACTCTCTCAAGCGACAGTAAATTGATCTTCGAGTTCGTGAAATAAAGCCAGATGCCATCCGAGCCTTTTTGCACCCTCCACGTCTCCTGTGACTTCATAATATCGAGTCATATTTCATGACGCAGTGTGTGCGTATCGAGATGATAGATCCATGCTAGAAAAAGCTTCTGGAATTGCAGCAATGCTATTTACAATACTTTTAGTCAGTCTTTCCGTTTTTGAAGCTAACTAGGATATCGCCACCAGCACAACAAGATGGCACAGTAAGATGGGCTTCAAGCTTCCAGAACGCTCGAGTAATGAAGGCTCCAGAATAAGCATTTCCAACAAGAGATTTGATGTCGTCATAGTACCATCGTGTCTCCATGACGGTCGAAAATTAGAAACGTTTGCCCTCTAGGGATATCATCGTCGCATGTGGGCCGTTAGAATCATTTTTGGCTTCAAGCAGACAACGGGCCGAGACCCGTTCGACTGGCACTATGACTCGTTCGCCCGACTTCCCCGCCCAGGCAATCGGGATCGGGAGCCGCATGGGTGATGGACAGGGGCAGATCGAAAAGGGGCGGGAAAATATATCGGTGTAGGGGGGGGGGGGGGCGAAGGCAGGAGTTTAGCCCATGCCAAGAGGCGACAATCGGGAAGTTATTTGCAAATGGAACGTTTTTTTCTGGCCTAGGGATGGAGAAAATGTAAGCTGTCGTCAAGAAGCTCGGGAGGGCGCCCGGCGGAACGCCAAAGACAGGACCCAATTTCCAAGCTTGACTGAAGGGAATGCACGCTTATTACGGTATTGAAATGGATGGTTTGTTTTTTTCTGATGGATTACGGCCTATTGATTGGCCCCTTGCTGGCTTTCCGCCCCTTTCGTTGGATTGCGGAGAAAGTGAGACACTACGGACTGTCGAGTTCCCAGACGGGGCGATCCATTCTTCACCTTCTGGCTAAACTCAACATGATCATTCAGGTAAGAGACATGATAGCGAGGAGATTAGGGTTGGCTGATGGAGGGCGGACGGCGTAGTATGACGGCGAGAGAGTGTGTTTGAACGAGGCATGCAACCTCATTTCGTCACATAGGAGACAATGTCAGGCTGTGCGATAGGCCACAAGCGAGAAACGGGGGGCATAACATGGACTATTATGGTCCATCTGTAGCGAGGAAAAGGGAGCGTCGAGATTGTATAAGAGACTGACAAGTTTCCGGGTTCAGTTGGTGTTTTCTTTTCCTCTCTCACCCTCACCATCATTACTCCGGCATCCTTAGCCTTCTCACTCTCGCTTCAACCTCGATTCCTTCGTTTAGTACCCGAGGTCTACAGTCATTCATTACTTGTGTTTTTAAGTCATTCGTTCATAATGCAGCGCGTGGCTCTTCTCGCCCTCATGGGCCAGGTGGCTTTGGGCCAGTTGTTCACCAACGGCACCACAACCAGAACCAGCACCACCTCCAGCTTGACCACCAGTGTCACCACAACCGCTCCTGTCATCACAAGCGAGGAGCCCACTGAGTCCGAGACTGTCATTGACTTCCCACCTGACATGTCAACGGAGTCCACCGCCCAGCCCAGCTCAACTGCCTCCCCCAACCCTTACAATGTTGGCGGATACTTCCTCCAGGGCTGCTATGGTTCTCCTTCTAGCTTCCCTACCTTTGAGCTTGTGCTTTCCGCTGAGTCCATGACCATTGACCGTTGCATCGCCAAGTGCGCCCCCGCCAACAAGAACTACGCCGGCCTCTTCGGATCTGACTGCTTCTGCGGTAACTTCATCGACGATGTCAACGAGGTCCTCGTCCCCGAGGAGCAGTGCAACATCCAGTGCCCTGGCAACCCCAGACAGCGCTGCGGTGGCCGCAACCAGTCCCCTGCCCTCAAGAAGCGCCAGGTCAACCCTCTGCCCCCCGTCTTCCCCGCCTCCAACCGCTTCACCATCTACAGACGCGACGGTGCCACCAACGGCAACAACGGTACCATCACCACCACCGTCACCGTCACCACTGGAGCCGGCGGACTTGGCGTCATCACCACTGCCTTCTGCCCCTCTTGCCCCGACTGCAAGGGTCCCTGGTGCTACAGCCGTCCCAACACTGGCTGCTTCGGCGGCGACTGCTACAAGAAGCTCGTCTGCTACGGAGACTGGTGCTCTTGGGACTTCCCCTGCTACGGCGACTCCTGTGGCCGCCGTCTCGTGTGGGTTGACGGACACTGGAGGCCCGAGGTCTGCCACGGCGAGGAGTGCGGCCGCAAGGTCATCTGCAGCAACGGTGTCTGCCAGTACTCTCAGTGCAACAGCGGCTGCAACAAGGAGAAGATTGTCTGCTACGGCAACGTCTGCCAGGTCGAGAACTGCGGCACCAACGAGTGCAACAAGAAGCTTGTCTGCCAGGACGGCTCCTGCCAGCACCAGACCTGCCCCTACCAGGAGATCAACAACAAGTACACCTGCACCGGCTCCGCGTGCCAGATCGTCAAGCCTTGCACCACTTGCACTCCCGCTCCTCCTTGCACTGGTGACAAGTGCAACATCGTCATCGCCCCTCCCCCCGTCACCCAGACCGCTTGCGTCGGTGACAAGTGCAACGTCGTCGTTGTCACTCCCACCCCCATCACCCAGACCCCCTACGTCCCTGCTGTCCCCACACAGCCCGCGATGCCCCCTGCCCAGCCTACCCTCCCCCCCGGTGCCGGTGGCGCTCCCGGCGGCGTTCCCGGCGGCGTTCCCGGCGGTGTCCCCAGCGGTGGTCTCCCTGGCAACGGTGGAAAGACCGTCGTCACTGCCGGCTCCGGCAAGTCGGTCGCCAGCTTCGGCGCCCTTGCTTTCAGCATCATTGCCGGTGTTGCTTTCCTCCTGTGAGAGGACTTGTAAATCGATACGGCCTTTCCTTCTTCGCTTCTTCCGGCTCGCTCATGGGCTCCGTAATTTTTCGACTGGTGGATTGATGATGGTATAATGGTGTTCTATTCGACAGAGGCCTAACGGTCGTGGATGGGTGCCGTCTCTGGGCCCCGTTGTTCAGCTTCCGATGACTTTAAGAAATGATTCTGACGATATAGAAAATAAAGCGCGTGCTTCGCTACAAATAACTGTTTTGTCCCTTTCCCCATGCGATGCTTGTGAGGTTGCTTTGCCATTGACTGTCGATGTTTGTAAATGGTTCAGTAATGGGATGACAGGCCTAGATGTCAGTCATAGTGGGTGAAATGATCTTACACTGCATCAAAACGCCCGTGACATGGGTGAAACAAGTATTTCCCACTGAACAAGCTCTCTGTGAGCAACGTGTTGAAAAGGCTAGTGTTGTTTGAAGATAGGTAACGTTCACCTGAAGCCAGTCCCCTCGATAATTTCGCAGCCGTGTACCACATCCAATACGATGTCACTCTTCAGTGGACGAAAATATAAGCACAACATCAGAACATGCTCTGAACCCAACAAAGTCATGAAAAGGCATGCATCCCCCAAGCTCTAATGCCCACGCCCCATCTCCTTCTCCCACTCTTGCCGCTGCTGCGCGTCTTTTGCCGTCTCTGGCCCAAAGGCAGACAAAGCAGAGGCCCAGTCGCCGCCAAGACTCCTAATTTTGCGGTACTTTGCAACTCTGAAAAAAAAGTCGAGCCATTTGGTGGCAACCGCAGTGAAGAACCAGATAAAGAGGACTGTGCCAATGACCCAGCGAACCCACCTGGGCGGTGCGTAGTATTGGATGATTATGTCAATGAGTCTGGCCACGCCGGCCCAACCTGTGTACGTGCCGTTGGGGCAGTCGCAATGGACAGGCTCGGTGTAGCAGGTGATCGGGGCTAGCGGTTTTTGGTCTTCCATTTTCTATAATGGACTTATTGTTATCCTTCCCATTTAAACTACGTATGCTGAAGAAACAGGGATTTATACCTTTGAGGCTAAATATTCGCGTGGGTTTATGTTTGGCTTTGGGGTGTGGAGCACAAAAGAGTATAAGCAACTTGCCAGTTAAAAGTGAAAGAGAAAGTATAATAATGCCGGGACCATCTCGGGGTTCCTTACTTTTCAATTCCACGATGTCCTTGGCGGCCGAGCCAGAGAAGCGGCGCAGCAGTGGGAGGCCTGGCCGTGGGGCCGGCTGGGTAGACTTGGCTAGATGATCAATTGGCTCTCATACGACGGTGACGTTTTCTGAGCAGTCCCTTATGGGTCATTACCATATCAGGAAGAGGGTCACTGGGGCTATTTGATGCTGACGGTTCGATTACTCTCTCATTGGCTCCAAGATTAGGCGCGGCTAATACGGAAGAGGACGGGTCTTGTATAAAGTTAGTCGGAACCTCTCTTTTCCGTGGATTTGAACTGTTAGATTCTCTTTCACCTAGAAGGAGAAAAATAACAATTGCGAAGATGCAGAAAATGAAATATGTATGCATTACATTAGTACAGTTCTTGGAAATTAACCAAGAGTGAATATCACAAATGATAAATTGGGAAGTACTAGCTAGCCTGTTAAGTTGAATATCATGCCTTTCGTAATAACTGCGCTGCCGCCACTTCTTCCATCTCAATCAGCAACACGGCCACGAAGTGATGCGTAAGACCCATGTGCAACGGGGAATTAGGCTTATCTATCTAACACGATTTGGGTTTCTTCAACGAATCCTGCTCGCTTTGGCGGCTCTTAGGGCCCCTCCACGGTTCAAGCTCGCCGGAGTATCTCTGTTGGTCACTCCAGCTTCAGCGGGTCAGCTCCGATCGGGGCCGGGGTCCATATTTTCGTGTGGGGTCTCCCGGCTGTCCGATGTATGGCTGGTCCCGGGGTTGTGGTTCAAGGTGGCAAGGGTTGTGGCCGTTTTCGTTCCGGCGGAAATCCGCTTTCAAAATATCAAATCCAACGTCACTTTTCAGTCATTGCAAATCATGACAGAGGCAGAGAAAGAGCGGCAAGCCTAGAACGTTGGTGCTGGTGAGACCGTGTCGCGGAAGACCGAACCCCCAGCCGTCAGCGAGCATTTTTATCCAAAGGACCTGCACCGGTATAATTCAATTTTAACATATTTCGCATCAAGAAAAGTTAACCAACATTGGTCGGCAGGGCCCAAAGTTGGATCTTAAAAATTGGTAAGCGTCATCCTTCTCGGGAAAATGTCGCATCCGCCCCTTTGCGCGTTTCAGCACGTGGGAGGTCCAGGCGGCGCTGTAACGGCGTTGCGAAGCCAGATGTGAGGGCACGGATTGGTTCGCAAGAAGAAAAACGTCTACAGTGGACTCGGGGCGCTATTCTGTGGCTAAGCGATGGCTTCTAGGGGCACAAAGCCTGCCGAAGACGTGTGAGGGAGAAGGGGATGAAAGAAGGAAGGAAGGGGTCAGTGAGGAGGGGGAGACAGCAGGTGGCAGGTGCTGGCGTTGCTGGCGTTGGTGGCATTGGTGGAAGGAGGTTGGGAGGTGCCGGTACCTTTCATTCCTTCCCACTGCGATAATACTAGTACGTAGTAGATTTGGTTGCTGCTGCTGCAGGCGTAATGTACGAGTCTAAGTGCAAGTACCACCCACTGCACTGGCTCCTTCTTCCTGCAGGCAAGGCATCGGATGTACCGTTCCTGCCTTGTCGTGTGTGCGCGCGCGTGTGATTCCTGTTTGCAGAGGAAAGAGCTTCCATGGCAATTGCCCCTGCGTAAGCTGGTTCCTACTTCCGGTGGTCGTAGTTCTCCTTCCCATTACTTACTGACATTACCGCCAAAGCCAGGCCCTTTTACTCACCCACTATTCACCCGCATACACACACACACACACTCTCTCTCTCTCTCTCTCTATTGGCCTCTCCCCACCCTCAACCTACCTCCATCATCAATCTGACTCTCCTCGTACCAGCGGTGAGCACAGCTCGCGTGCTGACTTCTTCCGAAGGCGACACCGACACCGACACTGACTGACACTGACCTTTCCAGACGCGGCCGGGGCACATGGATGAACTTTATCTTGACCAACATGCCCTTCGCGTCTTCCCCCGCGTCGCCTAGTTCTCCAAATCCCACTACTACAGCCCTTCCGCCTCTTGCTAACCATCCCTCTTCTCCCTCCGTTGGCCCTCTTCCTCCTTTGCCCTCCATCCATCCTCAAGTCTCTCACCCGAACTCCCCGTCACCGACAGCGACAGGAAGGCGCATCGGCAGGAACAACTCTCGCTTCCTGCGTCGCTTTGCTTCCGGATGGCTGATTGATCGCTATATTCTCGTCCCGCCCATCCTGTGGCGCTCTCACGTTGACGTTGCCGTCACAACTGCCGCCAATTCACCTTCATCGCAAAATTCACATCAACTGCCTCAGTCGTGGATTGAAGACCTGGAACAGCAGCAGCAGCAGCAGCAACAGCAGCAGCAACACAACCAGGAGGATCCTACTAGCACAAGGGCGGAACGCCCGATGCAGTCCGCTATGGCGACGGATCCGGACACCAACCCAACCGCCTCCCAGCCCCGGCCTCAATCTCACCGCCAGGATCAAGATCACCAACAGCAGCAGCAACTCAAGAGAAAATGGAAAAAGATTTGGCTGAGGGGGCTGTCGGTTCGCATCCGCCCTCGCAAAGACACGCCGCGACGGGCCACCACCGCTGCCACACCTGTTGCAGCAGCAGGAAGAGGAGGAGGTCCTGAAGGACAAGGGCCGACGGACAGCCTAGAGAGGGGCACCCAGACCACCACTGGTCAACAGATGCTGCGGCAATCAGAAACGCTTGTGCACCCGAGCGAGTCAGAACCTCTAACGGACTCCGACCCCTCGACCGTTGCAACCACCGCCTCACACTCTCCCGCAACATCAACAACCGCTCAGACCACCAATGTACCCTCGTCTTCGTCATCCTCCTCGTCTACATCCCTCAGCGTGAGCGTCGGCGCCTCCATCGGTAATTTCCCATCCTCTTCCGCTCCGTGTCCCACTTGCGGCCAGCGCCGTCACCTCGAGCTCCACCGGCCTCCGACTCCGGTCAAACCCGAGGATCGCTTCCATTTCCGGTCCGGCGTGCCCTATGGTCCGTGGACCATTACCCATCCCCCTCCAGTGCCAACGACATGTCCGCCTCTGCCACAGGAACCTTCATCCAAAGTACCCAACACCACGGTTGGGAACGACACAGACCCTACACCCCGCCCCCTCACCGCATTTCATCCGTTCTCCCGCCTGCCTCCGGAGCTCCGCTCCAAGATCCTGCGATTTTATCTGGAACGGCCTCGAATAGTCGAGATCAGATGCATGAACGATCTCAAAAAAATCCACTTCGCTCCAAATGCATTGGGGAACCTTGCATCCAACATTGCTTGGAGCGCCGACAACACGCTCCCGGCGTTGATGTGGGTAAATCGAGAATGTCGGGCTGAAACCCGCGCCTTCTACCGCGTGCGGTTACCCATGCACCCAACGAATAAGATTGCCTGGCCTGTCATCATCAATCCGGAATTTGACACTGTCATTTTTACATTTCCTTGGAGCAGCGAGATTCCCTTGGATATTTTCCTCAGCGACTGTCTTGCGTTCGATCCGCTAGGCGTCGGGATCCGCCATTTCGGAACCCGCGACCGGGGTGGGCCAGAGACGTGGGACCTGACACCGGTATCTGGATGCGCGCCGCTGTCGACAAGTTTGGCGAATTTGGAATCCTACACCGAAGCGATCCAACTCATGGACGACCGTGCAGCTGCAAGATTCCCGGTATGGATGATTCATGAAGGGTACTTGACGAGTGGCATCTCCGCCAAGGGCGCATTTTATCGAGATGTACCCCGGCTTCTGCTCAGCAATGATTATGAACCTCCGGATTCCACCAACCAGCGCAACGCGTTGGAGGCTTTACGGGCACAATTGGGCGATTACCTTCCCAAAGACGTGGCGGAGAGGCTGGTGATGCAGCGGATGTTTTATCGCAAGTATTTCCGGCACTTGAGAATGAAATGTACAAAGACGGATCTTGCAGGGCTTGGCATGGTCAGGCAGGCTCCCGGCGGCGAGACGGAAGAGTTTTTCTTGAGCAACGGGCGAGAAGTTGCTGGGCCAAGAAAGAAGAGAAGATCAGCGCTAGAGGTGCGCCCCAGCAGCAGCTGGCACCTATGGGACGACGATTAATGGCGGAGTGTGCGGCGAGTTTAAATAGACTACTATGGTATATCAAAAACGGACAAATCGGAAAGGAAGGGAGTGTACATGCTTTTTAGTGGGCGTCAATGACTCCAAAGCCTACCCAGGCCACAAGTGAATAAGGTACCTTTATATGAAGAATAGAATACCACTGTAAAGGGACGTTTACATGAACTTTAATATTCGAGATATGAAATGGCGCGATTTGCTTCGTTGTTTTGGTCATATAGATGTTGAATTTCTGAGCTTGTCTCCTGAAGCAAGCTGGGTATATAAGGAAAGTCAAAGGCCGCACCACTTTCTACAGCGCGACAAATCGTAGAGGAGTATATGTCCATGTCCATGATATCGTGTCCGTCCCCCGTAGGTAATCCCTTCCATCCAGTCTTTTATAATTCCATACTCCCTTGAATCCCCTCCGATATTGCACCTCTGCCCCTTCCCACAATCCCGGAATAATGTACGCCGATAAAAAAAAGGAGATATATACGGATGAGACGTTAATGGACAAAAAAAAAAAGAAAAAAAGAAGATTACAAGAGCAATAAACAAGAGCAATAAACAAATGAGGTAGATTGACTGAGCACAGCTCGAAATCTCAGAAACCTCATTTTTTCCACATGAAAAATGTGTATTTCTTTTGTCCCACGATTTAGGCGTAACTCTTGCCCTTCTCAGACACCTTTATGGGCTCCAAGACGGGGGGGGCCTCCCTTGCGATACCACCCTTGCCGCCCTCAACGGCCCCGGCGGAGTCGCCGTCCTTGCCCCTCGCCTTCCTGTAGATGGCGCGGAGGTTAAGTGAGATGTCGAGGCCGGACACGGTTGATCCGAGGACGAAGAGCGTGGACAGGCCGAAGCCGAGCGTGAGTGCCAGGTCGAAGGGGACGACCTGGGTGAAGCAGAGTGCCACGGACGACAGGTCTGCGAAGCCCGTCATGACCGAGGCGAAGGAGAGGATGAGGAAGAGCTGGTTGACGTAGACTCTGATGCTGGGCAGGCTGAGCAGGGGCATCGGGGTAGGGGGGGAGCGCGAGGTGTTGGGGAGTTGGGGGGGCGCGCGGGCCTTGATTGCGAGGTGCATCAGGAATGCGAGGATGCCGACCAGGACTGTGATTAGGCTTACGATCTGTGAGTTTTAACATGTTAGCGGTACTGATGGTGGAGTGGTTGGAAAAAAAGGGGGGGGGGGGTGGTGGTTAAGACGTACGCCGTGGGCAGTGCGGAAATGGGCAGTCTTTCCGATGACCAAGACACCAAAGATGAGCACGACAACCAGGGACGGCGCGATGATGAAGAGCCACATTATGTTGTTCCATTTGTGCACGTTCGGGAGGATGTTGGGCACGTTGATGCGGAGGAGGAGGTTGCGTCCGTGTTCGAGGCCGATTGCTAGCGGGAGGACGTTGATGAAGACGACGATTCCGACCAGGACTGAGTTTGTTTGTTAGTTTGAGGAAATATGAAAGAGAGAGAGAGAGAGAGAGAGAGAGAGAGGGTGTTTTCGATGTTTGTAGGGGTTTGTTACTTACTGTGAATGACGAGGAAGGCAATCCAGGCGCCGAGGTTCATGCCGTTGATTTGTACCGCACCGACCGCGCCCGTGATGGAACCTCCCAGGGCGTCCTTGAGGATGCCGCCGTCAATGGCGTACTGGTTGCCCTCGTTGGAGATCTTGATGGTGCCAGTGGGAATGGCCTGCTTGATCGCCGTCGTCACGTTGCTGTTGCCGTTGAAAGATGTCAGACTGATCGCCCCGCTCCTGAGCAGGCCGACCACGACGAGGCCCAGACCCCCGACGCCCTGGCACGAGAGGGCGTTGACGCTTGCCTGACCGGCCATGGAGAGCGTCTGCGCGTTGACGACGACGGAGAGGTTGAAGCCGTTGGTGGTGTTGACCGAGACCAAGGGGGGCGTGTTCTGGTTCGGCTCCTGCCTCGCCACCAGGCCCAGGTTTCTGCGGGCCGGCGGTGGTGAGCTTGATGATGCGGGAGCGGGAGCAGCCTGCGCGGGCGTAGAGCCAATCGCCGGAGATCCGGGCACCGGGTTGCCGTTCGGGTTCGAGACCAGGGAGGTGACGAGGAGAACACCTTGTCCTCCGATACCGACGCCGAAACCGCTCGCGGCTCCGCCGAGGGAGTCATCGTACTGGACCTTGGAATCGGGAAAGCCGCCGATGGGCATGGTGGCATTGCCGGAGATGAGGGACTGCACGCCGCCCATGCCCTGGATGGCGTCTCCTGCGCCCTGGAGGAACCCGCGAGCGAAGCCCTGGGCCACGCGGCTGACCTCGATCATCTGCCCGTTGAAGTTGATGGTCGAGGGGATGCCGCCGTTGCCCGGGGACTGCTGGGCGGTCATGGAGGAACCGATCTTGTTGAACAGCTGGCCGGCGGTCCCGTTTTGCAGGAAGCTGCTCGTCAGGCCCTTGGCGAAGGTTTGCGAGATGCCGCCGAAGTCGATCTGCCCGTCCGGCATCTGCTGCATGGGCACGGCGGAATCGGGCTGCAGGCCGAGGCCAACGGTTGCTCCCTGGCCCAGACCCTTGCCGAAGCCAGAAGCCGCAGCGGGCAGGATCCGCATGATGGTCTTTGTGGTGTTGGGGTTGTTTGCCTGGTTGAAGAGGGAGTTGATGTCGATGGCTCCCGTGACGGATTTGGTCAGGCCGAAGCCGAAGGTGCCGATGATGTTGGCGATGCTCGAGTCGTTGACGGGCTCGAGGTTTGCGGCGTTCGCGTTCAGTTTCAGACCGGCAACAGTGCCGTTGCCCAGACCGGTTGCGAGAGACATGGCGATCGGCTGTAGCTGATCGGTGAAATTGCCGCCGAGGCTGCTAATGTTGACAGCGCCGAGGAGTGTCGATGTGAGACCGACACCGAGGTTCTGGATGGCTGGGTTCAGGCCCGTGGCCTCCATACCGTTGTCCGCGGCCACCTTGGCAGCGACCTGCATCGTGTTCTCCGTGGTTGAGAGATTCAAGCCCTGGGCTGCGCCGGCACCGACGCCGATTCCGAGGAACATGGCGGGCCCGTTGAGGTTCGAGACAAGTTGGTTTCCGATATTGCTCAGTCCGTCTTTAAGCGGCTGAAGAAGAGGGGCGAGAATGCCGCCGGTATCGTTTGCACCTCCGCCACCGCCGCCAGGGAGAAGAGCAGTGAGGGGATTTCCGCCGCCGCCACCACCAGCGGCACCGCCGGCGCCTCCTCCGCCTGGTGTTGGGGCACCAGGAAGGCCAGGGAGACCAAAGGGGTTGGGGAACTGTCGCTTCCTTGGCTGGCTGCCGTCCTCGCTCTGTTCCTCAGCATCATCTTCCAGGTTCTCGAGGTTTCGCCTCAGTTTCTCCTTGTATTCCTGCAGTAATTGCTTTGTCTCTGCGAGTTGAGGAGCGTCGTATTGGGAAGCCAATGTATCTGAGAGATCGACGGTGAACTCGACCATGGACAGGAGCGTCCGTCTCAGCTTGGGGTCGCTCCCGATAGCCTCGACAGTCTCAGCAGAGACAATGGAGTCGAGAGTCTGGCCCCATGAGGACACCTCCCGCTTTGCTATCGTCCTGCTGTTGAGGCTAGGACTCGGGTATAGCTGACTCTTGATCTCTTTTCCGACACTGAAGACGGAAACAACCATCAACAACCCTATCAAGATGGTCGTGAGGGTGTGGTGTCGGGGCTGGGGTGGAGGAGGCGGCGTTTGTTGCCTCTCCTGACCCTCTTGGGGTGGTGATATCTTGTTGTTCATATCCATAGTGGCAAAGACTTATGGTGACGGTTTAATCTGACATTAAGAAACCAACTTCTTTTTTACGAGGGGGGGTATCTTGAGAAAAACAACAAATAGGAGAAGGAAAAAAGAGGCTGCCAGCAGTCGTCGGAAAAAAAAAAAAGACGAGAGGAAAAGAAGTTGTGTTTGTTTAGGCTGACCCTGATCACCAGATAAGGTAGGGAAACAAATTAAACATTCAACATAAGGTCGAGGGGGCGAATGGGGTAATATACATATTACGGCAGATGGCAGTGAGTGCAGTTAGATGATGAGTCTAAAACATGGAACGACGATCTCCCTTCCAGGGTTGGCATAGGAGAGAGGTCCTCGATCCATACCCCAAGCGGCGGTATTCCGTTGCATGGTCAGACTTTGACAGACTGACAGACTGACAGGCTGAATGACTTGCGGCTGGTGCCCCGTGTGTGGTCCGTCAGGGATGCACATTGCGTCGCGGAACCAGGAGGACCCCCCCTTTGCGAGGATCTCAGACGTCCACTGCCGGGGCCGAGTCAACCACTGACTGACAGAAGCATAAACGGGGCCCTGACGTCGTTCAGGTTCTCTAAGCGGTTCAAGCCCAGGCTGCTTACGTGGTTACGGGGAAGCCGTTTGTCGGGACTCATTTGCCGAGGGCGGAGGGGACCAGAGTTCTACAAGTTGACAGCACACGGAGTCCCGAGCGATGTTTCCAGGGGGTTACAGTAGACTACCACTGCGTAGTGGAAATGTGTCAACCGAACTCAAAGGGAATTCTGGTCGTTGGCAGTAAACGATTGAAGATTCAAGGGCCACGAGCAAGATGCCGGTAGAGTTCTGTCTGTGGGGGTCTGCACGTCCCAGATACCCAAGGGGAGGGGACCGAAAGCAAAGGTTGAATGAAGAAGTTGGTGGCGATGCGATGCGAGATCTGGGCTGAATACGTATACGAAATACGAACCCCCTTTAAGGTATGCTTGTCATAATGCATTGTAGAAGTTTATGGGAGAGGACAGGTGAAGGGGCCAGGAAGAGGAGTAGGCGGGGAGGATTGTGCCCTCTTTCATTGGTTGTTCTATGTCAGTTGGAAAAGAAGCATCACTGTCAACCAGACAATGTTGAAGTTTGAGAGTTTCAGACGGTTAAGTGACGTTGCGAGAGCAAGAATGTGATTGGTTGTCTCGGATTGTTAAGCAACCACAGCATAAGGCAACGTACATATTAGAAACCCTGAAGTTGCTGATGTAAGTAATGGGCAAATCAAGGTGTTTATTCAACGATGGGAAAGTAGAGACACTGGGGAGATCCATGCTTGGGTCTTTTGGATCCCTTAGAACAGAGGCAGAGTCAGAAACAAAACACATGCATCCCCGGCCTCCCCGAACCACAGACAACATCATAACGGCTTTTTCTTTTCTTTTCTTTTTTTTTCTTTTTTCCTTTGGCGGCGGCCGTGGCAGATGCTCTGGCGTGTCGAGTCTGTGGGCGCAGCGGATCTGACACGATCTGACAGCAAAATGCGGATAACCAGCCGAAGAGGGAAGGTACTTCGGGAGCCCTGATCTATAGCGGACCATAGCGTCGTCCAGGCACCCTAGGACAAGTACCGCCCCTGGACCCTACCATGCTACTAATTGGTTACATACTATGTCATAAGTGCCTTGCTAGTAGCATAAGTGTTGGTAGTGAGTAGTGTACCAATACGTTGTGGTAGCTGTTCCCAGTGGCAGTTGCAACCAAGGGACTCGCAACTGCCCGCAAAGGTTTTCCCAAAGCGGAAAGACCCTGCAAGATAAAGTGGGAACCTCTTTCTAGCACCATTCCGCTCTGACTGGCACGCCCTTTCCTGCCCAATGCTTGCGTACTAACGAATACTATGTAGTGTTTCTTGTCTATATGGCAGGCACTCCACGTTGTATATACAGTTTTACACCTGTGCCCCTTCCACATATACACACACGTTTTCGTATGCGGATACTACCACCTTAGTCAGCTCAGCCCCATTCTTCATCCTTCATCCTACGGGAAGGGAAAAAAAATAATAAAGGTACGTACTGCGCATCCTTGTGCCGTCCTCACGGATCACCCCGCCCGTTGATTCCCTGATCGGGGAACCACCTCATCGTGTCCGCGTTCGTATTATGAAGCCCAAACACCATCAGCCTCCTATGGAACCTTGGTCAACTTGTCAAACACGCCGTCCGCTCCATTACCGTAGAACCCCTCCCCCCCCTTGTACCCTTTTGTCTCTCTTTCCTCTCCCCCACACTACACTCAAGATCACGACATAGACCAGACGCATAACGCCAAAACGTTGTTCCACACAGACACTCTGCTTCCATCACGCCGTTTGACACCTTCTAGCGTCTTACCAAGCCTCCGGCTTCTTCCATCTTGTCGTCCGCTCCGCTAGCCGTTGGCTCTCCGTCCGAGCCACAGAGGGCGCGCTGTCCCCTAGTTCGTGGAACCTGTCAGTGCCTTCACGCTTTTGCCTGACACCCAACCTTCGTCCACCTACCCTGCCTGGCCTCATGGAACCAATTCCCGACGCAGTTGAAGCGCCTGGCTTACCAAGCCCAAACTCAACCTCTTCTTCTTTCGCTCCATCTTACCATCCAGTAGACCTGGCCCTTCACTCATCCCAGCCATCCTACTCGTCGCACGACGAGGACGAATCTGACGACGGCAGTGGGGATGTGTGCGAACAAGATAACGGTGACGGCAACCTCCGCACCCATCAGACTGCGGCCATCCCTGCTTCATCCGCCTCGCGGAAGAAACCCCCGACGCATTGGACGACCCTAAAGGCTTGTGAAGGGTTTGACCTGCGCACATGGGTTTCCGCATCGGGAAGCGAGCAAAAGACAACAATAGCATCAACCTCAACGTCTTCATCGCCCTTGTTCCCACTCTCCTCCACACCAGACTGCGCCTCCCGGCATGCCACTTTCCATCCCTTCCCGGATTTGCCCTACGAGCTACGTTCTAAGATCTGGCGCATGCACCTCGAATGGCCGCGCATCGTTGTGATACGCGGCGTCATGGACTGCAGCTCCGGCGAAGAGGCTTCCGGTAATGAGTTTGGCAATGTCGCCTGCAACGCACACTGGTATTGTGAAAATAGGAGTCCCGTCCTCCTTCGTGTCTGCTCCGAATCCCGCCGCGAGGCCTTGTCCTTTTTCAGGATCCATCTGCCCATGCGGTCCCCCGATCCTGACCGCCACGGCTTTCCGTACCTGAATCAGCGAAACCCAGCGTGGGACCGGATCTACATCAACCCTGACTGGGATCTTGTGCTGTACCAAGGAGCCAGCCGCTCATTGACCATGCCCATCCTTGCCAGTGACCTGTTGGCGTACGATCCCAAGGGAGAGGGCGTTGTTCACTACGGCTCCAATGACTGGCCCCAGAGCATCTGGCAGGTCAACCCGGATCCCGGCTTCGGTATGGCAACCCTGAATGAGTCCATGGCCTTCCTCAAAAGCTTCGTTCTTTGCACGAGATCTACGTCAGACATGGTCCGTCCGCTCGGCGAAGGCTACGTGCACGCCGTGACAGGTGAGGTCGGCCAGGCTGGCATGCAGATGGTCGACTGGGCGGCGCACTCGCGCATGCTCATGCGAACTCCAAGTAATAGCATGATCCGTAAGGCTCTGGCCATTGGAAAGAATGTAGAGCGGTCAGTTGTCGACGACCTAGTTACCGTCGAGATGACCACACGCATCCGCAATATCCCCCTGTCCAACGCCCTCGCTTCATCAACGACGGGCTGGGTGCTCCAGCTGGCATGGCAGCCTCCAGACCGCAAAATTTCCCATGTCATGCACATAACCACGGGTCCGCTGGTGGTATGAGTGGCGAATGCTTTGTCCCCTTTTGGGCCTGTTGCTATAACGGTCTGCATCTTTTTGGTACCACCCCCGCCCCCCCTTTCTCTTGCTCAACGGTCCCGGTGCCAGGTCGGCGTTAGGCGAAAGAAAACGAACAAGGACGAGAAAATGGATCGGCTGCCCTTCTTGTAATGTGGTATTGGGATAATATCCTTTTGTCAATGTTTTACACCTATGATACAACAGACGTCTCTCATTCTATCGGGCGTTATTGCCTGAGCGAGATCGGCTTCAATATTCTCTCCCTAATAACTCTGCCTGCCACCTCGGCGCCGTGCTGGAGGCTGATGGCCCCGACAATGGCGAAGACAGCCGAGTTGAGCACAACCTGCTGACCCGAACCGGCAAGGTTTTCAGGCTGTCGTAACATGTCAGTGAAAAGGGACGTATGAGACGGTTGTGGAGTTCGGGCTTACCTTTGCCGGCTTCCACCGCAAAACCTTGTCGATGCCAGCATCGACAGCCAGCTGCTCAATTTTCTCCTTGGTGACCACCTGATTCGGCAATTCGACGTTGAGGTTATCGACCTTGGCAAGGGCCGGGTTCTTGAAGGGCTCGCGACCATGCTCATCTGGAACGATGGCACCCTGCTTTTCAGATGCCAATATGCTTCGTGTAGTCTCGAGGACAACCGCTTGCCGACCTGTTTGTGTTGGAAAACCCCGCTCGAGTCAGCCTTTCTTGTTGTTGCCTTTCGTGAACGCAAACCCGATTGAGCGCCAAAGCGCAAAAAGGGAAAACCTACCCAGATACGCCAGCCTGTCGTTGAAACCCCGACGACCCTGATCGAAACTCTTGTGCGTGACCGCCAACCACTTAACCTCTTCAGGCAGCATCTTGTCTCCGTCCCGTCCCAAAAACCGCGCGTACATCTGGTCCAGCTTCTTGGGGTCATCATTCACCTTCCAGACGCTGCGGGCAGGGTTCTTGGTGATGTGCGGCGAGAAGGGCGCCTTCATAGCCTCGGGGGTATAGGACCATCGCGGGCGCTGGCGAACCTCATCAGGTCGCTCTGCCTCCTCGGTTCTCCTTGACAATTGCTCGATCTTGCTGTCGGTTGCCGTCGCAAAGGTTCGGGCGAGGCACTGCGCAGGTGACGCAACTCGGGTCGCCGACTGGCAATGCCTAACGGCATGCCTCGTAAGGCCGAATGCTGACCTAGAACCGTTGGTTGCCATTGAGGTTGAGGGGCAACTGTTGATGGGTTGTAGGAGGGGCGTGGGTGGGTTGAGGCTATCGTCCTACCAAATTGGAGCTCCTGATGCTTGGGAACTTTTTCGCGATAGCGCTACCATCGAACAATTTCTCGAGGTCACGTGGCTGCGCGCGCGGAGCGAGGATCATGCGAGCACCGGCGCTAGTCCATATTGGGACTGGGTTGAACCGTAGCTTCCCGCCCAACCAACGGCAAGGCCCTCTCATGGTTGCAGCTCCCTTTCAATCTCCACCTTTCCCTTTCTCCACTTCTTTTCTTATACGCGCAGTTACAGTACTTCCTCGTCAGCGACGCGTCGACGGCGGTAGTCAGACTGGTTCAATTGCTTACCTTTGCTGACCCTTTTTTTGTATGATGCAAAAACAATGGTATGACAATTGAAAGGGGAGAATTGATTCCCATCGGACTTTTACATCTTGCCCACTATGGCTACCCCAAGCAGAGCCAAAACCACTGCTCAGAGCAGCGCTCTTCTCCTTGAGAAGCTGTCGACTGTACTGCCCAAAGGCTACCACTTCGGTGTCTATCACCTTTCGACCCCTCCAACAAAGAGCGAAGCGCTATATTCAGCACCACCTGACGAGCGAGACGATAAGACGTTCTGCGAGAAACATTTCCTCGCCATTTCGATCGATACCCGTCCGAGCACGGCCGAGAAAGAGGAACTGCCCAGGGATATCACGGCCAAGAAGAGCGACTCTAAGCAGGTCCTCATCCTGGCTTTGGAGGTCTTTATCTACACGACTGCCTACTCAAGCACCTTTTTCGTCGCAAAGGCCGACTCGACTGGATACCTCAAGCTCCTAAACCTTCCAAAGGGCACCCCCTCTCCGATCAAGGAGATCAGCAGTGCCTTCGTTACATACCTTGTTGAACAGCGCAGACGCCAGGGTATCCAATCAGTCGTGAGCCTTTTTGCCCGCGCCCAGAACCAATATCTGTTTCCTGGTAGCGTTGATTACGCTGGCAAACATGTCCTTGATGACAGAGGCCTCGTTAAGTGGTGGTGCAAGGTGTTAGATCCTCTTCTCGCAAAGCCTCCTGTCGGCAAGGGCGAGCCATGGGGTAGCGTCAAAGGCTATCTCGTCATTCCCGGTCTCGATGACTATGAAACGAAGGCATTTATCCCAAAATCACCAAACAGCACTGCTAATTGGGTGCTGGGACATGCCCTCGAGAAGATATCGCATTATACTAAGGAATACGACTGGGTTCCTGCACGATGCCTAATTCCCCGATTCCCTGATGACCCAAAATCACGTTTCCGTGATGAACTGGACGAAGAAGCGGGCAAATCGAAGCAACTGAAGACAACCGGATTGTGGAAGAGCGTAAAGACACTCGAGACTTTCTGGGAAATGATGGCCTATAGACAAGAATGTTCGAGCGGGCGATTGACGGGCTTCATCTGGGTCGTCTTCGACCCGGAGCCCGAGAAGTCTGAGCAGCCTCGGCGTGAAAGTGCATTGACATCTCTTCCCACACCCAACCCTTCTTTCGATGCGACAAACCCGCCAACAACGCCTTCCCGCCAGAAGGCTGTGCGGCCCAGCACGCCGAAATCGACTCCGAGGAAACTGTTCCCCGTGTCGCCATCCGGCACACCTTCGAAAAAGAAACCGGAGGAAAAGAAGAAGAACAAGAAGAAGAAGCTCAAGGGCATTATTAAGACCCGCCAACCACGCATCAAGAAACAGCAGCGCAACTATCTGTTGGATAAGCCCATCTCTAGCGCCTACTACTATTGGCCGGCTGAAGGAAGAGGCCGGAAGATCGTCGACGAGAATGGGTATAAGCGGGTCAATGAGCTACTGCTCCACCTCGACTTCTCTAAGCCTGAACTCGCGACCGGTAGCACTCGCCGGTGGATCAACGAGGTTGGCATGGGAGAGTCGTGGGGCCTTGAAGTCGTCGGCAAGCGGGAGGTCCCTACGCCGTCATCAAGCGGGTCGTCGGCTGGGGAAGTCAACAACCTCTCCGGGCTGATTAAGCGTAAGCGACCTCAAGAGACGGCGGCGGCGGATGCGTCGGATGAGCCGGCGAACAAGGTTAATGTCCTCAACACCGGGCTCATTCGAAGGAAGCCCAAGGAAGAGAAAGCCGTGGATGAAGCCCCGAAGACTGGCGATGAGGCCCCGGTGGTCAATGTCTTGGGCGCTGGATTAGTTCGCAAGAAGCGCGATGTGTGAGGGCCTGGTCGGGGATTGAATTGGTTACTTGAAGCATGGCGTTGGTAAGATATCAGGAATACGGATGGATTGGCTTGGTGCCACGGAACGGCTAAAGATGGGTAGCGAATGGACACGCTGGAGTATACAAATATCATGCGGCTCTTGCAGTACTTTAGAGCCTACTGGTTAATTAAATATGGTCTTTACACTTGATTAATGTCCCGTGACAAGCTGAAGAGAAGTCTGCAAAATATCTTCTTAACCATTGATGATTTTAATATTAGAAATGAAGCTTTTTCATGTTATAACCGCCGCAACTCAATTGTCTTTCCGAATACAACTTGGTCCAAATCATTATCATATCCAGGGAAAGAAACACCTCAAACCACCGCAACCTCATTTCTTCAAGTAATGCAAATTCACTGGTGTAATTGGTTGCCCACCGCCCAAAACAGCCATAATGTTCCTCATACTCAACTCCTCAAAGTTCACATGCGTCTCAACCGTGCCTCCCGCATTATGACACGTCAACGTCGCCTTCGTCCCGGACAACTTCAGCAATCTCGGATGCGGCTTCGGCTCATCGGCGTGCACATCCAACGCAACGGTACTCAACCGACCGGACTCGAGCGCATCCGCCAGCGCGTCCTCGTCAACCAGACTGCCTCGGGCAATGTTCACGAACCTCGCCCCGGGCTTAAACCACGCCAGCGACTCCGCCGTAATCACCTTGCCGCCCGCGGGCGTGCCGAGTACGACGCAGTCGGAGACGCCGAGCAGCGACTCGAGAGTCGGGTGGAACGTCGCACCGTACCGCTCCTCCGTGGCGGCGTCTTTGCGTACGACGTCGAAGTAGTGCACCGCCATGCCGAACCCCACGCCCAGCCGCTGCGCGATCTGCTGTCCTATGTTCCCGAACCCGACGAGCCCGAGGACCTGGCCGCGCAGGGTATGCGAGACGCCGGTGGCGCGGGCGTGGCAGTCCTGGAACGCTACGGGGTTGGACGGCGCGGACATGCACCACGGTAGATGGCGGAACGTGGAAATGACGAGGGCGACGGCGAAATCGGCCACGGCTTCCGCGGCCGCGAGGCCCGAGTTGCAGTAGATCACGCCGCGCTCGCCGAGCAGTTTCGTGTCCGCCCAGTCAAAACCTGCGCCGGCGCTAGCAAACACGCGGCATGACGCCGGTAGCAACGGGACCAGTTCCTCGTCCCACTTGCCCATCTCGCCGCCCGTGCCCCAGAAGGGCCGGAAAATGGCGGAGAAGTCGCCCCACTTGCGGTCCCGGAGGGCGGCGGCGAAGGCGGGCCGCTCGCGCTCGGGCGTCGAGGGGCGGATGACTTCGAACTGCGAAGAGAAGAGCGCGTACGTGTCCGGGTTGTATTTTATGGGATCGCCTATGTGCAGGACTATGGGCTTTGCGTGGGTGCCGTTTGTGGTGTTTCCGTTTGTCCCGTTGGTGGTGGTGCTGGTGCCATTTGTGCCGTTGCTACCGTTGGTACCGTTGACGGGTACTGTGATGGGAGCGGCGGACGGGTCTGCTGGGTTCGGGCGGAGGGCCGCCGGGGAATGGTGAGGAGATGTGGAACGGGGAGTTTGGGCGGCGGGTGTTGCCGGTGGATACGGCGTGTTGTGCGGTTCTGCCATGGCGATTATCGAAGCTGGCGATGTTTTTTGTTTTTCTCAGATTGATGTACAGAGTTGAAGCTTCTCTTGAGGTGTGTGTAATAATGTTGGGCTGCGATGAGGTGGTACGGGAGCGGCAGGGGTAAAATCCGGATAGCCAAGGTAGCTCAGATAGATAGATAAATGCCAGCCAAACGGGAGCATCCGATAAGACGGGACGAGCTTGTGAGGGTCTGGATGGCGGCTAATATACATATATTTGCCAACCGACATGGCTGGGCGGGCGGCCACCTCCCCCTCCCTCCTATTTCAAGTGACGCAAAAAATCAGGGAAGCATTGGTGGAATTCGGTGGTACACAGGAAGTCGGTGAGAGGATGAGGCGACATCAGGCGCGTCCTTGTGTTGTTGCTGCGAGGGCAGCTTGTTCCGATCTTGGCCGCGGGCTTTTGTCTCTCCACTCACCCGGACCGGCCGCGTGGGTTGGTTTTGACCATTTCTTATTTCTGTGTTATAATGAGATTGTAATAGGCCGGGGTCGGTCTTTATGCAAATGCGTTTATTTACGAGTTGGGGACCTCGGTGTTTAGATGGTGTTCAACGTAGTCTGTTTCAACGCAGAGACAAGTTCTAACTAGTAAACAGTATCATCATGTCTTCTGCAGCATCATAACCCATACCGCCGCCATCTCGCGACATCAATCAACGTCAAAAGAAGACTGGCATCTTCACTGGGGCATGCAAATCTCGTGGGGAACGGCGGATCCAGTGCGGGACCCCCCGCGCCCGTGAGCCACGGGGGTATGCTTGAACCCCCCATGCAGGGAGTGTGGGGTGAGGATGACGACCGGTCCAGGCTCGCCCAGCCGCTGCGGCTCTTGGCCGCTCCTCCCAACGTTTGCATCTCAGCCCACATTGCAGGGCAGAAGTCATTTCTGGGGGTGGAGTTAGCTGATGTCCCGGATGGGCTGATGGTCTCTCCATCCACCACGCCCCGACCGGACGCGCGAGAGAGGTGATATGGTTTTGTTAGAGGCAGAGTTAATCCATCAATTGGATCGATGGGATTTGACTATACGCACTATTGAAGAAGATGATGAGATTCAGACTGTGAATGTTCTTGTGTTGCCATTGAGTTTGTGCCCAGTAGGTCTCTGTTCACCTTATTGATCAGTGACCAAAATCCCACCTTGTCTCTGCCATTGTTCTTCCTAGCCATTTACACTGTAAACTCATTTCAAAGCTTTCATTTTCAGTTGATCAGAGGCTCGATTTTCGTTTGGTTCTTGGATGGCCGCATGTAAGCTTCTTCCCGGCGAGCCGGCCCCGGCCCGGTCATTGTTAGTCGGAATAAGCAGGATGTCCGGACCGGCCACCACACGTACATGCGGCTTTAAGGCTTCAAGATTTGCATAGGTTGAGAAAGTTCCATGGAAAGAAATTGTAGCCCATTAGTATATATCCCTAGTCGCTTGCTTCGGCAATGAGTAATCCAATTATTCTAACCGTTGGTTGAAACCAGATGCATGTAGCTACTGCCAGTGCCATATTACAGTTTTCACAGCTTGAGGGTGTTCCATGTGACCAATCAATGTTCCTATTCCTATTGAATTAATCTAGTATATTTTGTGGGTTGTTTAGTAATCGCATACCTGCGGCAATTCAATAACCAATGCTTGGACGACTCGCCGTCTAATAGCCTCCGGAGTGAGTAGTCGGGTAGTGAAATATTGGCCAAGTAATCCGGCAAAAGCCGATGAGATTAGATTGTCGACAAATTTTTAAAAGTCTGTCTCACTTTATATATACCTTGCGACTGCCTCGGCTATAAGCAGAGCACAAGTAGGTTTACTCACTCTGCCTTCCTAAGACTTCATAGCCCCCGTGGAAAATGAGATCTCTCAAGTGACTATAGACCATAAGACCAGCGGTGTGACTGTAGTCTGTCATGAATGACAAAGCATCTTACTCCTCAATGATACCGGAGATTTTAGTATCCTCGGGACAAACCATACCCGCTGAGCACACGCGGCGCCTCCTGGTCCAAACCCAATACTCACCTTGAACGTAGCCCGCGTAGTTCATCCAACAGTTTCTCCGAATCCATCAGCGTAGTGTTTCAGTAATGAGTTTCTTGAAGCGCCGGGCTTACGGCCACAGCTTTGTCGTTCACATTGGCAAAAAAGATTCGTTTCAATTACGCGGCTTCAATGTTTGTTCCTGATAGTGCCAACCATATTTTACTGATTTTCCTTGGCCCCCGGCAGCACCCAGCCAGTAGGTGCACTATTTGACAGATGGGATGAACCCTATTTCACGTTGGTTTCCGGAGCGCATACCGTATTCACAGTACACCCAACTCTGTTGTGCGTCGAGAACGTAAACCCCAGCCGATATGGTGCTCCATACAGTTTCGTTGTCGGAAGCCACATACATCCAACATCAAATCCCTAGTCAGAAATCCATCATGATCATTCCATTTTACGCCCCACCCTTCGTTAAGATCGTTTGTGCCCAGTGGTACCGTCCCTGCTTTGCTCTAGTTAAACCTTTATGAAAATTTTGATGAACCTCATTGGTCTCTTCAAAGAAAATAGAAGAGCGGAAAGTTCATGGTATACGACAAAGACTTACAACCCGCCGGAAATGCTAGCTTAAGCTATTGAGGGCGGGGTAAAAGTATGTGTTTCGTCCACGTAATCTAACTGGATTTCGATATAAAGACCACATGCATCTGCAAAGCCCGCATGCCCGAAGTGAGTACGGTCTCTCTCCTCGTGGTATAAACCGCTGTTTTGGCAAGATATCAGTGACTTTCTCACAACACAATGAAGAAACAACTCATCTCCTTCCTTATTTGTGTCACCAGCGGTGTGACATCAGCTTTGTATCTGGCTGAGGACCCCAAGTTCCCTTATCGCAAACCCGACAAGACGGCCAATCGCTCCCCTTGCCCGGTTCTCAATGCTCTAGCCAATCATGGTTATCTCCCTCGTGAGGGGACTGGTATCACCATGGACCAGCTAAAAGGAGCCTTTACCATGGCCTTTAACCTTGACGAATCAGTAACTGTGGCTGTCTCTAAGCTGGGATTTACCACATCAACGACAGGAAATCCCAACACGCTCAACCTCAAGGACCTTTCGAAACATAACGTCATGGAGCATGATGGCAGCTTATCGCGTGCCGACAGTGTTACTGGCGACGCGAACAGCTTCAACGAACAGATTTGGAAGACTGTAAAGGCGCGCTTCACCGGCCAAACAATCGACACCAAAACGATGGCTTTAGCCCGCAGAGAAAGACTTGTCGCTGCGATGGCCGCCAATCCAAAATTCAATTTGACATCCATTCAAGTTAGGGCGTCCGCTGAGGAATCTGCATTCATATTGGGAGTCCTTGCCGGCAACTTTCAGAATCCACAAGCACCGACTCAGTACATGACCATCATGTTCGAGGAGGAGCGGATTCCTTTCAATGAGGGCTTTAAGACGTCTCCGAATAAGATCTTTGCCGAGCAAATCGTCAGTTTGGCGACAGATCTTTTGAGGAACACACCGCCAATGTGTTGATTACAACGGTTGGGTTAAGAGTGGGTTGGTGCGCGCCATATCTAGTCGTTCTCACATCGCCAAGTTTATAGGCCTATTATGAATTGATCATACGTATTTTCTGACACAACCTAAAGCCTTGCCCTTAAAGATGAGTCATTGTGGTATTTCCCAAGAGTTTCATGCCTTTCGAACCAACCAAAGATCGAACCAGTCGATCATGCCACGTAGGCTCTGCTCTTTACACCAGCCTAAGAGGGATCTCTGTCAGTTGGTTTCAATAGTAAGAGTAGGAAGAAGATTATGGTCTCACGTTGATATGGATCAGCCGGATCACCCTTTACAGCAAAACCATGGCCCACACCGTAGAAAAGCTGAACATGATAGGCTTTCTGTTCCCGTTGAAGGACATCAATAGCTTTACGCCGGGACTCGGTGTTGAAGGCCTGGTCGTTCTCGGCACAGGACAGCAATAGCGGCTCTAGTAGTATAGGTAATCAGCATCCCGGAAAACAAAAGTTTAATTTCCCTTTCATCGAGGCCTTACTTTTGAGTTTAGAAAAGTGCTCTTCTTTAAGCGCAGTAGGATGCGCAAATGCCCCCGCCGTTACCACCGGCTCCCCATCGCCAGCAACCCCGGCCAGGAGGTCACATACAAAAGGCGCTCCGAAGCAGTAGCCCGTGCAAGCGTACCGAGTTTCTACTCCTTCAAGTTGGCCACCAAATCTCTCGCGTACTGCGGTCGTCCACTTGGGCACATTTTCACATGCAAAAGTCCAGTGTTTCGTGCGCCAAGCGGCGTGATCGAACCCTGGCGGTAGAGGGTCGGACTTGGAACTGCGATACTTGGATATAGGATCCTGGAGGCAGATGTCAATAGAGGACTGTGAATGCCGGGACTGCACTCACTCCGCGGAAGTAATCCATGCCAAGCGCCGTGTATCCGGCGGCGGCGAAGCCGTCCATCAGCAGCTTGGCGTTGACGGAGAGACCCCACACGTCCGGAAAATAAAGCACAACGTGACCGTTGGGAGAGGTTCCAACGTCGGCGGGCCGGACAACGTAAGTAGGAACATCGATTATGTCCTCTTCCTTGCCGGCAGGGTTACCATCGTGGATTGTGCCTTTGAAGCAGCACGGCCCCGGAGGCTTGGCAAGATATTCTGCATCGTCGGCCTTGGTATGAGCCATGTTCATCACACAATCTTATACTGTAAAGAGCATTGAAAAACTTTGTGCATTTGATAATGTTGAGAAACCGATTGAGCTGAGGTGGACCGGCATGGCTACATAAAGACGACGCCGCCTCGGCACCGACTTACGTGCGGGGTTTCAAGAGCACGAAATCAGCGCCACACAGACGAACAGAACGCGAGTGGAAACTTTGCGTGCAAGAGACTGGAGTGCACAGGATAAAATTCGGACACATTATCTATGGATATTTTTAGGGGACCTCTCTTAGTTCAAAGATGGGCAATTGGTCAAATTCTTTTCATTTTTTGCTGATTCACATTACCTGTGAGGGCCACTCGCGCACTACTGATGGACATGAGCTTGCCCGAGCAGAATGTCCACCGGAACCAGAAGAGGCCTGTCAGGTTGTCTTTTAATAGCCTGTCATTTGACAGGATTGTCTCGTAAGCATACGGACGACGAACACGGATATTTAGCAGAGCGGTTTGAAGTGCCTTCGGGTATGTCTTTCGACCGTTTTCTCCGAAGTTTAAGAGTTCCAGTTCGCTAACAGTGTTGAAAATAAATAAACAGACAGAGAGCGATGCTCATGAAGCGGCTCAGAGGCTAGGGGCATGCTGGCACAGTTGTGATGTCGAGATCCACATCAAGAGCTACGTCTATTCAGTTAATATCTGTAAGCTACATGCCATGATACTACGACGTATATTCAATACCTAGGATATTATGGTGTCGAGAAAAATACATTACATAAGGCAAAGTATTGCAATGACCTTCCATTGTCCAATGCAAGCCCCATTCCGCCAAATTGCTGATTACGATTCCATCCTTTCCCCTACTGCACATAACAAGGCAGTGGGCCATATAATTATGGATTGCAAGGGTAGTTGTTCGAGTTTCCATATCTCTGCCGCCCTTTGGCGAGGTTCGCCCTAGCCTCTTCCGGGCCGCAGACGGGGATGAGAACGTAACCTGGCGTGCGGACGTCCAACTCGATCTCTTTATAACTTTCGAAAACAGCCTTATCTGAAGGGCTCGGTAAGTTATCCTTTATGTTCAGACGATTTTTTCTGCCGTTTCTTTCATATGTGCTGACAGCTCTGTAGTGTGTCGTCAGTTTGATTCGAAAATATTCGTGCCGCCGAAATCCAAGTTACTGTAAAATGAAATAATTGTCTTACCCTATGATTAGATCATCCACTGTAATTCCGCCCCAGCTCAGCGAAGGTTTTTGAATGTATTTAATGCCATCCAGGATTTTCAGAGTCCATTGAGATTGAACGGTGCATTCGTTGTCGGGGACGGAGGTCCCGCATGGTCGAGGGGGTTTATCGGCAACGCCAGCAAGAATATAGGAATGCCCATTGACGCATCTCCAGCCGAGATTATACTTGCTAGCATTCTCCGTGAAATATTTCCTTGCATCGATTTCACAGCTCGGCCCAAAGTCGACGACAACTGGAGTTGGCCCGTTTGCAGCCCATATTGCCGGGATGGCGACTGCATAAAGGGCTCGTTTGGTAGCGCTTTCTCTGTTAAAACCATCAGAGTTACCATTTTGGGGTAGCCCAGGGCCATCTGGCATCCCCGCCATCATCTTTCCGTCTTTGAAGAGATTACTCAGAAGTTCGATACTCTTTTCGGATCCGTCAAACAGTTTTTGAATCAGCCGGTCAGATTGTTTCATCCAACTTTTACTCAATCCGTTTGAAAGGGCGTCAAAAGAGATTTCCGAACGAGTTTCCTCAGTTCTTCTGGAAGTTCGGTTTTCGTTAGTACCTAGGAAATCAGGATCTAGCGGTAGGATGGCTGGTGCTTACTCTAATATCTCCTGGGCAACTTCAAAGCTTGTATTAACAAGGCTCATGGTTGCGGTTTCCCACGCCGCTTTCTTGTGGCCGGTAACGTTTCCAGCGAAAAAGTCTCGACCAAGAAAACCTATGCGGGCCTCAGCCAAAAGCTTCTTTTATATCAAGAGGTATACTCACTGTTTCCGAAGAATCGGGCGCCGGATAAGCCGAAAGGAAATTGGATCAAGGTTAGGAAAAGGCCGAAGAGATCAGTTCCATCCTTCAGCTTCGGGGCAAATGTGCCAACGACTATATCCTTCCTGTATGCTAAATGGTCTGCCAGATATCTCAGAGAGTGGTAGTAGTTCGATATCATCTGCCGAGACGTGTCAGTAAATGCCTATGAGAAATGTCGAGACCAAGTCCCAGATTACAAGCGTGAAGGAATCAATGGAGATGGATGTGACCGAGCATTACATACATAGTGAATATTAACCATTGAATTCCATACATCGTATGTGCAAGCTCCTGTTCGGCGTTCTTCTGACTCGGCTTCTGTATTGTGTGTCTTACATAGGCTTGTCTGACACCTGGAAAGATGAACCGAACTACCACAATTCTACATTCGTCGGAAACAATAATTAACCTGTCAACCTGTCATTGTTCTGAAGTTCAAATTCGGCTCTTACCTGATCGTCGTTTTGATGAAGAAAATCAGCCATGAATTGCATGAATTTGAAACTGCTCTCCAAATTATCCCTATAGCATCCAATCCACACTTGGATCGCATCATCCCATGCTGCCTGGCATTCAAGCGCTTCCCATCTTTTCTGCGGCTCAAAGTCAAGAGTACCAGCGACCTCGTGAGAGGTGCACTCTTTCTTAACCCAGTTGCCGGTTCTTCTCGTCTTGTTGCAAGTGGTACTCTGTTCAAGAAGCTGGCCGACCTCAACATCGACAGTCCAGTTGCTTGGGTTAGGGCCAGATACCAGGCAGTTTTCTGAGCACCGATCACTCAATGACAATGTGGCAACAACACATGGGAACAGAATTCCCAAGACACCCGTCAATGAGGGTAGAGAGTATCGGTCTTGACCTCTCATTGCATGCTTGTTGGTAAATTGCAGACCACCGGTAGCCAGGACGAGAAATTTGATGTGTTACAAAAATGAGTATGTCAAAGGGGAGTTGGGGCTGAAAGGGAAGCTTGAGGTAGACTAGAAATCATCCCATAGGAATGGGAGTACCTGGGAATAAAATTCTAGTGCGTAACATCACATGACACCATTTTTTATGTTTTACACAATCGTTGGCGAACCTGAGTTTCCACCAACAGTGTGTTCCGCCCTGCTGTGCCTCACCAGCAAATTGGGATGAGATGGAAATTCCCTCAACCCTTGCAGTTTGTTTGGGCGGTTACCCAGATTTTCAAATTAGTAGGTCACATATGAGGGCTGGCCTGATTGAATACAGAAAGTTAAGTTGTGAACCAGCTCAGACCTGCATAGACGACTCCCAGCTTCCTCAAACAGAACACTGCCTTTTGCATAGGACCTCACTACATATGGAAGCAATCTCCGTCGCGCAGGGTCAGGCACCATGTGATGAAAAATAATAGCCACAATTCGATTGACTGCGGCACAGCACAACGCCCAGCAACCGGAGTTCGGCTAAACGGTGCTTGGCATCGTTGAAAGTCAATCCACACTCATCCATATCAGCTCAATGGCTCACTCTGCTCAGCTTTCAAATTCTAGATATATCAAAGTAAGGCATCACAAGAGTCAAGTACCTGATTATTTGTTTTGGCAGCAAAGTGAGTCGTGGTGATGCGGATACCAAAGCCCTTAGCGATCTTTCTCACACTGCTAGCATGGGTTGCAAATGCAGACCGAAAACTGCCTGCCGATCTTCAAGTGGACCTCATCTTCCCACTTAACGAGACTTATGCGCCAACGCAATGGTTTCCTATCATTTTCGATGTGCAGAACCTCGACGCTCTCTGGCCGGTGGACATCTTTTTGTCTGTGTCGGTATGGAGTAACGAATGGAAGGTCAGCGGCAGGCAAAGTAGGCTTTGGGAGTATGAGTTCTTCGGCCTCAGCCCTGAAGATTTCGCAAAGACCGACGGACCACCACCTAGCAAGCACTTTTTCCACATCCCCTCCATCAACATGACCAACGGCACCACAGGTGAATATAGCATTCTGTGGCACATCTCGATTGAAAACCAATGCTTCGCTAACGCCACCCAACCGCTAAGCGAGGCCGCGGCCCATGACTGGTCCAACAGACTCCGGGGTCCGTATGAGCGGTCTCTTCAATTCAGTACGGCACCTGGAGCACAACTCCCCGACATTGAGGCCACTGTCAACTCATGCCCAAGCCCTAACGAGAACAACTCAGTGGCGGTTCGCATCACAGAAGTGAGGGAGACATTGCACAGACAAAAACCGTGCCCTGTTTTCGAAACGAACGTTGCCCCGGCCAGGTGCGCGTACAAACCATTTGCTGCAGAGTTGGCAGCGAATGTTTCTGGCCTCATGTTAGGCAACATGAGGTGCAGTAATGGCACGTGGCAAACAGTCACGGCGCCATGCCCTAGAAAGAGTGCATCAAATGCTCACAGGATGTGGTCTGGGGCAGGCTGGGTTCCGGTCTTGGTTGTTGCTGCCGTTATTAGTATACTATAGAGAGGCAGAGACAGAGACGATAAGCACAAGTGCGTGCTGCCAGTTTCTGAGATGGTCATAACTTATTGTAATCAATCAACCCAACTCTAAACATCAATCGATTTGAATGTTCTCAACAGAATCATCAACAGAATCATCTGTCAATCAATGTTGACTATATGTTCAGTATTCTTGCTACACTATCCGCATGCTACCTTGATTGGTCTGTTTGTATGGACAAGCTTCTCTTCATGATAACTCAAATTGTCGATCACCTGGATGAGCAATATCCGTAGGGCAAAAACCACCCTGGTCATACTATTGAATTTCTACCGCCTGATGGTTCCACTTCCGTTCCAACAACAATCTAACTGTGCGTTGATGACAGCGGCCATGGCTGATAAACTCGCTTAGACGGAAACGGAACCCTTGGCCGATGCGAGGTTCAGGTGCGTCAATGCGACCCTGTGCACCTACGGCACCAACCAACAGAGTAGACTTTGAATTGCGAAGGCATTGGATCTCTGCGGGTGCCTAACCCTGGCAAGCCGAAGAAGGAATCTAACATCAACGGACATTTTAGCAATGCGATGTTCTTGACCGAGACTTTGCTGACCCTCCATTAACAACGAGGCGGATGCAAGGAGGAGCTGGTTGCCTTAGTCCACGCAGCTAAGGTGCATCAGCTGAGGAGCATAGGTTCCCCACATGTTGATGCGGGGTCCTCTTGATTGGGAAGTTAAAACTTACTCATTTGAGTGAACCGTTCCTTGAATGGGAAACTCTGGTATGGAGTAATCGGTCAAGCTTAAAACCTTTTCTCTATACTATATGCAGGGGGCGAGTTTCTTGATGGGTCACTTAAGGCGTGCGAGGGGGGCCCGGGGTTGATCTGTTATTGGATATAGCCTGAGGTGGGCGCTGTCGCTGCCCCCTTGCGACATTCCAACGATTGTTTACTGAGCCGCCTACTCACATGAAATGTAATTCCATTCGATGCCGGAATTTTGTCTAAGAACTCTGAATGTTGAAGAGCTTTGAAGGCACACTTGATGACATTTTGAAGGTTGAAACCCTCGTGGCTTTCCGAGCATCAATCCTCATGGGGATTGCCAACAAATACAGATCAATATCAGAGAAGCAGACTTTTGATGATCAGCTTTCGGAATCGTTCATTAAACCTAATCACGATTGGACAATAAAGTGATCCCACTGTGCCAAAACCACTCTCCGGTTCTCCTACACTGGTTCTGTTGTCCCGAGAAGAATCATTAGTGACTAGCACCTCCTCGTGAGAAGAAAGCAAAAATAAAAAAAAAATGGTTGAGGTTAATAAACTCGAAGAAAATGAGTCAATTCGCTTCAAAGATGGCAACGCTGTTTTCCAACTTGCTTCGACATCATGATCGGTGAAAAGAATGGACGATTTTCGAGGGTAGAGCGGTCAATAGACATGCGGGAGAACCGAAGAGTTCTATTTATTACCAATTACTTCTCCATAGTTCTGTGACTGCGATCAAAGCATGGCACTGATTGCGGTGTAAGGATTGAAACTGACGTCTGTGATCAATTCATTTTTAAACCAATTGTTCCGGAACATTTAACAAGGACCCTTCGGCTTCAACGCACTAATTTCCCCGGAAAACCCCCCTTTCCCTTTTCAGCCATATCCGGGACCCCCTTTCACCTTTCCTTTTTCGGAAGGAGAGGCAAATGTTAAAATATTTCCACCTCTTCACTTCAAACCATGACCGCAAGGTGACAACAGTAGGATCCAATGTTTACCATCCGGCAAGCCGTCGGCAAGGGCCTTGGCGTTTTTGCAGCAAAACCAATCATCAAAGGTCAACGAATCCTCGCTGACCGGGCTCTACTCACGCTCACCCCCTCGGACACCAGCGGCTCAATCCTCCGGCAAGCTCATGCGCTCCCAACAGCCGGTCAGAAATCACTTCTCTCACTCTCGATTAATCCCAGCAAGTCAGGCGTCTTGAGTTGGACGGAATCGCTATGGCAGAGTAAAACGACCCCGGGAAGGACCGTGCTCAACCACACCATTCTCAACATCTTCCGCAACAACAATTTTGACATTGGCAACCAAATTCAAGCGCTTTTCCCACAAGTGGCGCGGCTTAACCACTCATGCGTCCCAAATGCGCAGGGGAATTTCAACAAGAAGCTGGACGCCTTCACAATCCACGCTACGAGAGATATTAAACCAGACGAGGAGATCACCATTTCGTACCTGGACGAGCATCTAGGACTACGCCATTCCAGACAGAGCGTCCTTCAGAATGGATATGGATTCACCTGTGACTGCACTGCGTGCAACTCATCGACAGCAGATGCGGGCGAGGCAAGACGGATCGAGGTGGCGCGCAAACTGGAGCGATTCGCTGAACTCGCTTCGGAAGACCCGAATGACGAATTCGAGATGATGCTCACTCTTTTGGAGGCTTACGACGTGGAGAAGATTCGGGGACGCGAGGTTGCAACCATTCACATCGCGGCTGCGCGCAAAGCATTCGAACTTGGTAAGACTGACCAGGGACGGGATCTGGCGTTGAAGGGATTGCAGCTGGAAGAGGAGGCCGTGGGTAGAGACAGCCAGTTTTACAAGTCCACGCGGAAGCAAGTCAAGGGGCTTGGAATCGAACTTGGAGTGTGAGAGACTTGCTAACAATTGCATGATACATTGGCGTATACGAGCGACTTTATGTATATACCCCCAAATTTAGATAATTCAAGTTTGCGTTTAAGCAGTTGTAAAGTTATTTGTCAGGTGGTGGGGAGTGAGTAATCAAGTCTATCGCTTTTAGTCCTCCAAGCTAGTCGTATCTGCAAGTCAGACTCGGCTTCCAATAGGAAGTGGGAGAAGGATGGCCTTAACGGTGACTATACTCCCAATCCCCCCAATCGCAAGAGAGTATTTTGACAGTCGCACACCTGGAAGGCAACGTAACCGGAAATCTCGGTCTGAACTAAGACGGCATCTATGCGCTGAAAGATTACGGGGGTGCATTTGACAATGTCATAAAAAATCATCTCATCCGAATCTTCTCGCCGCTTAAGGTAGCTCAGAATCCTTAATTCTCTCAGTCACACACACACAATCTGCAGCAGCATGGACTCATGGGACGACCAGCTTGCGCACTTCAAATCCATCCCTTGGTGCGCGGAGCTTCTTTCCGAACCAGACCTCCTTATCAGGCCCCTGATCAGTCGAACCGGCAGCCGCAAAACCCGCGCATTCGAGTTCATCGGCGTGACGCTTAACAGCGAGGCAACTGTCCCATTCCTCCTAGCCTTCCTGCACCCCCCTACCTCACAAGCCGAAGCCGCAGAGAAGAATCATGATCTTCCACTTGAAGAACGCAACAAGCTGCCTCTCGAAGAACGATTCGCGACTAAACTGTACTGTCTCGTCACCCTCGGCCACGGTCTCACGTCCTTCCGGGAGGGATTGTGCCATGGGGGCGCGGTGGCCTCTCTGTTTGACGAATGTAATGGGGCTCTCGGCATAGTGAATAAGATGTTCGGTTTGATGGAGCCCAAGATGCATGTTACGCAATCGATGAATGTCACGTATCTGCGCCCTGTGCCGACGCAGACGACCGTGCTCATCACGTCAACGCTAACTCGAGTGGAGGGCACAAGGAGGTTTGTGGTTCAGGGAGAGATGGCGGATGAGAACGGGACGGTCCTTGTGAAGTCGGAGGTGGTGTACGTCATTTTGGACAAGCCTATGGATGCGATGCGGTCTGTCATCAAGGAGAAGTTGTGAGAACTGCGATTTTCTGTCGCAAATCTAATGATGGGATCATGGCTTCAGAAAAGTCAGCTAGTTTTGAACATGGAAGCTTTCTAGATTAAAGTCTCGGTCTAGAGGCAATATCTGGTACTAATGTATAAAAATAAAAACCTTTGAAATAAAACATTAGTCGTATCGCATTCTTGTCTTGGTATCAAAAGTCCATTGTTCTACCGCAGCAGAGGTGTTTCCTCGTCGGTAGCAGTTCTCCCCTCTTCGCTGTTGTTTTGGCCACTAGGCTCTCTGGAAAGCCAGTGCTTGAGATGTTCCCGAATTTCACCATCGCGGTATATCCATCCTACACAGATGCCTGCACCGGGGCCAAGGGGAATGGCAGCGGCAACAGTCACTGCCGCCACCTTCCAGCCCGCCTCCACGAAAAGCCAGTAGAGGACAGTCAGGCCGATGAACGTCGCATCGATCTCGATAAATTTGACGGTGGCGCGGGTCATCTCCTTTCTGTCATCTTTCTCAAACAAACTCCAGATAAGGAACACGTGAGAGACGATGGAGCAGACCATGGGAACCAAATAGACGAGAAGAAGAGAAACCGTGTGTGACTCGAGGTGGAAGCTGCGATGTTGGCGCTTTTGCAGACGCAGAACAGCCCATCGAACGGCTTGGCGGATGATCGAAACCCAGACAGGGAAGAAGAGCCAGATGGCGATAGTAATGGGTGAGTTATAGATGAGCATCAGGATAGCAGGGACAATGAAACCCCAGGCCACGCTAACAGGGATGGCAACGATCTCGGCATCGACTTTGAGATGACGCGAATCCTTGCCAAAATCCGGGTCCTTGGAGGCGGCACTCTCAACAGCCTCCTGGCCTGCTTTCTGTCTTGCAAGGAAGATGGAGCGAGAGCGGTGAAGGAAGGCGGGAATAATGACAAGCTCCCAAACTACAGCGCCGCCAAGCAGGTTAAACACCAACCAAGGCCCAGTAGGATTGGCGATGAGAATATTCGGCGCGTTGCAAATGCGCGCAGCCTCAACAGTGGTAACTGTCATCAAACCGGCAATGAAGGACAGAATAGCAGACATGCTGGCAAAGGTACGCGACGAGTCGATCGCGCTCTGGAAGAAGCTGATGGCGAAGCAGATGGGCGTGCCGAGTACTGGGAAACGGCTGATGGCCGGAATACGTGAGTGAGCATGGCATTGCGAGTACAACAGAGCGACGTTGACGTCGGAATGGATGAAGAGGAGGGCGAAAGTGGCGATGGCGAGGAGGATCGGCACCACGAGGAGTACGCGGTAGGAGAAGACGTGAATGGGCGCTGGCCAGCGCGTAGAGGGAGCCATGTTGAAGCAACGATTAGACTCTTGAGGGTTTAATAATCGTCACTTCTTTGCTGTCTTGTAGTCGAGCGGGACGTCCTGACAGGGAAATGAAGTCGTGAGGATGAGGTCAGTATCGTTGGTGTTCGCTAAAATGAGCGAACGAAGCTAAGGTGAGGCTCGTGACAACATTGCGCACGTGCCACCTGACGCGCTTCCGGGGTCCTTTAGCCTGCATTGGGAACCCGAAGTTAGCGCCTTTGTGTGATTTGCAGTGGCCCGAGACCCTTAGACCCCTGCCCCTCATGTTTCCCATTGTGAGACAAGTGGTCAGCTGCCTGCATCCACGAACCCACCACCGAGTATGGTTCTTGTTAAGAGGCAAATTTCTAACCAACTGTTTACAAACTGTTAATTACTCAAAAATAACAATAATCATATTAAACAGTGTCCGAGCGGCCGAAGATGAGGGGTGTGAGACTCTGCAAGATTTGACACAAACAATGAACCGACTTCTCCAGTAAAGTAGGCTCAGCTCCACACCAAGACGATCACATAGCCAGCAATCCGGTGTTCTTCAAACTCTCCTTTTCTGATTTTAGAGCAAGTAACTCGCCAGTAGACCTTAAATCATTCATAATCTCGATCATCAATCTTTGTGCGGAAATTTTTCTACCTTCTGTGTGCCAAAAGAAGGGAACTTGAGGTGGTCAACGTAAATGTCTGGGGTTATCGATGGATACCTGGTACTGACAATGTCAACCCGAAGTAGAGGATTGCTACAGCAAGATGCTGCAGGGCCGTGAACTGACCTGTTAGGCCTGTTTCCTTCCCGTTATCCAGATGCCCTTCTCATTCTCCACTCGTCATTTTCTAGATGCTAAGACTTGTGACCCGGACAGAAAACTGTGGGGCGAGAACTAGAAGGCCATGAGATGAGGCAAAAATAGCGCCAACAGCCTGGGATAGTGGTGGAGAGGGTAGTAAACGTTATAACGAGCAAATAAACGCGTTGGTGCCGTTAACAATGCTGTAACGAAAAAGTGGGCTCACCTGAATTGTGGTTTTCATGCTACGTCATAAATGTTATATTACTTTAAGCGCAGGCTGTGCCTTTGGTGAAGGAGGTTATACAAATTCAGTTACATCCATCAGGAATGGCGGTGATGGCCTGCCTGGGATGGTGTGGGGCAAGTGGTTAGACGTTGTAACAAGCAACCTCAACACGTTGGTGCCGTTAACACTGTTGTGTTACTGCACGGTGGGCTGCAGGTGTACTGAGAAAGGCTGTCAAATGGTCAGTTACGCCCCATCGGAAATGGAGGACCACTTCCTACTCAGCTCAAGAAGTGTTATTGATAATGGTTTGAAACACCGAAGCGGAAAAAAGGTATGTTCCTAAGGTAAACAACACACCCAGGCTGTGGTAAGGGAAAGATAGGTGGACATCATTATACTTTGCCATTGTTATAGTTAACAATAACCTTAACTGTCACGCATCGGAGATGGCTACATTTGAGACCCAAGGAAATTTAAGTTGGTTATATCATCGGAGATGGGTTTGTAACGGAGATAGATTTGTACCGGAGATGAGTATGCACCGGAGATACGCCTAGGAGAATGTTGTTAAGAAGCCCAAGTAATCCCTTGGGATTTCTCATCCAATCTTCACCTGGCATCCAGACTTGACAGTACAAATTCTATTCGTTCTTCATCTCTTTCAGCCAGACAAACATCATCACAAGCCATCAGATCATACCGAGATCGTTAACAACCCGAACAAGTCAATAAGTTCAACAATCAGATCTCAACAAGATCAAACAAAAACACCAGATCGAACTAAGATCACGAAAATAAAACAAGTAAACACAAAGATCTAATCAAGATCACCATCAACCAGAACACACCAAAATCACCAACAGCAAAATAAAATCAAAATGGGTTGCTTTCACTCTGTCACCGCCAGCACTAGAAAGCCTAGTCGCTACGTTGGTCTCGAGGATATCGAGAAGTATGCAGCTCGCCGTGGCTCGCCATCCTCCGCCCACGACATTCTCATCTTCGCCGAGGGTCAGCAACAGAGATTCCACGGCATCTTTGATGACGAATTCAATTCCAACTACAACATCAAGCGTGACTGGCAGCTCGAAAAAGAGCAGGTCCGCAGAGAACTTTCTGGTCGAGAACTGAGAAAGACCATTGCCGACATGGATCGAGAGATGGCACACCAGTTGCTCGTCAACTCCAACAAATTTCGCGCTCGCAAGCAAAGAGCTCTTTCGCAATTCGAAAATGAGTGGAACAAGAGACAACAAGCCAAGGGCTATCCTTTCTGGGGCCGAAAGCTGAACTACTAAACAACACACCGAAGATCAATACTAGATTTCGGTACTTTCAAAAGTCTTGGGTATTACAGAACTATCTTCCTTTTATTGGGATTAAGGAAGATAGGTGGATGAGAAGAGAATATGGGAACAAGGAACAAGGATTGAGATTAGCCGCTAGGTTATAATTCTCTCAATACAAATCAATTACCTACATCACAACTCAATCGACGTGAACCTATCAAGCCTATAAGCTTACTACTAATCTTAAGGTTTCGATTTGCTAGTGCTTAAACCTCTGTCAATAATTCTCTGTAGATCGGTAAAGTTACCTCTGTAAGGCACCAGGACTAGCGTGGCAGTGATAGTGCAAGATGTAAAAAACTTGAGAAAAACGCTCCTCGATGGCTCAGTGAAGCCAGTAGATGGAATGGTAGTTTAATGGACTACTATAGCTGCTAGGCTGGGCTAGATCTACGCCACCCAATGTCAAACTGCCTTGAAACCAAACACTTTTATAGCTGCTCTCCAATTGAGTTGCTGGAGGCCGAACTGAACGGTTTGCGGCGAGCTATTCTTGAAAAGGTGTTAGCGATAAATGACAAGGACTGCCTGGAGCTTTTGGTGTAACAGGGAGCAGAGCAGGTAGATGCGACTCACAACTCCTCTAGCACTCTCCGTTGTCGCAGCAAACGACCTGTACGTCTGTCGCCCGAAAGAAACAAGTGTTTGGCGGACATCCGCCATCATAAAAGTTGCATGCCGCTGACACGGCAGATGCCCAATAGATGGCTGCAGCGAAGACAATTGTTTTTGTGGAAAGTTGCATTTCGAGGGTGGTTGATAGAGAGACGAGTCGGAAATATGACAATAATTCGAGAAAGGGTAATGAACTGTTGTATTTTTGGGAATGGTCAAATGAGGGGCCGGCTTTTATAATTCGAAGAATGTATGTAGAGATTATGAGCTTGATTTGGGTACTTGCAACGCATCTCTAGTGCAGCCGGTGCTTGTTCGTGCAGATCTGTCTATCATTGTGGCTTAGATATGTTATAATTGTGTCTGGCACTTTATGAAAGTTTCGCTTATAATGGTCGATCTTCTGTTTATGGATCTTGACCTCGCTACCTAGCTCGGTCATTCACGCCGCAGTACGTTAAATATTTCCGTGGCACATAAACAGTTGAATAGGTATCATTCTGCACATACCGCTATGCCTGATAGTTGAACTTCCACTTAAATGATACTAAATAGTGCACTGCAGGCTGTGCAGTAGTCCCTTAGTAACATGGCAATAACGCGACCTATTGTGGACTGCGTGGAAACAAGTTCTGTTTGGTTGGATAATTTGCATCGCATGACTCATTAATTAAACTTTGAAAGTTGTCTCCTACTTTTATAAGAAAAACATAAAATATTGGGACCGGACAGGGTTTAACAGCGTCGCTTTATCATTTTTCTTTTCCGTTTGGGCTGATCAGGGGGGTGATTTGATAGCATTGAAAAGTATACCTTAAAAAGACTTAGCCCTCAGTGATTCTGAGGAGATTAAACAGACTTAAAAAACATATAGTTGATTCGAGAGTTACTCCATAGTATGTAGTTATGAAAAAGTTTATGTATGACTAGACAGAGGGTCGATGCATGTTTTCCTTAGAGGCAGCTTTTTTACTAAGCAAACAAGGCATACCGAGATTTAAGTGCGTATCAACGACGGTTTGTCCTTTGTAGGTGTTACGGCCAGCCTGGGTGACGGTAGGGTCTGCTAACTGAAGCTGAGGCAGAGACTAACAGGGTCGTAGGTCGCAGACTGGTAGGCATACTAGTAGATCAAGGGTTATAGTAAGATGATCAGTCTTACATCTGATATTCTCGGACAGGATTAGCGTCTGTCCATGATGAACGGTTGGACAGCGATGGAGCATTCGCAGTCTTACCTTTTAGCATACTTCACAGTCTGTTGAGCACGGATCTAAGCCTTGAAAAGCATTCGAGAAACCCAAAGGCAATAGTTCTCGTCAACTACCTTACGGCAGCCTGCAAAAAGGACGAAGTGAAAAATACATTTTCCATTTTGCACTGGCGCCCTCCAAATCAAAAACTGGTTATTGCTAATTACATATTGTGTAGAATCCTAATTTACTTAAAGCTATACCATCGACTGCAGCAGGGCAACAGATAAAAACCAGCCCTTGTAAAGGCCCTATATCCTATTTGAGTAGAAGTTGCGGTATTTGTGAATGATTGGCTAATACCCCGCAGGCTTTGTGCCTACCAGGCCGCAGTTGATGGGATGTTAGTGGGTCTACACTCTCCATGCGATGGGTTTGTGGGCTGATTTCAGTGTTTTAGCCTGCCTACTGTTGCCTGAGCTGTTGTGGCCTGGTATGGCCTGTTATTATTGTTGTAGGAAATAAGCCGGAGGCTTTCCCTTCATAAGGAACCAAAGCTGACTGTTGATGGAACTCCGCCTTCTTCTGAGTCTAATGATATCTTTTTGAAGAAGTTTTATATCTATTACCTCTAAATCTAACAAATCAGGTTAAGCTAAATACGTCGATACATAGGGCTTACTACAAACCCTCATCTCCTGCTGTAACCCCATGAGGAAAAAAAAATACACCGCAACAAAGGAGTTTTGGCCAAGTCCTTCATGCATTCAACGCCGCTCCGGTAATTTGCAGCATCCCTGTCCACGTCCAGCCAAGAATAAACTCGCCGACTTGGGCCTTTTGCATTATCCATTTCGGGATTGGCATCGAACCGATGACAAATAGGAGACGAGCGTGACCGCCATTCAGTAGCATCCGAAGCATTAAATTAACCAGTGACGAGTCCGAAAGAACCAGATGACCACAAACCGATTTAGAGAAGATCAAGTATCATAAAGTTTGATCCTAACATAAGAACTTCTTTATGGTTTAATCGTGCTTCGGCAAACATCAAAACTTTCGGGCCTATCGCTCGTTTCTAGCACATGATCGCAACGTGAACTCGAGGCAATGAGTCCACGCCCGCGCCAGAAAACAGTTCTCGTAACAGGGTACGAGAAAAAAAGACGGCTCCCGATAACCCCTCACAGAATCGGCTAACACAAGCAACTAGCTGTTCGCCAGGCGGTATCGGCCACGAACTGTGTCAGGAGTTCCGAAAACAAGGTACCGTCAACGGAAAACATAAAAACCATCTACAGCTGGAGAGCCGTTGACACGCATCAGGACTCCATGTTATTGCGACCGCCCGCAGGGAAGATGTAATCGCCGAGCTAGTTGCCGAGGGTTTTGACGCGCTCAAGTTGGACGTGACAAGCGAGGAGAGCATAGCTGCCTGTCGCAAGCAAGTCCAAAATATAACAGGAGGTAGGCTGGATATTCTGGTAAACAATGCGTAAGTGATACGCCAAGACAACCTTGATTTTTTTTTTTTCGATTCCTGTGTTAACGCAACTTGCTCAGTGGACAGATTCACATCTCTCCTGCAACCGATTTGTCCATTCCAGATGTCCGCGCCACCTTCGAGACAAATGTGTTCGGGGTCATGGCCATGATCAAGGCCTTTGTAGACCAGCTCATCGCGGCTCAGGGCCTGATCATCAACATCTCCTCCTGCGCAGCTGTGGCGCCGTACACGTTCGCGTCATCTTATTGTGCCAGCAAGGGTGCCATCATGAGCTACAGCCGCACGCTCCGACAGGAGCTGCGGCCGTTCGGGGTCCGCGTCATGGTTTCCGTGGCGGGCACCGTCAAGTCTACCATTGCCGAGAAGCCGCAGCCCAGGCTTGCGCCAGGTTCGCTGTATGAGAGGATGGGCGATCTGTACACGCGATACATACATTTGAGCCAGGAAGACGGGGCGGCAGATACTGGTCTATTTGCGAAGGAGCTCGTCGTTAATGCTCTGAAGCCCGAGGGCGGGCTTTTCGGGCGACCGGACTGGTTGTGGTGCGGTGGTATGTCGAGAAAGGTGTGGTGGGTGTTGAAACTTTTCGGAGAATGGGCCGTCGATTGGCGGACATGGCAAATGTTTGGTCTGTCCCAGTTGCAGAAAATGGTCGAGGATGAGAGAGCTGCGAATGATCCAAAGAAAAAATGATGGTCGTCATATGTATCATGTCCAGGGACAAGTGGGGTTTACTATGCTTTCTTCATGCTGGATTAAAGCAAAATGGATTTGAGAAAAAGGGTATTGGGCAACTTTCATAATGACTTTGCCTTTCTAGTCTACTTTGATATTGCTATCAGGAAAGGACGTTACATGACATTGCTATAGAGGGGAAATGTGCCCTGCGAAAAGGCTTCATATTAAAAACAGTTATTACATGAGGGGTATCGGGTGTTTGGACTATGTACCAAGGATTTCTTTGATCCTCAGTCAGTCCCCATCTACATAGTATCGACAAAGGAAAATTGATGAACTGTACCACGCGGTAGCTGTGTTGCAACCGGGATATCTGGGCAAGCTTGGTTCCCCTAAACAGAAGACAGAGAAGCGTGCTTCACCGACCCTTCGCTTCTGATGGCTTCTCCTCGGTGCTCGGATTTGCTGCTTCCATGTTGTCCTGGTTGCCCAACTTGATAGCTGACCCCTCAATCTTCATCCACTGGATTCCGAAGGCCAGGAAGAAAGCCACACCGGCTGAAGCAACGGCGACGAACTATTCGGCGATGTGTTAGCGAATGTGAAACGCCAATTTCGGTCAAATGATTAGGGGACTCACATGTGTCTGAGCGATCGCAGAGTTGTACGATTCCATGATAGGGTCAAACAGCGAGGGGAAGTATTGGTTCACAATTGCTCGCACATTTGCGATACCGCTTCGGTAAAGTAGTTGTATCTGGTCGTGGTTCAGCGCAGCTCGAGAGGCTAGCTGGCTTTCCAAACGCGCGTGGAAGATGGCACCGGCAATGACCTGCGCGACAGTAGCCCCGAGAAACTGGGCGAAGATATTGAGCGAGACGCCAATGGGCAAGAGATCGGCGCGGTCTTTCAGCGCTAATTGGACCATCAGAGATGGCATTTGCATGGAGAAGCCGACACCCAGGCCCTGGATAACCTGGTATCCGATCCATTGGCTTGATGGGGTATCGGAGACAGTGAACTGAGTGTACAGAGCTGCGGCGGTGCACATCAAGACTGGTCCGACAAAGAACCAAGGGTTGTAATAACGGATTTTAAGGGCTGGAGTGACTAGTTAGAGGCTGGAATATGTGTAACGGGGTCGAAGGTGAACGTACCAATGGCACCTGCACTAATCGTTCCTACGATTTGTGAGATGACTGACGGTAGTACTTTTATGCCACTCTCAAAGGGAGTGGCGCCTTGGACTGCCTGAAACCACTCCGGGAGATAATAGGATGAGACGGATAGAGCACCAAGATGGCAGAAGGAGAAAATGACACTTAGCAGGACGGTGCGTCTTCTGACCAGGACACCAGGAATCATGGCCGAGTCCCCCAAGCGCGACTCCCAGAATGAGAAGAGGCCCAGCATGACCACAGATCCGACCAAAAGGCCAATAATGGTTGCCGAGTTCCAAGCGTGCGCATTTCCGCCCCATTGCAGCGCGAGGATCAACATGAAAATGCTGGGGACGAAAACAACAGATCCTACGAGATCCAGGCTCCGGATTTTCTGCATCGTGCTCCTCGAGCCGCCTTCCCGTGGCGGCACCTTGAAGAAGAAGAACATGGCGAACAGGGTGATGGCGCCACCAGGTAGGTTGATCCAGAAACACCAACGCCAGGTGACCTTCTCGGTAAAAGCGCCGCCTATGATGGGAGCGAGAATCAGACCCAGGGCAAAGCAGCTACTGCAGAGGCCAATGAACAACGGCCTACGCCGAGGCGAAGAGATCACCAACACGATGGTGAGACCTCCACTAGTGACTGCAGCTGCGCCGATGCCAGAGACAGCGCGGCCAACGATGAAGACTTCACTTGTGGAGGCCCAGCCACATATGGCACTGCCGACGAGAAAGACAAAGAAGAAGCCTTGGTAGACCCAACGGAGAGAGAAGACACTGGCCATCTTGCCCGCTAAGGGGGTGAGCGAACAGACTGCCAAGGTGTAGGCTGCTGGATACCATGATATGTGCGATGTGTTGTGGAACTCGGACGTGATAGACGGAATGGCCTAGGCAAAGAGCATAGTCAGATTTTCCTTCGAATGGGAAGACAGTGAGTGTGATGAGGAGAGGACAGACCGTTCCGATGACATAGACATCGAGAGCCATGACAAAGGCGCCGAAGCAGACACCCACAAGAATCATGTAAAGCTTGAAGCCATGTAGCTCCGAGTTAGATGTAAGACCAGAATTCTTGTTGTCGCTTGTGGCGGTGGTCGTCGGCCGTGGCGCGGATTCTACCAAGGCTTCTCTCGCATCGCCATTGACGTTTCGACCATCTGGCGGTGCTGTTGTAGTCATCCTTCCGATTCCTTGGCTTCAGCCTGTGTTTGTATTTGGGGCGCTTAGGAAAAGAAAGTCGGATCTGGTAAAAAGGAGAAGCGAAATGGGGTTCTCTTTAGAGGTGAATTTGATTTTGAGATATTATTGATTGCGGCCTGGAATATTGGGTGGAGTGTAGGACAAAAGTGCTGTTTAGGAACGTATACGACTGACGAATTAAAACCGGGTGAACAAATCCTCCCGAATTCCGTTCGGAACCAACGACCGGCATCTTGGCTGTTGGTTCTTGCCTTGGACAAACGAATGCGACTGAATGCGAGTTTTCGGGGGGCCTTTCAACCTGAAATGCAGGACTTTAGTACCACAACACCATTTGTTATATTGGCCTGAGGCAGGGTCAACCCCAATGTTGTGACACCTGATTCGTACTTTGCAGTGACAGTTATTTTTACCCAAGTTGTTTACAGTCAATGTATTTTTCTGTACGGCATCTGGCCTGTTTTTTGAGGGAAAAACATGTCTGTGCCGCAAGCAATTAGCCGCGAACAATCAGCCGCCTGGCCTCTGCAAGTACATGCTTATGTATTTGGTAGCGGATCAAAACTGAGCAATCATTGCTCAATAGTTGTCGAATCATTTCACAGATGATAAACAAACAATGCATAATTTGAGAAGTCTCCTTGTGCAGATCTATCTCGGAACAGACCAGTCAGTGCTGGCCAGATGTATACTGTGAGTTTGTTCGCCACAGCGAACCTTTACCGCAGAGAGTGGTACAGCGACCCTCTACCCGTTATTTTGCGAAAGACACACCGGATACAATATTTTCCGCTGCAAAATCTAGATGTTTGGATCTGCCAGTGAAAGCTGTCAGATTATTGCCCACTCTTGTGTAACGCGCCCCTTTTTGGCATTTGTCGAGCAGCATGGTGCGATAAAAGCAATATTGTAACCCTCCTGATGCAGAACATTCCTGCTCACACTTCCATGGTGGCAGGTAGGACCAATTAATGATGTCTGATAAAGAGGCACAGATTACTTAGCATCCCAAGGTTGACATGACGGAGGTGCGCTTCAAAAGTCCTGGCAATTGCACCAACGCCAAGGGCTCAGAGCTTATGCTGTTAGGCCGGAAGAATAAAGCGTCCCTTCCGAACAAGTCAAAACGCTAATCAGCAAGGACGGGTTGCAACCCACCTTCCGTACGGAGTAGACTCTTGGGGGCAACAAGAGTGGGGCGCCAAGCCGGCTGGGCCACAATTCACGCCATCCAAAGATACGTACTTTGGTAGGCGAAAACGTCCTGACATCTCCAATGGCTTGAACCAACAAAAGACTCATAGGGCAACTGGCCCCACCTTTATTATTCTCGAGAGTCTAATACGGTCTTATCCGCTCAACTGTGCACAGATTTTGTCCTATGAAATGCTGTTCAACACAGTCCATATTTCTCCAAATTCCGTGGAAAGTAAATATGGTACTGGAGAGAAAATCGTACTGTCTGTTCCTCATTAGGTTATAATCCCGCATGCTGTGTACCTACTGCCCAGCAGCACTTGATGGGATAATATGTAGACTCATCCAACAGAACCTGCCTAAAATATAACAGATCTCCACTTTGATGTTGTATTGGTCTGAGGTGACTGTCAATATGTAATGCAGCTGACGGAACAAGACACGGCTTGTTATCGACCACGCCGCACACGCGTAATACGTAGGATTTATAACGGCGTATTTACTTTAAGTATACTATGTTTGGCTCCAATTCCACGAGGCCAAAGATTCACAAACTGGTATGTTTCGTTTCAATCATGAAACGTCTTCAGACGGCAAAGGACGCCAAGCTCCGAAGCGCGTGTGACCGATGTCACGATATGAAGAACCGCTGCACGCGCTTCGGCGGGATTGAAAGCCGTTGCGATAGGTGCGAGAGGCTAGATGCAGATTGTGTGTACAGCACTAGGTCGCAAGTCGGCCGTCCAAAGACCCGGAAACAAGAAGCCGCCTTGACAGCACGGGAGAGCAGCCAGAGCCTTGGACCAACCACCTCTCGGCTTGTCCCGCTCGATGATGCCGAAGTCCGGTTGGGAACAACACTAAGAGACGGAACCTTGCAGTTTGATTTCGATAGCTCGGCTTCGTCGTCGTCGTCCTCTTCGCAGCCGGCCCACTTGAGCCAGCATTTCTGGGAAGTTGATCTCTCTGCCAACCAGACCACACATTGTAATGGTATAAAGAAACCCCTCCGCTCTCCCGGTTCCTCAGTTGAACCATTGGCTGACTAGCTCTAATTGTAGAAGGGTCCGAATGGCAGTTAGACTCAGCTATCTTCATGGACAACAGCCCCTCGTACGGTGATAATACTGTTGCTTCTGGCTCTGCACACGAAGATCCTGTCGGCCTTTCACCTCAACACAGAAACTTGACTCCAAATGGGGCCGAGGGGGACGTGAATGGGACAACCGATACTCTTATCAGACTTCAGAGTCAACTCCAACAACTCCTGTTCGGGACACTGAACGCCCCGAAGGAGGATATGCCATTGCCAACCGGCCACAAACCCTATCCGGCCGTGGACAAGGTCCTGGGCCTAACGAATCAACTTCTCGAAATTGTACAGGCTCAAATTCAAACCAACCCCAACACCGAACAACTAGCACGGAACATGAACCGCATCACAACCTTGCAAATAATGACGTGCTACACCTACGTTGTACAATTGCTCAGCCCCATCATTACGACAGCGCGGCAGCAAAATGCCAGTGACAGCAATCTCAAGATTCAGATGGCGACTCAATGCCCTTCACCGTCCCTTGAACACATGTTCCCAGCTTCCCGGCCAGTCAATGGGCCTCCGAGGCTCGGCAGCCGGTACCCTGTTCTTCACCTTGGTGGCTTCAACCTCGCGTCACAGCCAGTGCTCAATGAAGACGTGGTTCAGCACATGGTTCAGCGGATCATGCAACAGCTGCACATGACGATTCAATCATTTGCCTCGGTTGCGGGATGTGGCAAAATTGTCGATGCCGTGGACGCAAACCTCACTGGGGGAGTACTGTCGCCTGCTTCACCGCTCACTGCTGGCGACGCGAACGTGACTAGTGAGGGGTTATAGCACATAGTGACGCGGATTTGGGTTTACGAGGGGGTAAAGTACAAATGTGACAGTAGACCAAGTTATACAGCTACACATGTTTTGTGGCCGGCTTTTGGCTCACACTTGACACTCATATTTGATAGAGTGCTTTGATCATATCAGCACTGGAAGAAACCTGGGGTGTATTTGATGAAACAGAGCCTAGCACATATGTACCCTATGAGATATGACGGCATCTTGGCATAGAAAATTCTGTATTAAACTTCATGTTACGCCACTTTTGATTTCGTTGCGTGGCGTGCCAGCGGACCGATGCGTGTGGCACGGCTGATCCTTACATTAATGATCTACAGGGCACGTCACACCATCATTCACGAGAGCTATTTAGGCATTCCGAAGGTTTTTGATAAGGGTAACTTCGGTTCCGCAAGGGTCTGTCGCGTAAAAGTAATCAAGAATAATCCGCCGACAGCTTCAGTTCAACCGGCGGATTTCACCACAAACCGGCGGATTTCAATAAGCGCTGTGCAGCGGCCACGGAGGATTCGATATGCGCATCCGGACATGGAAATTCACCGGCGGAGTTTTGAGGGTACACACGCATCACATAGGTACGCGGCTAGGCAGACCGGTCGATGCCGACGACATTGCCATGTTGAATGTTTTGAAATCTGGGTTGCCATAGAAGTGAATTCCCGGCTATATTGCTGTGTATTTTCTGCCATACTGACACATTGTTTCTTCGAGCCAACCACTTATTGCACAATATGTCAGATTCAACGGAATCCCCATCAGCTTGTACACCAGCAGCAAATCCCAACCGCCTCCCCGCCATTCTCTGCCTCCACGGCCAAGGCACCAATGGCACCATCTTCTCCCACCAGTCTCAGGCCCTTGTCAAATCCCTCAGCGACCGATTCCGCTTCATCTTCATTGACTCGCCCTTCACATCATGGCAGCCCGGCCCCGGTGTCATTCCCGTCTATGCGGACCTAAAACCGTACCGTCGCTGGCACTACGACAAGGCTCAGATCGAGACGGGCGTCTCGGCCGAGGCCGTGGATGTCGAGAGAGCGCGTGTCAGGGCGCTCATCTCGCGCCATTTCGAGACGGAGTCGGAGAAGACGGGTGAGGGCATCGTGGGCATCATGGCGTTTAGTCATGGAACGCGGGTGGCGACGGGGATGTGCTTGGATGACGAGTTGGGACCGCACATTAAAATTGCCATCCTGATCAGCCCCGTCTTCCCCTGTCTTTCAGTAGGGGCATCGACGGACTCTCCAGAGGATGGGAAGATTCGTCGTAACCTCGACGTGCGGCTGGTCCAAGTACATGGTACATCTGACCCCTGGGCACCTGGAGGAAATCGTCTGGTGAGGACGCATTTCAGTGCGTCTCTGACACGTACCGTTACCTTTACAGGTTCTCATCAGGTCCCGTCTGCTGCTAGGGACGTTGCGACGGTTGCACGTGAAGTTATCTCTGCGTGGGAGTTGGGGGAAATGTCTTGAAGAGAACGAAAGCATGTACTATTTCATAAACCATAACCCAGCTCCCCCAGGAGAATGAAGGGAAATACCTGACAACAAAATGGACAATGACGAAAACTCTATTCGCCTGCATTTTCTAATATACATTGTTTAATTCGTCTCAATATTCTACGTTGACTGTAATAGTAGCACGGCACACTCTAGTTTTTCCCCTGAACTGAGAACTTAAACGTCGCAAAGCTAGTATATAACCCATCCGCACCCCAAACCGTCTTCCTGTTTTGCCACTCAGGATGATTGACACTATCGGGCCAATTCTGCATCTCGAGGGATATCGCGGCGTGTTGTGGTATCTCGCCCCCGCCTTGGCCCAGTTTCAGTTTCTTCACTTCTGGGAGCGCCATTTGTTAGCGGATGATATTTCCAGAAGGCATTCGAGGAATCCTGTTTGACTTACCATTGCTCCCGCCCCATGTATGCACGCGCAATGCGTCCTGGTCCGTGTAGAGCGACATGCTGATTCCGGAATTCGTCGATGAGAGAATGGCGACAGGGTTGGTCATCTTGTTCTCGGGATGCATATGGGAAATGGAAAAAATGCTATCCAATGCATGCCATCCATCCAGTGCCGTCCTTGTGGATGACCAAAAGTCATGTTCGCCCCCTTTTCTATTGCTCAGGAGATCACCCGTAGGGATTCCCCGCGAGTCAATCGCAAACCGCATTCCCGACGAAGGCAGGTGAAGTCTGTGGCTGGGTAGTTTCTGGGCCTGCATTGACGACGTATTGTCGTTTGCCCCCCGGAACATCGTGGAAGTAGATGTTGGATAAGAGCGGAAGCCATCAAGGTTGAAAAACACCTGCTGGCTCAGGTTGATGGGCCCGGCGACGAGCAGGGGAGTGACGCCGAAAGCGATGCGCCACTCGTAGGGCGTGACGGTGTGGGTGAGACATGACGCGAAGACACCCGGGAAGCCGTTCCACTGGCGGTCGAAAAGCAGGAATGTAATGCTGTTGTTGATGTGCACAGCGACGTCCCACGTCTGTCGTCCCCAACCTTCGTCGCCGCCGTTGAAGGTCGAGGTGCCGTTGTGTGCGTTGGGCCAGACTTTGCGCTGGACATTGTTGACTTCGTAGCTGGAGTTGCTCAAGTAGCCGGCGTAACGTCCTGGAATCTTTTCTCAGCAACTTGATTCTGTTTGTTTGTTATACAAGAGGGGTAAAGGGAAGGGAAGCCATCATAGATCAGTACCTATAACGCCGTTCAGGTATGGATTGGATGTGAGCTTGGCATAGTCATCGCCATTATCAAGACCCAAGACAATGTCGATTTCTTCTCCACGCGTATCATTAATCCATAGATTGGTTACAGCCGCACCATGATTGGTGAAGGCTAACCGAATACCTTTGGACTCGATGATGTACTTGCCCTCCTGGTTAGTTGCCCACAAAGCTGACAGTACGGCAAACGGGCTCCCACGGTTCCACACAGACTTGGTCGCGGCCAATATGGTTGCTGTCAAGGCGAGGAACTTCATCTTTGGCGGAACAGGGGATTTCCAAATATCATAAAACCCTGCTGGGGGTGTAGGAACGGTGTAGACGTCGAGTTCTAGTTGTACTGTTCGATGATAGCCGGTAACTGCCGGGGCCTAATCTTCAAATGCTACTGAGGTGGGAAAACACGGGATAGAGCATTGAAAAAAAGGAGTAAAGAGTGTAAAAGGCTGTTGTTTGGGCAAAGTATTTCCTAGTATTGCCCACAATCTGCATATGTGTACATGGGCACACGGCGTTCCATGTTACGGCGAAGCAATCCCAGCACACAGGCTTTAAACCGGCGAATTTTGTCTGGGCAGACAAGTGGACAGGGATTGATTGTCCGCTCATTCAAACTGTGCATAAATGAAAAGAAAAAGAAACGGAACTAGTCCCTAAGTTACCGCGTTCTACTCCTGGATACGGCATATAAGCTTCTGCCCAGAAACCTGCTTCTTCCTCAATATCGACAAGCCCGCCTCCACAGCCGCAAATCCCCCGTCCCCGTTCTCATTAACAATTCTCAGCGGATGCATCCGCAAGCTCCCCTCGTCCAGGAGCCGCTGCGCAACGGCGAACCACCAGCGCGCAAACTCGTGATCCTTAGGATCTCCCGCACGCGCAAACGGCTCGGGCCACCCAAGTGGCTTGCCAAGCAGCGTCGGGCCTAGGACCCAGTCGGCCGTGACGGTGTGCTTCCGCGTCTCGGCCAGAAAGGCAGGGAAGGGCTCCAGAGCCGTGTATTTTCCGCCCGCACGACCCAGACACCGGTAGCAGAACTGCATGGTGTCGGGCTCCGAGACGCAGTCGAGGACGTAGCGGAGAGAGCCGCGAGTGTGGCGCTTGATGGCGGCTTCAGGTGTGTCTGTATGGTTCGAAGAGTCGGATGCGGGACGGTGATGGTAGTCAAAAACGGCCGAGGCGCCGTACGACTTGACCAAGTCAAAGTTATGGGGTGAACATGTGGCGATGGGGTCCAAACCCGATAGTTTGAGTAACTGGATGGCTAACGTGCCCGTTGCCGTGCTTCCGCCGTACACCAGCACCTGGACAGGCTTCTCGCTCGGCCTGTCAGGAGTGCCGGGAATCTGTAGTGATTGGAACAGTGCCTGTCCGATAGTGCCAATGCCGCTCCCCAGGGATGCACCCTCCTCGAAGGTGAGGTGGTCGGGTATCTTCATGGTGACGACGTCGGAAACGCCCACGTATTGAGCAAAGGCGCCTACCGATGGGGTGAGGGCGTGCATGCCCGGTACGGCACCGCAGACGCGGTCTCCTATCTGGATGGGAACGCTCGTCTGCACCTTGCAGCCTATGGATACCACTTCGCCGGCGAAGTCCATGCCGGCCACGGCCCCGGGAGTTGCGAGTTTGCCCACCATCTTCACGTCGATGGGGTTTAGTGCTACGGCCATGTTCTTGACTAGGATCATGTCATCTTCCAGGTCTGGCACTTTGACGTGGTGGTTAAGTCCCAAGGTGCCGTCTTCCTTGGCGATGAGTGCGGTTTGTTCTGTTGGTATAATCGTCATTGTGGCTTCTTATATGATCGAGAAAGGAGGAAGAAGTCATGCAAAGTGAGCACCAATCTGTAGATTCATAGATGAATATGAGTTCTGAAAAATGTCTGACGCAGGCCAAGGAGGTTTTTCAGTTTAGGATGAGATGATGAACACAGCGATGCTTTCGATGCTGTGACCTTTGCGTAAGCTAATTGAATACAAACTACTTTATAAGCAAGTCAAGAGTAAATGGAAAGCTTGAGTTGTGTTGAAGTACCAAGGTACGTACAGGTCAGCGTAATATCTACAAAGATGATGGTTGAATGCCTTACAGCAGCCAAGGCGCTTCTACAGCCATAAAATTCGCCGGTCACCGACTCCGATCACCGGTCACTAAACCCCGAAGAACAATGGAACGGAAGAGAATTACAAGTCGAGATATTCTTTCAGCTATGATACTCGACATAGCTCCAAGTCGTTACTGTTGGCACTAAGTTAACTCAACCAACTTTCACCTCTCTCCTTTTCACGAGAACGAAGTTACGTTATATCCTCACAATCACAACTTTAGAACAATTATACTATCCCGCTTGGAAATTTGACAAGCCATGTCAGTCATTTTGAACTCCTGGTTCCTAGCCGTGTTTTGCACTTGCATTACGCTACTCTACCATCTCATTGCCGGTAGCGATGGAATTGGCTCCGTTCTCAGTCTGTTGGGCCTCGAAGTACTTTTCTTGGCACTCTGGATTGGATACTGGATCATTCTGTATCCAACTTACTTTACCCCTCTGCGCAATCTCCCCACCCCGCCAAAGCGCAAGTACCTCACAGGAAATAAGGACATCTACTTCCTCGACAACCCCTGGACCGACTTTCCTAACGTCGTCAAGTCGATCCCAAACAACGGCTTGATCCGGTACTACGGTGCCTTCAGCCGCGAGCTGGTGCTCGTGACCAAGCCGCACGCGCTGCGCGAGATGCTAGGCGTCAAGGCGTACGACTTCAGCCACTCGAGTCTTGTCAAGCTGGCCATGAAGCGCTTTACAGGCAGCAACTTGGGCTTCCTGTCCGATGAGGAGACCAAGCGCCACCGCAAGAGTCTACTGCCGGCCTTCACGACGGCGCACATCCGCGGTCTTGTCCCGCTGTTCTGGAGAAAGGCCGAGGAGATGACGGCATGTTTCGACAACGAGCAGACGGCACGGGGGGCTGATGCCGTCATTTCGCTGGGAGAGTACGGGTCAAGAGCTACGCTCGACGGGATCGGGCTGGCAGGAATGGGGTACAATTTCGACACCCTACACAAGCCCGACAACGAACTGCGAAAGCGTTACAGGAAAATGATCATGGAGCCCACCCGCGCCTTCTACTGGATTGAACTGCTGAGCCATCACATTGATTTCCGTCTGCTGCTCAGGCTGCCCCTCAAGAAGAACCTCGAGGTGGTAGAGGCCAGCAACTACCTCCGTGGCGTCGCCAGAACCGTCATCAGGGAACGTGAGAAGGCGCTACTCCAGACAAAGACGGGAGGGGATAGTGGTAATGTAGTTGGGTCAGGGGATGGCAAGGACATCATCACAGTTGCGCTGGCGAGCGGTTCGTTTCATGGCGAGCAGCTCGTCGACCACGTCATGACATTCCTCACAGCCGGCCACGAGTCCACTGCCACTGCCTTTGAGTGGACCATGTACGAGCTGGGCCGGAACCCCGAAATCCAACAACGCCTGCGTCGCGAGATCAGTCAAGCCATCATATCCAATGCTTCTGATGATGTAGACAACCCAAGATCAAATCCGGGCATCATCGTACAGGACCTGCCATACCTCAATGCCGTGCTGAGCGAGGTGCTCCGACACTACCCCTTCATCCCGCTGCTCGTCCGCGTCGCGCAAAAAGAGACGACCCTCGTTGGGCAGACCATTCCCAAGGGCACGCCCGTGTTGTACTCGGCAATGGCCATCAACCACGACGAGCAGCTTTGGGGCCCAGACGCGCATCTATTTCTTCCTGACCGATGGCTATCATCCCCTCCTGGCAATAACAACAATTCACAACAACTGGGCACCATGGGCAACTACTCGATGCTTACATTCGGCGCGGGCAGCAAGTCGTGCATCGGTCACGCTTTTGCGCGGGCCGAGTTGGCGTGTTTGGTGGCGGCTGTGGTGCGGAGGTTCGATATTGAGCTAGTCAATGCAGCAACGGCTGGTCGCATCAAGTTTGGGTTAACGAACAAGTCGGCCGAGGGAATGCTTGCGAGACTGACGCCTGTACATCAATAAGGACTCAGCCCGCCCAGGTGGGTTATTGAGAGGTTGTGAATGATAAGTGGTGATTAAGTGGTTGCAGTTCACATCCTGGCAAGAATGACAGATTGCAAGGCGATATTGTTGGTTTGATAACAACAGAATAACAACTTGATGATGCCTGTTGTGTTATTCTGTGTTTAGTACTCCTATCCCATCGACTGCCACAAGATGCCTTCTTCCTCAAAGCTAAATGTCTACTTTAGCAGCCGCTTTTACGCCGCAATACATTTGTTACACAAGTGGTCTGCCATAATTCGTTATACTCTGTATTCACCTTAGTAGCACGACATAGTGTCGGGTGTCGATAGAGATCGCCGGTATGTCTAATACGCCCTGAATTCCCAGAAAACAGATATAGTCCAATTCCAAGCACCTAATCAACAGAATTGATAGCCATAACAGCGTCAGGTGATCCCAGGTTAAGTCAAGTCAACGCACCGCGCCGTTCAGTTCAACTCGGGAGTCACCAGATGTAGCGTGTAGATTTGACTGCTGTTGATCTTGTCACGTTTGCTGTCTATAATGTTGCTGTCGACGTTGAAATTAAGTTGAACTAGGTACGGGAACTACGGGAGCTACGGGGATTGTGGGTACTGCCGGATATGTATATTGGATACAAATACGCCCTTCCGCCCACAAAAAGCAGGTAAATATATCCGAGTAACTACATCGGACAAGTAGAGACTGGAGCAGCTGGTAACAATGTGCTGATTCAACTGACGATATCACTGACTCTCTGAGCACAGTTAAACTTCTATGGCCACGGGACAAAATTGCAGGCTTCTTGCCTATATGATAGTTACCCTGCTTAGCCAAGTGACTGTTACAAACTGGGTAGAACATCATAGCCATTCTCTCATCTTCTACTCGTTTGCTGTATTCTTTTGTCGCTCCCCTGATAGAATGACGAGAGATTTGCTTGGTAGTGGTATCGAGCAAGCTACGAAGTGCTTTGGTTCTGAACAGGCTTTGAAGAGGGGTTCCTCGATGATAAGAAAAGTAGAATGTCTGTCTTACAATCTGATCAAAGTGAAACTATATGAAAAGACTAAAGCTACCTAGCGCCTTCTTGTGATTATTCCATACACCTAGGTTATAATTACAAGTCTATGTCCTTTCCAACTCCTTTCAACACTCATTCAAGAACAACTAATATTACATATGCAACGCCGTACACAATCCCCACCGAATAAATCGCAGCTGAATCTTTCAAACGATGGCTGATGAAGAATTCCGGCTGACTGCGCCCCCGGACCGGGACAATGATGCCAGCGCGGTGAATTTCAATATTCGCCGTACGGCGGTGCAATAGATGTAAGCAACGAAATGGTTGTCCGTCTCGTTTTGGCGAATGTGCGGATCTGTGTGTATTACTAGTAGGAATTCTTTCTTGCCTACAATCATAGGTATTTCCTTGTTTACATAACTGGCCACTTTTGTTTTCATCAGCATCCCATCACATCACACCTCATCCCGTCTCATCCTATCGTATTCAACATATCTCAATCTATCCCCACTATGTCCCCAACAGCTAACGAACCTATTGCCATCGTCGGCATGGGCTGCCGCTTCGCCGGCGACGCCACCAGTCCTTCGAAACTTTGGGACCTCCTTTCTTCACCCCATGAGGTGGCGCAGGATATCCCGCCCACGCGCTTCAATATCTCACGCTTCTACCACCCAATCCCCACACATCATGGCACCACGGCCACCAAGCAGGCCTACCTTCTCACAGAGGACGTTCTCTTCTTCGATACAAAGTTCTTCGCAGTCCCACCCGCCGAGAGCGAGGTCATCGACCCCCAACAGCGCCAGCTGCTAGAGGTTGTCTACGAGGCCCTTGAGTCGGCGGGACTGGCCTACGAAAGACTCGCCGGTAGTGACACGGCGTGTTTCGTGGGTCTTATGTCACAAGAGTACTTCGCCTTGCAGGGCCAGGACGTGAATATGGTGCGCACGTATGCCGGGACTGGTACAGCCGCCAGCAATGCCTCGAGTCGCGTGTCGTACTTTTTCGACTGGCACGGGCCGTGTATGACCATTGATACGGCGTGTTCGTCGAGTATGGTGGGCGTGAACGAGGCCGTGCAGGCTGTCCGCAACGGCACCAGCCGCGTTGCCGTCGCTTGTGGTACTAACCTGGTCCTATCCCCACTGTCCTTTATCACTCTCAGCAAGCTTAACATGCTCTCGCCTACGGGCCGCTGTCGTATGTGGGACGCAGATGCTGACGGGTATGCACGTGGCGAGGGCGTTGCTGCCATCGTTCTCAAGACCCTAAGCTCGGCTTTGGAGGATGGCGATGAGGTGCTCAGCGTCATCCGCGAGATTGGAGTCAACCATGACGGGAGGACAAAGGGTCTAACTATGCCCAGTGCAGCTGCCCAAGCGGCTTTGATTCGGCAGACATACGCCAAGGCCGGGTTGGACTTGACGAAGCGGGCCGATCGCTGTCAGTTCTTCGAGGCGCACGGCACCGGGACCGCCGTTGGCGACCCACAAGAGGCCGAGGCCATTAGTTCGGCTATGTTTCCCGCTGAATCCGGATCGGATCTGGAAGAGATTCTCGTCGGATCTATTAAGACCGTAGTTGGCCACACCGAGGGAACCGCCGGAGTGGCTGGGCTCATAAAAACGACACTGGCCCTCCGTGAGGGGATAGTACCCCCGAACCTTCTCTTCAACCGCTTGAACCCGGCCTTGGAACCCTTTGTGAGCCACCTGCGCATTCCCACCTCATGTGAGCCGTGGCCCGAGGTCCCCGAGGGAGGCGTGCGCAGAGCCAGTGTTAACAGCTTCGGTTTTGGTGGATCCAACGCCCACGTTATCCTGGAGAGCTTCGCTGGGAATACAGTTGTTACGGTCAGCTATCCGACAGTAGGGTCTGCTAACAGAAGTTGGGGATTGACGCTAGTAAACAGTATTGTCGTGTCGTAAGTCTGGTTCGTAGGTCGTAGGCTATGTCGTAGATCGGTAGTCAGAGGCTAAGGTGATCAATCTTAGGCTTAATAAGTATTCGTAGTGAAGGTAAGCTGAAAGTATCTTGAGGATAAATATAAAGTTGATTGCTAAAGAGCTATAGAAGTCTGACTATAAGTCGAGCTTAGGTTATACTATATATAAGTCTGAATAATACCTTTTATTTGTTTTACCGTTCCTATGTTACGACCCGTTGGACATGGTCGCCAACACGACCCCGCCTGGATCCCGGCGGCTAACGCAGGGCATATGTAACCCAGCCGACAGGTGTAACCAGGGATCCTCGGAACGGAAGAACTATGGACAAGTCACGTGGCCTCGGGGATAACGCGGGGTAGGGACAACCCGGGCTGGATATGTTGGATATGTCAAATATCCAACATAGCCAAGATAAGGAGGACCGTTCAGGACTTGTATATAGGATGGACTCGAGCCGGGCTCGAGGACAGACTTCCATAGCTCTTCAGCAATCAACTTTGTGATTACCCTAACCGGTACTTTCAGCTATACCTAAGTGACGACTACTCTACGACTCTTGTTGAGGCCTTGACTGATCACCAAGACCTTTGAAGATCTACGATCTATTCGACCAGGACCACGGAACGACTGTTACTACTCTCAATCCCTGGCTTACTGTTAACACAAACCTACTGTTAGTTAGCTGGCCGTAACACTTTGATTGCTCCTATTCAGTAAGTCACCTTTTGAAAACTACTAAACAGTATAGACAAGATGTCTTCTCGCGCTTCTGCTAAATCACCTACTCTAGGATCCTTATCCTCTTCGCGCAACCAGCCTCAGAGCCTCGCGCAGGAGCCTGCCAACACTGAGGACTTCGACATGCCGGACCTCAAGTACGACTCCGATGGAGATAGCTCTTTCACCAAGGAAAGCTACGATAAGCTCCGACGCATAATCCAGAAACAAGAAGCCGAGACAAAAGACATGCAGAAAATCGTCAACGAAAACCGACAAGCAATGGAAAACCTCAACGAGCAACTCCAGCACGCTGGACAGGCCTACAAGAAGCTGGAAGAAGACATCAAGGGGGACGCCAACCTCCGGAAGATCCAGGAACTCCAGGGGGAAATCACCACCCTCCGGGCCGCCGCCAACATCGTCACCACGCCCGTCCACGGAGGACGACAAAAGCTCAAGCTCAGTGCGCCTGTCACCTACGACGGAACCCCCGGGACCCTCAAAGGATTCCTGATTCAGTAGTACACGCAGCCACCTACCTCCGAGGAAAGGCCCTCAAGTGGTTTAAACCAATCCAGGAAGAATACCTTAAATGCGAGACCCTCGACGAGTGCACTACCGAGACCCGCGACATCTACGCTAATTTTAAAGGATTCGAGGATACGCTTAGGTCACTCTTCCAAGACCCCGACGAAAAGCGACAAGCCGAACGAGATCTAGCATAACTTAAGCAGACTAAGTCTGCTAAAGACTACTCCGCTAATTTCCGACAACTTAGCGTTCAACTCGACCTTACCGAGGAAACCAAGATCTTCATGTTCTATCAAGGACTAAAGGACGAAGTCAAGGACGAGATCATCAAGATTGATCGACCTGACGACTTTCTCTAGTACGCCGAACTCGCTATCAAAATCGATAACCGGCTTTTCGAACGACGAAAGGAAAGAAGCGAAAAACGACAAAACCCCAACTCAGGACGCAAGTACCAGTAGCAGCCTCAGCACCAGTTCAACAACCAGCGAAACGACAATAGACCCCGCAACAACTAGAACAACCCCCGGCAAAGTACTGCCTATAGTCACCACAGTAGACCAATAAACCTTAGTACTACATAGAGAAACGATAAAAAGAACGATAGTTGGAAGAAAGATAGACAGTGCTATAACTGCCAGAGGATTGGACACCTAGCATACGAATACAGGTCACCTAAGAAGGAACGCTTCTAACCGGTACTAGAGAAACGACAAGCAAGTATCGCTACGAAGACGATCCCTCATAAACAACTTAATTAGACCACCTGCTTCGATGACAACTGCCATATCTACTCTAGCAGTAAGGAACACGCAGGATGGTACCCCTAGAAACCTCAAGAACGATCTAGTTACGACACTACCAACGTACCTAAACGGACCCTCGCTGCGGGATATAGAAGCAACAGCAAAATCGAGCGCAAGACAATCGAACGGCTTGACAGTATAAACGACAACGAGGAATTAAAACAAGACAATCAGCGAAGGCTGAGCCTCCTCTACGCAGGACGACAAGCCTACCTGCAGCGGATTCAACAAGACTTACAAAACCCTATATGGCAACGACAACTCGGTGCGCTAGACGCATACATCGAACGACGACAATATATACAAGGAGATCCCGCACGGATCCGCCAGATCAACCAAGAACTAGAAGAACAGGTCGAATCAGAAACGACCAAGAACACCCCCAACGACTCGGAAACACCTCGCGATGTTGCCCGCCAACATGCCCAACTGGAAGTCGCCTTTAAAGTCGCTTCAGTCGACGACACCAGCTCTGGAGAGGACTCTGACGAAGAAATACAGTGGTATCACTGCTACTAAGACTAGCGCCGAGTCCACTATATCAAGAAAGACGAAGCATGGAAGAAATAGCAAGAAAACGACGAACAAGGAACGGACGAGCAGTCAAAAAACTAGACTCGCCTACCGAAGACAAGGGACAACGACAGGCAGTCCAGACAAGGTCCCTATGTAGCGCAACGACGCCTACGACACAACGACACGAGCATGTACAAGTCCAAATACAGCTCAACGGAAGAACAGCTACCGCCATGATCGACAGCGGAGCCTAAGGAAACTTCATATCACCAAGAACGGTAAATAAAAGAAAGATAACCTAGAAAAGAAAAGCAGCCGAAGACTACTACGAACTCAGCACCGTTAAAGGAGAACAAGTCCAGTACGGCGGAGGACGCATTGCTATAGAGACAGCGCAACTCCCTTTGCAGATCTATAGCCGGAATAAGCGACTAAACTTCGATATTACGAAGATAGGAGACAAGTACGATATCATCCTTAGAAGACCATGGTTATACGACAGTAACCCACGGATAGATTAGAGAACAGGCCAACTCCATTAGGACTAGGATTCAGTTACTAAGAAGCAACCACGGAACGGTGCCTCAAACGAACCTCTTAAGACTCCTGAAGCGAAGAGATTTCTAGCATACCTACGGATCAAGGATGCAAACGCCAGGACGTTATCAGCAACAGACATCGGCAAGGAAGACCGACTTCTGTCTATCCCAGAAGAATACCGGCAATACCAGAAGCTATTCGCCGAAGAACTCGAGACCGGACTCCCGGAACACAGCAACTACGACCACGAGATACCCCTTAAGGAAGGGAAGGAGCCAAAGCTAGAAGCAATCTACAGACTCAACCAGAAAGAAATGGAAGCACTCGACGCTTACCTCGAAGAAAATCTACAGAAGGGATACATCAGACCCTCCACATCACCAGCAGGATACCCAATCCTGTTCGTACCAAAAAAGAACGGCAAACTACGACTCTGCGTCGACTACCGGAAACTCAACGACATTACGATCAAGAACTACTACCCACTACCGCTCATCTCCGAACTACGAGATCTACTGCACGGAGCCCAGTGGTTTACAGCACTCGACCTAAAAGGAGCCTATAACCTGATCCGGATGAAATCAGGTGAAGAATGGAAGACAGCGTTTCGAACACGCCGAGGACATTACGAGTACCTTGTGATGCCCTTCGGACTCACCAACGCACCCGCGACATTCCAGACGATGATCAACCACGTCTTACGAGAATTTCTAGATGTGTTCGTCGTAGTTTACCTCGACGACATCCTAATCTTCTCCAAGACTCTGAAAGACCACAAAAAACATGTATACCAAGTACTACGGAAACTGCAAGACGCCAAACTCCTAGTAGAACCCGAGAAGAGCAAGTTTCACGCCAAAGAAGTCGAATTCCTAGGTTTTACGATAGCCCCAGGAATCCTCAAAATGTCTAAAGACAAAATCGCAGCAGTACGAGACTAGCCTACACCACAGAACGTTAAGGACGTACAATCCTTCATTGGATTTATAAACTACTACCGACGATTTCTAGAAGGATACTCAGACAGAAACGACCCCCTCACGAGACTTTCGAGGAAAGACATCCCCTAGCAATGGGAAGAAGAACAGAAAAAAGCCTTCGACGAGATCAAACAACAAGTCACATCGGAACCAATACTCGTTATACCAAACCCCGAGAAACCATTCGAAGTCGAGACCGACTCCTCAGACTATGCCATAGGAGGACAACTAGGTCAACGAGACGAAGAAGGACAGCTACGACCTTATGCCTTCTTCTCACGCAAACTACACGGCCCAGAACTCAATTACCAGATACACGACAAGGAACTCATAGCAATTATCGAAGCATTCAAAGAATGGAGACCGCAACTCTCAGGAACCAAGTACGAGGTCAAAGTATACACCGACCACAAGAATCTCGCACACTTCACCACATCGAAAGATCTTAACAAACGACAAATTCGATAGTCCGAATTCTTATCAGAATTCAATTTCAGAATCGTCTACCGGAAAGGCAAAGAAAACGGCAGGGCCGACGCCCTCAGCCGAAGACCGGACCATAAGGTCCAGGTACCTGAGGAAACCCGAGTTATCCTCAAAGCAGACAAAAACGGAGACCTTATGCCAGCAGCCAGACTCTTAATGATGGCCAGAAGAGACAGTACCAGCACGCCTGGAAGGATGTCTCCTGAAGCCATTAGGGAGATATACTCCGCACCTGCATACGGTTACCAAGGCGTAACTAAGACATAGAAACGCATCCGCTAACACTACGACAAAACGGCTACACGACAAGAAGTATCTTTAGCGATTAAGGACTGTGAGGTTTGTGCGAAAAGCAAACCCAGCCGACATCAGCCTTATGGAAAGATACAGCCGCTCCCAGTGCCGCAAACCGCATAGGAATCCATCTCGCTGGACTTCGTCACTAAGTTACCTAAGTCCCGTGAACCGATGACCAACGTCCACTACGACAGTATCCTCGTCATCGTCGACAGACTCACAAAGTATTCGTACTTCATCCCGTACATAGAGTCTAGCACTACAGAAGACCTCGCCTATAAGTTTCTGTAAGTAATCGTAAGCTAACACGGAATGCCGAAGGAAATCGTATCCGACAGAGACAAGCTGTTTACTTCCAAGTTTTGGAGATCCCTGATCTCGCAGCTAGGATCTGACTACAAGATGTCTACCGCTTTCCATCCGCAAACCGATGGCCAGACAGAACGAATCAATCAGATCATAGAAACCTACCTACGCTGCTACGTCAACTATCAGCAAGACAACTGGGTTCAACTGCTACCTATGGCCCAGTTCGCCTACAACAGCGCAGTAGGAGAAAGTATAAAAGAATTACCATTCTATCTAAACTATGGATTTAACCTAACAGCCTACGGACAACCTCGACAAGGCCCAGCAGCTTTGAAAGCTGTGGCAGACATTAACAGACTTAAGGAGATCTAGCAGGAACTCCCTAGAGACCTCGAATTTGTGCGCGAACGCATGCGTAAATACGCCAACAAATCAAGAGTTGAGGGACCAACTCTAAAGGAGGGGGATAGTGTATACCTTCTCCGCCGCAACATCAAAACAAAACGACCAAGCGATAAGTTAGACTTTAAGAAACTTAGACCCTTTGAAATTACGAAGAAGGTATCTAACGTTAACTTTAAACTCGTACTACCCGACAGCATGAAGTGTTATCCAGTCTTTCACATTTCACTTCTCGAATCAGTACCAAAGGGATCGTATACTACGGACTATATCGAAGTAGATCCAGAACAAGAATACGAAGTCGAACGGATAATCGATCACATCGAAGAACAAAAAAGTATCCGCTACCTTGTCAAGTAGAAAGGATACGGATACGAAGACAATACATAGGAACTACCTTAGAGCCTCGAAAACGCATAGGAAGAACTCGGACGTTACTAGAGATAGCAAGAACAAGAATAACAAAGACAAGCACCAGTACGAATCGAAAAACAAACGCCAAAAAGTCAATTTCGACTACGACAACCACAACCCATCATCCGTCCACCACGATCAAACAAGCCACGGGATAAACACCCTCTCATTCGTTTAGGAACCCCAGAGCCGCCTAAAGGAACCCACTAAGGGCCTCCAACACCCCTAGGAGACGCTTCAGGAGTACTCCGCCTCTTAACAACCGACCCTGAATCCAACAAACCAAACTCAGCCAACAAGGATGGCGACAAAGCGACATCCGGGTACAGGGTATCCCAATCCGCTGTGAACTCCACCGGCAGACGAGGCGAATCAGCCGAAGGACGAACCGGTTCTACCCGACGCTGCTCTACCTCTGCCTCCTCTCTCTCAACACGCTCTAACTCCTCCACACTGTCGATACCACGGCGCACCGCGCGCATCATCTTTTCAAACCACATCTTTTTCTACTTTCGAAGACGCTCTACTTTGGCGTCCAGAGCACGACGCTCCTCTTCTGCCTTCTCCAAAGCATCCTCAAGCTTCTGATGCTGATTACTAATCCGACGAAGTTATTAGGCACTAAGACCCTGAAGGTCGCAGTAGGACTTGCCGCCACGAACGCATTCGGCGCATCGAGAGGAATCAGAAAGAGAAGCTTCGCACGACGAAAAACCCTTTACCTCACAGGAGGAATAAACAGGCATGACGGTACGATTGCCCAAGATAAGACTCAAGAGGGAATCGCGCTGCTTTGTCTTTTCCGCACGAGAATCGAACGCTCGTACGACCTTTCGTTTTTTGACGCGACCTGACATGATGTAAGCATTATTAAAGGAAGCAAGTTGGGCGCCCTCCCACCTGAGGGCAGACGACCTACTTAAGCTGGTCTTGAGGACAAGACCCTTGGAGAGGAGACCTGATGTTACGACCCGTTGGACATGGTCGCTAATACGACCCCGCCTGGATCCCGGCGGCTAACGCAGGGCATATGTAACCCAGCCGACAGGTGTAACCAGGGATCCTCGGAACGGAAGAACTATGGACAAGTCACGTGGCCTCGGGGATAACGCGGGGTAGGGACAACCCGGGCTGGATATGTTGGATATGTCAAATATCCAACATAGCCAAGATAAGGAGGACCGTTCAGGACTTGTATATAGGATGGACTCGAGCCGGGCTCGAGGACAGACTTCCATAGCTCTTCAGCAATCAACTTTGTGATTACCCTAACCGGTACTTTCAGCTATACCTAAGTGACGACTACTCTACGACTCTTGTTGAGGCCTTGACTGATCACCAAGACCTTTGAAGATCTACGATCTATTCGACCAGGACCACGGAACGACTGTTACTACTCTCAATCCCTGGCTTACTGTTAACACAAACCCACTGTCAGTTAGCTGGCCGTAACATCCTAATCCTAACGGGGTCCGTTCCTCGTTTATACGGATCCTATATATGCTAAGGACGGACTCCGTATTCTTAGCATATAGATCTAATCTCTTATCTTATCGTTACGTAACTTATACTATAGTTCTTCTATTTCTAAGTAAATCCTTATTATTCTTATGATTTTATAGTATAAATATCCTATTATAGCTGCCTGACGTCTAAGTAGGTCGTTTAGCTATTATCCTTATTTATAAGTCGTAATATTAAGTCCCCTCTCTAAAGGTCTTATCCTTAAGACCTAATATAAGTAGTCGTTAGTCCTAGGTTAGGGATCTGTTAATCGTACTTCCCGATTTACTTATAATACTAATACTATATTAAGTTACGTTTAAAAATCGAAATAATCTAAGTTAGTATTTTGTTTTATTTATAAAAACGTTTTTTATTATTTTAGTTTTAACAACGTTATACTATATACTTACTACTTCCGTATAAAATATATATATCGGATAGCGGAAGGCGTAAAAACTTATTAAGGTTATAAAAACCTAAAGCATCCTTATAATAGTCTCGTAGTAACGTCTAGTCGTAAGTCTTTATAGCGTTCGTATACCTATATATATACTAATTAGTCGTAGTAAAAAGGCTAAGCGATTAGCATTAGGAGTAAGAAGAAAAAAAGGAATAGGCTAGTAATATACTGCTAGATCTTTATGAAAAGTTAGCGCGGGTTTAAGCCGAGGTAGCTAAAGCGGCTAGTCGATTATTATTACGACCCGTTCGTTATGCCTAACAGAGGGTTGACAGACCCACCTAGGTTAGCGGCTAGAACAGGGCATTTGTATGTAAGACACGGGATAAAGTGACAAAGGAACCTCGGAAGGGAAGAACTATCATACAGGTTACGTGGAGATAAGATAATGCAATAAGCGCCTAGCCAAGGAAGTAAGCGCTCACCCTTGGCAATGAGTGCTCATCGTGTGCGACGAGCGCTCATCAAGATCCATTACGCGATCATTGAGGACTTGTATATAGATCAGGACTTAAGCTCTGCTTAAGACCTTTTAGATAGTTCTTCAGCAATCAACTTGTGATTTATCCTCGATGACTTTCAGCTTAGCTTACAGTTTGTGATATTACTATACCTCGTTACTTAGTATAAGACTGATCACCTTATCCTAACCCTCGATCTACTAGTACGATATACCTATATACGACGTAAGACCTATTGTTAGTATCGTAGCCTTAACTTCTGTTAGTAGAAACCCTACTGTTACTAGCTAGCCGTAATAATTATCGCGGATCCGCGCGATTCGGAAGAAAGTAAAGGAGTATATAGAGACGTTTTCTCGAGGGATATAAGAGTTAAAGGAGACGACGTTCTTCTTATATTAGATACTTATAAGAATAGTATAGTTAGTAATCTTTAGTTTCAGGTATAGAGAATAATCCGGATTAGGTAAGTTTTAGTATTAGCAAGGAGTTTATAGATCTTAGCCTTTTATTAAGGGATTTATAGTTAGTATCTTCTAATAGTTTTTAGTTACTTTTTAGTATTCTTAGTAAATAAATAGTTTTCCTTATTATAGTCTATCTACTTCCGTTAGTAGTTATATATACTTATAAGGTTGCTTAATATTAATAACTAGTAGTATTTATTAAGGCTATTATCGCTAGCATTACTAGCGTCGTTTCTCGTTCTTAGTATTATTACTAGTAGGTTATAAGTTCGTCCTCGTATTAGTAATATTCTTAGCTAGTTCCTATATATTATCTTTATAACTATATTCTTTCTATTTAATAAAGTATTAATATCCTTCTAGTTTTTAAATAGTTAATAATTCGTTCGACTTCGTACTTTAGTTCGTTATCTTTTATAATAATAAGGTTATTTATCTATAATCTTTATAATACTAGTTTAAGTAGCGAAATATAGAATATTAGAAAATACTTTATTATATTAAGTAGGTCGAGTTTATAATTAACTAGTAAAACTTTTCGGAAGATCTTAAAAAGTCTAAGTTTTTTAAAATCTAGTTTATCGTTTAGTTGTTTTATTTTAATATTTCGCTATATAAAGTAGGCGCTATCTCCCTCTTTTAAGGTTAGTCCCTTAATCCTTCGTTTATTACTAAATTTCGTTATTCGTTATTATACGAATTTAAGTTCTTTATATACGTTTTCTTAGATATCCTTGATTTGTTTACTAAGGCAATAGCCTTTAGTATTGCTAGCTAGCTTAGGGTTTTCTATAAGCGGTAGGTTCGAATCCGTAGTTAAGATAGAAGGGGGATTCCTTAATACTTTCTCCGATTACGCTATTATAAGCAAATTAAGCTATTAGTAGTAATATAACCTAATTATCTTAGTTATAATTAACATAGGCGCGGAGATAAGTTTCGAAGATCTAGTTAACTTTTCTATTTATCTATCGGTTTATAAGTAAAATAATATATATTTTCTTTAATACCGAGTTGCGCGATAATTTATTTCTAAAATTTAGAAGTAAAGATCTTATCTCTATCTAACACAATTTCCTTAGGTATTCTGTAATTAGCGATAATATACTTAAGGAATATATAAGCGAATTCTTTAGCGTTACTTACTTCTTTATACGGGATAAAGTAGGCGTACTTCGTAAGTCTATCGACGATAACGAGAACGCTATCAAAATAGACTTTTATAAAAGGTTCTTAAGACTTCGGTAGTTTGATAATAAAGTCGAGTAATATAAAATGCTAAGCGGTTTATAATATAGGTAAAGGTTATAATAATCTATAAGGTTAGTATTAAGCTAGTTTGCTTTTAAGGCAAACCTCGCAATCCTTAATTGCTATTACGATACGTTCTCTAGTAACCTTTTCTCTATATTATTATTATAATCGTTTCTAGGTTTTTATAATTCCTTAGTAACTATATACTAGCTAAGCGTAAAACTTTATAATTACTTATCGTCTAGTCTACTAGTCAAGCTAGTATTAGATCGTCTAGCTATTATTAAGAGTTTTATAGCAAGCATAAGGTTTCTATTCTTATTATGTTTAAGAATTACCTAGGTCTCGTTTAGTACTAGGATATTATAGTCTAGTCGTTAGCTAAAGGCGTTAGCCTTGCCGTTCTCTAATCCTTTCCGATAGATAATTCGGAAATTAAATTCTAAGAGGAATTCTAACTATCTAATTTATTATTTATTAAGTTCCTTCGAAGTAGTAAAGTAAGCTAGGTTCTTATAGTCTATATATATAAATACTTAGTAGATAGTTCCTAAGAGTTAAGGTTGCTATTTTTTAAATACTTCGATAATTATTATAAGTTCTTTATTATAGATCTAGTAGTTAAGTTCTAATCTATAAAGCTTGCGTAAGAAGAAGCTATAGGGGTATAAGCGTCTTTCTAAGTCTTGTTAAGATAATTATGCTCCTAGCGCGAAATCTAAGGCGTTTATTTCTACTTTAAATTATTCTAATAGGTTAGGAATTATCAAGACTAGTTTGCTAGTAATACGGTCTTTAATTATTTAAAAAGCATTTTTTATTTTTCTTTCTACTTAAATAGTTAGTCTTTCTTACTAAGGTTTATAAAAGTATATTGATTTTTTTATAAAGTCTAATAAACTTTTAGTAAAATTAACAAATCCGAAGAATCCTTAGACTTCTTTAAAGTTTATTAGTATTAGCTATTCTTTAATAGCTTAAACTTTCTTTTTAATATACTAATATATCCGGGAGTAATAGTAAATCCGAGGTATTTTACTTCTTAGGTATAAATATGCTTTTCTTAGGTTTAACTAAGAGTTTAGCATCTTAGAAGGCTTAAAATATAAGGTATATATACTCTTTATATTATCTATTGTTAGTAAGAAGATAAAAATCGTTAAGGTAGACGATTATAAAGATATCTATATATTTCCTAAGAACTTAGTTAATTATATTCTAGAAAGTAGCTAAGGCATTAGTAAGACCGAAAGGCATAACAAGGTACTCAAAATATCCTCTACGTATTCTAAAGGCGGTTTTCTATTCTCTCTTTACTTTATTCTAATAAGGTTATAAGTACTTTTAAGGTTTAATACCGTAAAGTAGTTAGCTTTATAGAAAAGTCGTTATAATTCTTCGATTAATAGTAGTAAGTACCGATTTTTAATCGTTATTTCGTTAAGCATTTAGTAGTCGATATAAAGTCGTAGTTTTCCGTTCTTTTTTAGTATAATAGGATTAGGCTTCCTACTTAATATTAATTCTCTAATATAGCCTTTCTTAAGGTTTTCGTTAAGGTATTTATTAAAAGCTTTATTTCTTTATTAGGTTAAGTTTATAAATTTTATTAAACTTAGGTTCTTTCCCCTCCTTAATAAGGATTTCGTAATCGAAATTCGTATATTTAGGTAGTCTAGTTTCTAGTTCGGCTACGAAGAGTTTTTATAAACTTTATATTCTTCTAAGATAAATAGAAGTAGATCGTCTTTTTATTAAGATCTATTTACTTTAATAGTCGTAATACGGCTTCTTTCGCTTTAAAGTAGTAGATATATCGTTTTACTATTCTTTAGTAGGTAGATCTATTTAAAGCCTAGGTTTTGCAAGGCTGCTTAAAGACTAGATCGTCGTTATATCTTAATAAAGTTAGCTTATTTTCTAATCTATCTATAAGTTATTCTTTTCTAGCTATAGTATTCTTAATATAATATCGTATATACCGAGTTTAGTAATATTAATTAAAGTTATTTATTTCGATCTAAGTAACTTATCTCGAAGGGTATAGTCTTGTTTTTAATAGTTCTTCCTTTATACTAGACTTATTCTCCTTCTATATTACTAAGCTAGTATATATATTCCTTCTTCTATTATAATAGTTATAGTCGGTTTACTACTTAAGGTAATATAAAATTTTTCGGCTTTACTATCGATAAGCATAATAGTTATCGTATCGTTAATAGTAACTATAAGTTATAAATATACTTTCTAGTCTAAAGATACTAGATAGATAGACCTTATATTATTACCTATCTCGGTTTTTTATTAGTAGGTAAGTCTAGTTTTTTAACTACTTTAGTTATCTTAAGTAAGTAATACTTCCTTTCTCGTTATGCCTTCGTAAAGCGGTTTTCCTAGAATTAGAGCCTTAGGGGGCTTGATCCTTCTTATAAAAGTCTATAAGCTTTTACTTTTTAAGTTATATAGATAAGGTATTTGTCTATTTAATATTCTTCCTACTTTATATTTTTATTATAAATATACTTTATAAGGTATTATCGGCTAGGGGTAAACGTAGCGATATTACCGTCAAACTTCCTAAGTTCCTACCTTATAAAAGTATAAGTAGTATAGACGTTTCGTAAGGAGGTATTATTATATTTCTTAGGTTAGAAGTAGTATTTATATTTTTCTCTTATATATATTTCGTAATAGTTAAAAAAGTATTAGCCTAAAAGAGGTAGCGATAGCTTAGGTTTATAATTTTAAGGTAGGGGTAATCTTCGATCCTAAGTTATAAAGTATAATACGTCTTAGGTCTTATGTTTAGCATACTATAAAGTTTAATAAATTGCTTATTATTATGCTAATTTACTTACTTATATATAATATATTTAGGGGTATTCCTTCTTAAGTTCCTTTTTAAAGCTAGTATCGTCTATACTAAAGGTAAGCCTATAGGCGATCTCCGTCTAAGCATATTAGTAAGTAACGTTATAAGGTTTATCTAAGTCGTAAGGTAAATCTTTTCCTTCTCCGAACGTTTAGTTGCTAGTAAGACTAAGGATTTATTATTTAGTTAGGGGGTCGTACTAATATTTAGGTTCCTTATCCGAATCTTCTTTGTTTTTAAATTCCCTAATTCGATTTATTTCGCGTTAAACTTATACTTCGGAGTCTTTAATCCTTTATTAGGTTTCTTTATTATACCTATAGGATTATCGTAAATAGCTTGCCTTAAGGTAATACGTAAGGCTAACAAGCTTATAGGTTTAAGTTATTATACTATTATAGCCTTTTATTAAGTTATTTAGTAGTTTTTCTAATTATCTTGCTATTAGCCTAGGAGGCTATTATAAGGGTTTTACTAATAAGCTAGTATCTTATTATTTCTTTATTACTAAGGTATATAAAGTATTTATTATTATAGCATCCTATCTATGATAAGGATACGTAGGTATCTTAGTTGCTATACTAGCTTGCTTAGTTTGCTTAAGTACTAGCTTCTAGTTAAGCTTCTTAAGTTATCTATAGTCTTTAATAATATATCCTATTTTTTCGTAATATAATACTTAAGGTTTTAAGGTTTCTTATTATTACTCTTAGTAATAATACTAAGGTTTATAAGTCTACTATATTATTTATAAGAAGTATTTTGTTAAGTGTTATTTTAGTTATTATAAGGTTTATTATTATTCTACTAGTTATTAAACTTATACTAAGGCTGCTATTAATACTTACGTCTTAAGTTTAAGTTTTATTTTTTCTTTCCTTATTTCTTTCGTTATTTATAAAGGTAGTTATCGATCTTAATAATATATTCGATATAAGCAAGGAAATTAAAAAGTATTTCTAACTTAGCTATTTCGTCCTTAACGTTATCTTTAAGTCTTTAGTAGAAAGTAAAAACCTTACTTTCGTCGGTTATATAAAGTCTTATAGCTAATCGTCTAAACTTAGTAGTATAAAGTATAGCTAACTAGTTTTTTATTATAGTAATATAGGTTTTACTTAGCTTGCTTTTACTTATTAAGGTCGAGGAAGAAGGATTCTAAGGCTTTAATATAGCTTATAAAGCTAAAGAAAATACTTTTTACTTTTTTACTATATTTTTTAACTAGGTTATTAAGCTATTTTATTATAAAGGCTTAAACTAAGTAAAGGCTTTTCTTTATAAGAAAATAGCTATATATATTATACGTTTAGTATCGTTTTAGAAAGTATTAATATAGAAGGCTTAGTAAGTCTATACTTAAACTAAGTATCTTTTAAGTTATCCTAAGGTCTTATCGAAGGTAGAAAAGGTATTAAGCTTAAGGCGTTTACGTCCTTCGACTAAGGCGGAAATTACGTTAGTAGTAGTTAAAAGGGTATTAACTTCTTTTTAAGTTCTTAAGTCTTATACTTACTCCTAAAGTTTTTTAAAATAGTAGCGTTTTAGTTAAACATGTCGTATATCTCCTTAAAGTCTTTAATAGTTTTGTCAAGCTATCGTTTAAGTTTTTCAGTATTATCCTCGCTATCCGAGTCGTCCTTTATTTTCTAGTCCTCGACTTCCTAAGCTAGGCTTTAAGGAGCTTTTCCTCTAGAAGTAGATAAGGATCTAGGGGTAGGAGACTTAATAAAGCGTAAGAAGATATTCTATACTATTTAGTAGGTATTAATAGTTAACTTACTAAATAAAAGTAATTAAAGTATTACGGTTAGCTATCTAATAGTAAGGTTATTAATAGAAGTTAGGGATTAATACTAGTAATAGTATTATCGTATTGTAAGTCTAGTTTATAAGTTATAAGCTATATTGTAGATCGGTAGTTAAAAGCTAAGGTAATTAATCTTAAGCTTAATAAGTATTCGTAATAAAAGTAAGCTAAAAATATTTAAAGATAAATATAAAGTTAATTACTAAAAAGCTATAGAAGTCTAACTATAAGTTAAGCTTAGGTTATATTATATATAAGTCTAAATAATACCTTTTATTATTTTACTATTCTTAATCTTAATAAGGTCTATTCTTTGTTTATATAGATCCTATATATACTAAGGACGGACTTTATATTCTTAGTATATAGATCTAATCTCTTATCTTATCGTTACGTAACTTATATTATAGTTCTTCCGTTTCCGAGTAAATCCCTGTTGTTCCTGTGATTCTATAGTATAAATGTCTTGTTACAGCCGCCCGACGTCTAAGTAGGTTGTTTAGCTATTATCCTTGTTTACGGGTCGTAACAATAGTCTTTTCGCTAGTAGCGTCTAAAAATCGGATTTTAGCCTATTAACCTCGAAAATTAGTAAACTATCATAATAGGGGTTAAACTAGCCTAACTAGCCTAACTAGTGTAAACTAGCTACTATAGCCTAATTAGGCTACTTTCGTAGGGCCTACGTAGTGAAATCTTTGTAAATTATAATATCTCGTAAAAAGCTTTTCGTAATACCTCCTTAGCAGGCTCGGGCCCCCTTAATTAATAATACTACTAGGCTAGCGAAGCGAAAGCGATTAAAAATAGTAAAAGCCTTAGAGACGAATATAACTGTCATAGTTAATAAGTCGTTCTAGTCATTGTTGTCTATTAGGTTAGGTCTATCCTAGGTCTAGCGAACAGGTGGTCTAATATACCTATAAGGCGGTCTAGGGCGACAGTATCGCCCCACGTGTGGCAGCCCCACTGGCAGCCACACTGGCAGCCCCACTGGCAGCCATACTGGCAGCCCTATAACTGTGGCATCCCTACTGTTGTGTTTAATAGAACTGTGACAGGTGCCCGTCCCGAAAAAGACGATCGTCCCGATCGTTTCGGCTGCCTAAACATGACTTTAAACAGCTTAATAACATGACTTCCTTAGGCTTCTATTAGTGCGAGGCGTAATAGGGGGGTATACCTAAGGCTGGCTGTAATTAACTGGCTGGGCGTAACTGTCTGGCTGGCTGGCTGGCTGGCTGTAATTAACTAGCTGGGCGTAACTGTCTGGCTGGGCGTAACTGTCTGGCTGGCTGGCTGGCTGGCTGTAATTAACTAGCTAGGTTAGCCCAAAGCGGGCACTTAGTCCCTTCTGTAGGCCGTACCATCCTAGGGCCCTATACCGGTTCCTTTCCACGGGCCTAAGGTGATATTCCTACCAGCTGAGTGCTTTACCTCTGAGTAGGCTCTGCCATTCTCGGAGGACTTCGTCTCGAGCGTATAGATTAACGATTTTCCTTCTAATTGCTGAGAGCCATAGATCTACGTCTCGGTAGCATAGTGTCTGTTGGTTATAGAATATAGGCTCCCTGCCGTACTTACTATCGGCGTCGGGCTAGAATACTCCGTACTGTTGCTGAATGTTCGTTATGGCTGCGAATCTTCTCCCTAGGTCTGGTAGGAAAAGTAGTTGCTGTTATTGTCGTTGGGACTGTAGCATAGTTATACAGAGGCTAATTTTGGTATAGATATAGGCATGCTTAGCGGCGTTGAAGAGGGTCTGTAGAAACGGCGCAGAAGCCCGTTCTATAACTTCTATAGTCTGGCCGGCAGTCTCGGCAGTAGTCTCGGCAGTAGTCTCGGCAGTAGTCTCGGCAGTCTCGGCAGTAGTCTCGGCAGTAGTCTCGGTAGTCTCGGCAGTAGTCTCGGCGGTAGTCTCGGTAGTAGTCTCGGCAGTAGTCTTAGCAGTCTCCTGCTGTGGGATTCTAGCCCTACAGGCTGAGGGCTGGCAGCCCTGTTATAGGTGTCGGAATAGGGCGTTGCGAGATGTGAAATCGCTATAGCAGATGCGACAGCGAAACTGGCTTCCACAGCTATTGGCATAGACGTGGCGGAAGAGAGCGTTCTTGCTGGGGAATCTAGCGCTACACTTCCGGCAGGGCTCTGGGCGCTGTTGGCGGGTCTGGATAGCCTCGAGGTCGTTAATTAACGGCCATACCGTTAGGTCCCACGCTGGCGTAGGCGTAGAGGGATAACGGCGTTGACGGTGCGAGGGGTGATGGTCTCGCGTAGGGTCTTGAGGGGAGGCGAATAGTATAGCTGGTGCGCGCATATTGGCGGCGTCGGCGTTAGCAGCAGCGTTGGCAGCAGAATTAGCCTGGTGCGGGCGGATTGGCCATGGTCTGGTGTTTCTCAACGGATTGAAAAAAGTAGCTTATTTGCCCATGCTGAAAAATTAACTATGAGGTCGCGAGGGATCGCAAAGTAGGTTGTGCTACCACTTGTCATAGTTAATAAGTCGTTTTAGTCATTGTTGTCTATTAGGTTAGGTCTATCCTAGGTCTAGCGAACAGGTGGTCTAATATACCTATAGGGCGGTCTAGGGCGACAGTATCGCCCCACGTGTGGCAGCCCCACTGGCAGCCACACTGGCAGCCCCATAACTGTGGCATCCCTACTGTTGTGTCTAATAGAACTGTGACAATAACAACCGGCTTGCTATCAAGGGTAGTTATCGTACGTACGAAGGCAAGGGCGAGGGCGTAGGCGTTAAAGCTAGCGAAAACCTTAGTTAAGCTACCTCGACGCCGTTAGGTAGTAGTAATCCCTTCCCTAGCCTAGAGGGTTGCTTAGTTAGTAGAAATAGAGATAGGAATAACTTAACAAAACTTCGAAGTTAATAAAGTCAAGGAAACCTAACTAGCAAGCTATTATAAATACTAAGCTATTAAGTAGTTAACGCTAGGCTAGCGACTTTAATATAACCTTAACCTTAATAAAGATCTTTTACTATTAGCTAGCAAGGCTTAGTTAATAGCCTTTACTTAATACCTTAACTCCTTAATAAACG